AGACCGCTAATGACAAGCTGCGGGGCGACAGAAACCTATACTTCTCTACGCACATCTCGTGTGTACGCTCGACGGCAATCCCTTGCGTCAGTTGTTTGTGTTTTTCCGTCGTTTCTTTTTGTTCCATGATAAACGATATTCTCTCATGTGCTGCTTACACTCAGACCATACTCAAATACGCATAGGAAAAGGAAAAGCGCAGCTCCGTATTCCGTTGATACTGTAACACTCCGTATGACGAAACACGTCTACCCTATTATTATTGATATTATTATTGACGTGTATCTTATTATTACGGAACAAACGGCGGCCGGACGGTTTGTTTACCACGTCTTTGTTTCGCGGCCAAATGGCCCAGGGTCAAATGTCAACTACTACGATAGTCAGGGGCTACAAGAGGCGAAAAATATCTTGGCCTGTTGGCTGTCAGGCGTAGATTGGTGTCTAGACGATGACAATGGACTGATAGGTCCTTTTGCTTACCACTAGGCCGCCCCTCAAAATGACAAAAGCAGAGAGACGACGTAGGCAGGTAACTTGCACAGGAAGAGAGCACTGGTTCAAGCGATACAAGGCGTGGACCCATGCTCGCCACAGTGTTTCGTGTTTCGTTTGTTTCGATTGTTTGCATTTGGCCCGGTTTGGTACCACGTACGACATACCGTCGTAATATCGTCACCATCACTTGTTTCATTGTTTGGCCTCGTCACAAAGCAGAGCACAGCCAGCCGTATCGTCGAGCCTCTGTGCGTCCCGTTTTTCACCGACCTATTGATTGCCGGACGCAGCCGTCCTCTCTTTGAACGACCGGCCATTCCGGCCTCTTTGCTCCTTTTGGCTCGCACGCATCTACCAGGATGCACCACGTAAACATGCGAGGCAGCCTGGCAGCAAAGTCAGGCTCAAGAGACGGACCAGCAGAATTAACAAAAAAAAAAAAAAAAAAAAAAAAAAAAAAAAAAAACGGTCAAGATCTTGAATTGCGTCGTCGACTGACAGCCAATCGTCCAGAACGGATCGTTGGAGAGGATCGAGCAGCACGCACCATTGGCTCGAAGCGGGGTTTTCAGGGACAGAGGACAGCCAGTGAGTGGCAGAAAAGGGCAACAGGAGGAAGGGAAAGGGGCTCGAGGGGTTGCTGACAGGTGCATTTTGGTGCATTTTGGTGCATATGGTGCGTTTGCGCAGGTTTGAATGGGTTGCAATTGCCAGGGGGAATGGGGGCGGGCCTTGCGCAAAGCCGACGATCTGATCCTCTTTGAAGGAGAGGCGGTGAAAGGCCCCGTCGCCGCTTCAGGAAGCTGTGCGTCGTTAATGGGCGGATGGAGCTACCTCCGTACGAATTATTATCGACGGCCTCTGTGCGCCGCCATTATCGAGAGCTTGCACATGAAACGGGAAGCAACCAGAAGGCGAAGAGACAAACAGCGCAGGGGCGCTCAACCAATGACGAGCCGACAGTGGCTTTTACTTGCATCCATGCTCTGATGCCTCTACGACGTATCTGACAAGGCAACAAGACCTGCCAACGCACACATATGCAGCCTCCTTGCCATTCATTTCGCTCATTTCGGCGCATGTCGTCTCCTTTCTTGTTTTCATATCTCCCGTACTGCCTCGCCTCCCGCGAATTGTGCTCTTCCGCGTCTGCATTCCTCGCTGCGCGTGGGAGATTTCTTCCAATCTCCTATTTTGTTTCCCTTACTGTCCCTCAGACGCATAGGATAGAGGCCGTAGCCTGTTAGCGCTATTTCTCCCTCAAAACAACCGTCTGCCCAGTATTGGTGTCAAACGTCCAATAACGGAGTCTTTCTATGAATGAGTTCAACGGACCGACAGGCACTAGATCGCCGCCATACCAGCCAGTTACAATGATAGGCCACTAGAGGGAGGCGTTGGATGCTCGTCTTCGTCCTGCGCTCTCGTTGGCTGGCGTTGCCTTCCAACTGTTTCATGTGGTCTGGGCCCGCCCGTTTGGGCCGCCAGCAAAGAAGCTGGTTGGCGGTCCAAGCCTAGACTTGAACTTTGGTGGTGGCCTCTCTCAGCCAATCAAATTCCCAGGCTTGGAGTGTTGGCTGTTAGTTGCTAGAAAACAGCAGCCTCTCCTCTCTCCTGTCGTAACCGGCCGTCCGTCACGGCCATTCCTGCCCAAGGCTCCGTGTGCGCCCGTCAGAGAGACGTACTATTGCATCGTACCCCTGACCGGCCATCCAGAGCCACTCAACTTTTCGAAACACGCGCATCTTGGGGAGAGCGCATCGCTTTGTGGTCTCTTGGCCGTCTTTGTCTCCGTGTTATCTGGCCGTCCGCAGCTGCTCGTAGGCCGGCCCCGATTTAGAACAGACCGGCGCCTGGCGTTTGTTTCGTTTCCAGATGCTCGATGGAAAAGACAACTGCATGTTGACCGTAGTTTGTCTTTTCTTTCTTTTTTTGTTTTTATCTCCATCTCCATCTCCATCTCGCCATCTCCGCTCTGCCCTGCAAATTCATTCAATATTAAAGCCTCCTGGCCGGTCCCATCTCCTGGCATTCCATCTCAGCTCGATCCCCCTTTCTCACTACTCTACTCTCTTCTTTTGCTTTACTCCTCAATTTTTTCTTCATCCCTGACGACGGGCCCTGTGTTCTCTTTTTCGCTATCGTCTTTTTCTTCAAGTCGACTGGTTCCTCTTGTTTCTCTCTTTCTTTCTCCTTTTCGCGCCCTCTCTTCGTCCTCCCTTTCCTCGGGTCGTTCGATCTTCAGTGTCTTGCTCAACCTCCCTGTCGTCTCCCTTCCTTCGCCCACTATACCACCGCTGGCCGTCTCTCGCTTGCATTGCTGGTCACTGCACTCGATTCTCCTTGACGCTCTTCAACGCTTCTACAGCCCACGCCCACACATCGACAACGAACTGCACGATCTCCACGATTTACGCCTTGACGCTCTTACGCTTTACGATTTTTCTGTCGACGACTTCCTTTGCTTGTACGTCTCCTCGGCACATTCCCCTCCTTCCTGTTTCGTTATCCCTCTCTTCGCCGCCCTGCCATACCCATCCGTCTCTCGTTCCCGCTCCACTGGCCGCCTTGACAGCCCTTTCTCCGCCGCCCTTGGCTTAAACACGCTTGTCGTTACCATCTCGTGCTTCCTTCTGTCGTTCTGTCGCTTGTCGCCAGTTCTCTCCCTCTCGATTCGTCTCGCAATTCTAGCTTATAAGACTGTCCTCGCTCCCCCCAGCCGTCGTCTTTTGAACATTCCGCTTTCCTTTCGTTCTGCAGACATTCGAAGCTTTGTCAGAATTCCAATCACCTCCAAACCAAAGCAAAAAAAACCAGTCACTCACTCAGTCATTCTTTATTCAGGTTTTTTACATCTCCACAGTCAACGGTTTAGCCCAACCTTCTTTTTTTAGGCTCACACTCTTTTTATCGTCATTCGCTGTACGGATTACTGCCCCGTTGCACCTGCCTCTCATTGCTATTTTCAAGCTCTGTCCCGCTCGTGACTTGCTCTTTGCGTCACCGTTTTCCCCATCCAGCTGCTCCAAAACGCTCGTGCCTACCGCCCGCACCTGCCCCAATCACCCACTAATATTTGCTGTACTTGGAAACCACCTGCTAGAGGCCACAAGCTATTGTCACCAGCTTCCAGCTTCCTGCTATTGTCTATTGTTGCTCACTCGCTCTTTCCTCCATCTTGCCGATCTCTCATCATTTTTGTTTCCCTTTGTTCTTTCCCAATTTTGGGAAACTTTTTCAAATTCCTTTTTGCGATCTCCTTTCCGTCTCTATTTTTTTTGGGAATAGCCTCATCTTCATCTTGCTCTTGCAACCTCTCTTTTCTTTATCATCGCAAGCACTTCGCTCGCACATACTATCCTCAGTGGTTTGTGTCTCGGATACCCGCACTTGCATCACTCCTCAGTTGGCTTCTGCCCTCTCTTTGCATCTCCTGATTTTCTCGTCGCTCTCGACTGGAAAAAGCCTTTTTGCACCCCTTTTTTGCCTCTATTCCACATTCCTTGCGGTCCTCCGTTTCAAGGTTTCTGTTCGAACCTCGATTTACGGTTACTGCATTCCACGGCCTGGCTCGTCTCCCATTCCAGCACGTCGACCGCACAGCCAATCCCTGTGCTTCCCCGGACTTGCCCGCCCACCCAAGTCCCAGCAAAAAAGATCGACACTTGTCCCTCCGCCTCCCTTGCGCGGCGCGACTCTCTTTTTCTCCTGGCCTAGCCTAGCCTAGCCCGCCCTTTGGTGCTGCCCTTCTCCCTTAGGTGCACCCCCCTCCCCACCACCCCTGACCCTGAACAAAGCTTCCCGTTTACGGTCGACCTCAACCACTCGCTGGCACGCCCGCCGCGCCCGACCAAACCACCGCCAGCAACGCAACAAGAGCTCAGCCTCGTGGTTCTCAGCAGGCCCAGTCCCTTCCGTTTGCCTCTCCCTCGCTTGACCTCCCTTCCAAGCAAAGCACAAATTATCCACTCCCCATCGCGACACACCCCTTCTCACTGGTGCCGGTCCCACCTGAATTAACCTCGCCGCCACTTACACGCACACCCCCCTCACTTACCTTGTGTCTTTTGTCTTTCTTGTCCACCACAAGCAACGCAAAAGCTCCCTTGAAAATATATTATTCCTGGGCCACTTCTCAAATCTCATATTTCACATTCCTTTCCTCAAGAAGATCTCTTGTTCTTCTTGTTCTGTGTTCAGTCGTTTCTTTTTTTTGTTAGCCTTTTCCTTTTCATCATCTCCCAACCTTCCCTTGATCCTCTTCAAGAGTGAACAAGGGTTTCTTCATTCTTTGTTCGCATACATCGACAAAGATATATAGAAACGGGACTGCTGGGCTTCACGTTTCCAAGATTCGACTAAACCTTAATTTTCTCGGCAACTTTCGACAACGACATCGAATTCGACTTTCGACCTCGACTTCGATACTCCATCACGACAAACATTACGACATTTGTTTATTTTTTTCAAGCTAGAACGACTCCCCTCACACTCTTCTCACAATGGACTCGACACAGCTCAGTATGGCCGAGCTCAACGCCGCCGCCCTGGAGCAGTTTGTCTTCACACCCGTCAACCGCGACATGATCCGCTACCTCGCCGACGCCGCCGCCAACGTCATCCAGTGCGATCCCAACATGATGCCGCCCACCGCCTCCGAGGTCCAGCGCCGCACGCTACCCACCCCGCCGGGCTCGCCCTCCCACTCGCCCGCACCCCGTGCCGTGCGTCGTGAGGACGGCGGCCTGCCGTCTCTCGAGGAGTTTATCAGCCAGCTCGTCGTCTCCTCCAATGTCCAGGTCCCCACGCTCATGAGCACTCTGGTCTATCTCAACCGCCTCAAGTCTCACCTCCAGCCCATGGCCAAGGGTCTGCGCTGCACCACGCACCGCATCTTCCTGGCCTCGCTTATTCTGTCCGCCAAGTACCTGAACGACAGCTCTCCCAAGAACAAGCACTGGGCCAACTACAGCGTCATCACCACCGAGTTCTACAACTTCGGCTTCTCCCGCACCGAGGTCAACCTCATGGAGAAGCAGCTGCTGTTCTTGCTCGACTGGGACCTGCGCATCTCCGAGGAGGACCTGTATCACAACCTCGACGACTTCTTGGCGCCCATCCGTGAGGACGTTGCCGCACGCTTCGCTCGCCGCCAGCAGCGCCGCCTTCGTCAGAAGCTGCTGCTCCAGCAGCAGCAGGAGGAGGAGGAGCGCCAGCGCCAGATGGAGGCCCAGGCCCAGGCAGATGCTGCTGCTCAGGCACAGGCCGCCACGCGCCAGAAGCGCCAGGAGGAGGACGCCGCCATCTGGGCCGCCGCCACCGCCTCGGCCGCTGCCAACGGCTACCTGACCCCGCCGCGCCGCTCGAGCCATCTGTCTCTGTCGCTGTCCTCGCCCGCCTCCTCGTCGTCCTTGTCCCACAAGGTGGTGGCCACCACGCCCGACGACGCCATCCTGATGGCCATGCCGAGCCTCACCTACAGCGCCAGCACCAGCTCGGCCAACAGCTATGCCTCGTCCCTCAGCTCGTCGCGCTCGCACTCGCGCGCCTCGACGCCCCAGTCGCTGGTCGACCATCTGGACGCCGCCTACGTGCAGTGCAACAGCGAGGACGAGGTCGTCGGCACGCCCAGCAGCATCCGCAGCAGCCACAGCACCAGCAGCCTGGCCGGCTGCAAGCGCGAGCGCGCGCTGACCAACGGCAAAGACAGCAGTGGCATCAAGGCCGTGCCCGCGGCGTACCTGCCCTACGAGATCAGCATGGAGGAACTGCGCGAGATCCAGGACGGCGGCAACCGTGTCAAGCGTGTGCGCGGCATGCTGGGCCGTGTCTTTGGTTCCACTGGTGTCCTGGTTCGCTAGGTGCATTTTACTGTTCTGTGTTTTTTTTTTCTCGTTTTGTTCATTTCTTCTTCTTCTTATTCCCCCTTTTATTTGATTTTTATTTCATTTGTTTAGTTTGGGAAAAGCGAGGCGTTTCGAGATTGTTTTTTTTTCTACGTATTATCATCAAACCGAAACATCCAACTGCGCACGACAACCATAATTTTTCTACTCATTCTTGCATTTACACATATGGCGGATATCTTCAACGTTCTTTGTTTTCCCCCATCTCTTGTCTCTTATTCTCTATCATATCTTTTTAACTCTCATATGTTATCATTTCTTAAATCACACGTCATCAATATCATTATTTATCTCATACACAAAACGATCTATCATTCTAGAGGCTCGCTGCATAAAGACACTATGAATAAGGGAATCCAACGGGGGCATGGCACCCTGGATAATGGGAGAGCTGATTCCGGAGCGGAGTTGTTTTGCCTCTTAACTCTCTTTTATGTTTTCTCTCTCGAGGTCTTTACAGGCCGGTCGCAAACAAATTAGCACGGAACATGACAGGTCCCATCTAGCGTCGTCGCGCACATACGACGTTTTCTCTTTCACTTCGCCTTCTTTTTAATGCTACTTTTTCTACCTCTCCTTCCATTGCTACTTCTGGCAACCTCCTGGCCTATTCTGCATAAGTAGCTTAAATGCCCAACGAGCAAACGGCTTCACTAATTCAACAAATATTTTCTAAAATCGATTTGTTCTCAAAGATAATGTGTCGTTATACGTCGCTGTAGCCACCTTCGTAGCCATTTCGTAACCAGCCTCTAGCAACTCCCCTCCTTTCTGTACGCCGATCATATTCAATGTCGTGATATAACATGGCAACAAGGGACCGCGGGTCATGACTGCCCGTGCTTTTTCTGCGCCTGTTTGGTTGTCCGTCGTTGGAACTCCGCCCCGCCCACGAACCGTCCGTACGGGACCGAGATGAGAGCTGTATGCATACCCGCCCCATCCACAATTTCCTACCTCTCCATTAAGCGTTTCAGCCTCCCCGAACAGTCGACTTGTTGTGCGTGTTTATTTATTTTGAGGTGTGCATTTCTTGTGGTTTTCAAGTTGGCCGTGTTGACGGCCGCAGAAGAGGTCGTGTTGACAATAGACAATGATGTCGTGTCACATAATGTCAATTTTTATTTGGGCCACGACATTGGTCTGATTTAATCTGATCTATTTTTTCTTATTTTTTTTCTCTCAAAAATACACATTACATCCGCTACTATGTTTATGATAATATCGTTTATTGAAAACCAGTTGCCTGTTTACATTTATCGGAAAATAAAAGCAGTCTAACAACAACCATCAACTGTGGGGTGAGGATAGACAAAACTAACAGCTTACATCAAAACAACAAGCCCGCGGGGAGGAGTGCGGGACAAAAGATCAAAAGTTGGAGCAGCCATAGGTCCTTTGGTTCGATGTTGATGGCGGAAAACAACAGAAACCAAGAACAAAAGGCCGCAAGGTGTTGTGGTGGCCGGAGACCCAGCCCAGGCTCGGCTGCGCGCATGCTTGAAGGTGTTTATGATGATACGTGCTCTGGTATTGACGACGGCCTGGTCCAGGCCAGCGGGGGGGAAGGCTGCGCTGGCCAACCGCCGTCCACTCACAACGAACAGGAGGGCTGTATCCAAAACGCGTGCCGTCGCATGAAGGTCGATAGTGGTTGCAGAAGGGGGTGGACGATCGTGATTGGACCAACCAACCTTGCACGCACGCAACACATGAACACCCAGACAGTGGTGTGCTCTCATTTGACAGTGTCCTGCAAATCATCCAAGCCCAGCATCTCCAATTCATTAACCGTTCCCTTCTTGATGGTAGGCATAACAAGGATGGCCGGCGGGTCATTGATACCATGATGGCCAGCCCACCCCCTTTTCCTTTCCTTCTCGCACAGCCTAGGCCTACTTGTCAACGCTCATCAATGTGAAGCGACGGGAACGAGGCTGCTGGGAAGAAAGCATACAGAGGGCACCTTTTCATGTTCATTACCACTCTCGGGTTTAATGGCGCACCAGCACACCCAGCAAGTACACCCTTTCTTTTGTTGTTGTTCGCAGCCTCGTCGTAACTCCCCATCCTCCTCCGATCCTCATTTCTTTTGTTTGTTTATGCCTTGAAAAAGGGCAGCGTCTGCTTTGTCGAGAATAGAGACGAAGCCGCTTCCTCTTTTCGTCCTGCGTCGTCATCTTTGTTCTATCTTCACACCCCCTACGCAAAACGGTCACCTTGCCTTCAGTCCCCTGCAACCGTCGCACTGGCCGGTAGTTGTTTCTCCTCATCCTTTCTAAAGGATGTGGAAACCCCACTCCAATGTGTCGTTTTCGTCGTCATCTCGTGGCTCAAAAGGTCACCAACAAGGCAGCAGTGCTCTCAAGGGACCGTTTTGTAAGCCCTTCGCGACGTGCTGTTCTGCCTTTCAGCCCGCCTGCACGAAAAGCCGCCCGCCTTGGGCCATTCAGGGCGTCGCCCGTTCTTGTTTTCTCTGCAGGGCCTGTCTCACGCAGGCCGACATAGCCTCGCCCCCAGGCCATGTGTTGCAACTTTGCCCGTCTTGGACACGCTGGGTGTTCCAGTCCGACGCATGGAAACGGTGGATTTGCAAAAGAAAGAAACAAAAGAACGTACAGCCTTTGCAGTCCTCTTCCTGCACTGCGCCACCCAAGCCAACACTGATGCCTCATGGCCGTTTTAAAGCGCTGGCCTCGGCCGCTCCAGGCGGCTGTCGCTATGCGCAAGACCGCCAGAGCGACCCGTGCAAACGGCCACATGCATACCATACGCCTGCCCGCAGCGAACCTACTGCCCGGGCATCACGAAATCCGGTGGAAAACGAAGGCGACGAGGCAGGGCGCAAATGGCGACCGACGATGATTATTGTCGGGTACGCCCCTGCAGGATGGGGATACAGAAGTGATGCATCTGCAAGGCAAACCGGCCAGATGAAAGACGCCCACAACCGGTCGAGCGTCAAGCCACATCCTATGTCTGGCGAGGTAGAAACAAACCGCGTATTCTGGTAGGGTAGATGGACGGCCAGCGTTAGCCTTTGCCAAAGCCACTGTAAAAAGAAAAGCCAGGTCGCCTGTAAAACTGCCCTGGCGTTTCGCGCCTCGCCGACCACCGCCCGCCATCTCCACGCCGAATGTCATCTCAGTGGACATTGGTCTGGCCAAAGCTGCGTGGGGCAGGGCACCTTTCCGCATTCAAACGGCACGAATAGCGCGTTTGCTACGTAGGCACCCGTTTTTATGTGGGCGGTGCACCTATTAGGAGCCCTAACTACTTTAACAAGTATCTTACTTGTCTTTGCAATGGATTTGAGTCCAGAATTCTTCTCGCTTCAACTCCTCATTCTTACACACTGCGGTTCAATCAAGATGAGAGAACAATCACTGGTCCTTCACCGCCTTCACGGTCTTACTTACCCTCATCTGCGTCTCAATGACCACACCCTAGACGACAACTTGCCCACCTTCCAAGCTCAACCCGAAAGCAACCGTTTCTGCCCAACACCTACAACGAATGTTGGTGCCCTTGGCGCTCTTCCTCTCGAGCTACTTCAGGAGATTCTCTACCAACTTGACGTGCGCACTCTCACCGATTTCCGACGTGTCAACAGGCGAGCGACAGAGCTAGTTGACTGCCTCCCTCAATATAAAGCGATCATCACTCATGCACGGAATGCACTGCGCGGGATTCTAAGCATCGATACTGGACGGTGGATTACTTGCAGAACTCTACACGAGAAACTATGCACGCCTGGATGTGAACAGTGTGGCGACTTTGGCGGTTACCTTTTTCTTCTCACCTGCAAACGGGTCTGTTTCCTCTGTTTGTCGCATGATAGGCTATATCTCCCACTGCTGCCCAGACATGCCAGCCGAAAGTTTGGGCTGGACCGCCAGACCATCGAAACATTGCCTCGCATGAGAGTCATAGGTGGCACATACTCACCAAACATGAAGAAGGTTGCCTCGTCTGTCTTGGTCGATTATGAATCTGCTCTTCGTGCCGGCGTTGCATTGCACGGGTCGTTGAGCGCCATGCACAAATACGTGTCGGACATGGAGGCCCAAGAGCTTCAAGCCTACAATGCAAAGGTGGCAGCAGCGCGGCGGTCGGGATCCATCACACGCCGCACGCGACAACCGCGAACAGCAGATCCTTTCGATGGACGGTCAGGGAATCCACTTCGATTTGTCGCAATCGCTCGTGTGCCGTGGTTGAGCAGAGCGTCGCAGGAGGTGGAATGGGGCTTTCATTGCGTTGGGTGCGAGAAGTTCAGCCGCCCGCCTCTTCATTACAGACGGAAATTCATAGCAGCCTCGTTCGAAGACCACCTAAGACAATGCGGAAATATCCGAAACAGAAAGCATCATTTAGACTTGTCTTGAAAGGGACTGGAAGAAACACCCAGTGCGCGAGGTTATGCGATGCTGGTCAACATTAAAATAACTGTCAACACTATTTACCAAAGACCATGGCGCTCTTCCCTTCCACCCGTCCCTTCCCCCCCCTCCTTCAGCTATGTCGCACTGCTATCTGATGTTGTTTAGCGACGCATTTCGTCCTTCCCTTGCTTTACCATATGCTTTGAACACATATGCAACGAGTCTCCAAGTCGAACTTGAGTGACTGGGGTGCACTTAACATTCGTGCCCAGTCTCTCCTGGCACTGGCGAAATTCTTCTTGTTTCTTGCAGCCGCATGTGTAAAGGCGATAATCTTGTTCACACATGTTGCCTTAAGATTTCGTTAGTCAATCTACGTCGATGCTGTAAAACTTTCTCATAGACTCACAAGTGTCGAGGTTGAGAATCCGTACTGGATGTATGGTTGGAACTGGAAATTCTGGGCCTCGGTCAGTTTGAGCAGGATACAATGGGGTTGGGTCTGAACGCACGGTGTTCTTCGGGGGGGCGGAAGATTGGATAGCAAACTATGGATCAGGAAGACTTTGGTTTAGGACGGGAAAAAAGAACTTCGATATGCCACGAGGCCCTTGAGCGAAACATACAGTTATATATACTCAGAATACGCATCTCCTTGACCAATCTGGCTTCGCCAGGAAGCGCTCGCTCCGCCTGCTACACTCCTGTCCCTTTCCATAGTACGAATTATATTGAGCACCAAGCGCTTCTTGGAGTCTCATCATGATGGAACAGTAGTAACTCGATTCGCTGTTGTGGAATCTCTGAGGGCTTGTGGGGTTGGGCGTTAAGCGAGCCGCTGTCACAGTTGGTACTGAACTGTGATTCCTAGCATACGCTCAGAGGGAAAAGGAGGTACTAAGACCCATAAATTTCCTCTTTTGCCTGGATTTAAGGTTTTTATTCGTCAATTTGCTAGCGCTGCATTGCCAGTGGTTGCAGGTTGACATCTCCGTAAAATGGTCCACAAATACCCGCTTTTTCACGGCCCCTCCTTCAAGCCCCGTAGCGTGGCTGGGTTACAACGCCGTAAACAGTATTTTATAGCGGGTTAAGCCGTTAGAGGCATTGTAAAGCTACCATAAGCCTTATCAACGGGGTTCTGCTTTAAAACCTCTCAGAAATCTTTGTTTCCTACCTTTTCTTTCTACCTCTTTTCCACTTTTCTCCCTACCTCTCTGTATCTGCAAAGCTGTTAAGGGTTACGGCTAGTCCAGTTCAAGCAATTTTCCGCCATGGGGGACCATTCCCCTAACATTCAGTTGCTTCAAGCAAGCGTTGATCCGGAAGACGAAAGCGAGTTCCGTGTTCTTGTCGACAACAAATTCGTGAAATATATCAGCATCGACGCTGGCCTGTATGACAGTGACGAGATGTGCTTCGGGCCTGCTCTGATCTCTCTGCTGCCACCGATTCCACCCGGCGATTGGAACAAGGGCTGCATCTCCCGCCACCCCACAACCGGAGACCCTTACTTTGCTACCGTCTCCAGAGCACATCTCCCAGGAATCACAAAGACCTGGCATCCCACTCGGGTCGACTACCTGGAGCTTCGCATGCAACGAAAACTCCGCTCCAACGTCTACGAAGCCACCTGCCCTCGCTTCAGTTCGGTGGTTATCGCGAAATTTGCGCGGTTTTCCTGGGAGGTGCCCCAGCTCGAGGCGGAGACGGAGGCATACGAATGGATAGAGGGCCACCAAGTCGGTCCTCGTTTTCTCGGCCACTTGACGGAGGAGGGGAGAGTCATTGGGTTCATCATGGCCCGCATCCCCGACTGCCTTCACGCCACGGTGGACGACTTTCGTCTGTGCTCTCTCGCTTTGTCCAACCTGCACGAGCTGGGGATCAAGCACGGGGACATTAACAAGCACAACTTTCTTATTCATGACGGGAAAGCGACCCTAATTGATTTTGACAATGCCTCACGGGCAGCCAGCGCCGATGAGCTGGAAGACGAGCTTCAGGAGCTGCGGGACAAGTTGCAGGATACGTCTGGGAGAGGGGGACGGGTCGTCGAAAGTGGCCCAAGTTGAGTTTCTTGGCCGATTTTATGGACCGTTGGCGTGAACAGGAGGCAGAATATACACTACCTGGTTGTCCCGTAATAAAAGCATAGGAGAGAGGCGTCGGAAAGCAAGAATTACATTTACGTTATATACGGTCGTCAAAGAGGTTACGAGGGACGGACCTTGTACTTTTGAGATTGATGTCCTTGCTTTTGTTTATACAGCTGTCTGGTTACCACTATGTACAGACTGTTGTGGCCTCTCTCGCTTTCCATCTGTCGTTGTCGCCGCCGGTTTGGCTGGGATCGGCTTGATGCGCGCCCACTCCTCAATGGTCAGCAGCGGCTGGTCAATGGGCAGCTCCTTGAGAACGGCATCCATGTCGACCACGAACGGGTCTGTCGGGCTCTCGTTGTACCACGTGTACGCCTTGAACATTTGCGAGACGATCCGGTCGACGTCAATCGTCGCCCGCTTGCGCATCGCCGCGCCCATGGCGCCGCAGAAGTCGGCGACGGTCTGGTTGACGCACCGGAGCTCGACGCCCCAGCCGCGCGACAGCTTCTCGGCCAGCTGCGCCAGCCGCACCGTCTCCGGCCCGCCAATGGGGATGTTGCGCCCGGCCAGGTGCGGCCGCTGCATGGCCGACACCATCACCTTGGCCACGTCCATGTGGCTGCTCCACGACGCCCGCAGCGACGGCTTGTGGCAGTACATGAGCGTGTGCGCGTCGCGGATCGGCGGCAGCGCCCAGCCCTCCAGCAGGTTTTCCAGGTAGCACACGGGCTGGATGCTGATCACGGCGAGGCCCTGGGCCCGCAGGTCGGCCCGGATCGTGCGCCGGTCGTCCTGTGCCCGGATGTCCTGGCTCTCGTCCGGCACCGGCATGCTCGTGTTGAACACGGTCAGCTGGACGCTCGGCGTCGCCTTGATCGCCTCGGCAATCACGTGCGCCCCTGCCAGGATGGTCTCGGCCTTTTGGAACGACGTCGACGGCAGGTTCAAAAACACAATCTCGGCGCCCGCGAGCGCCTGCGCGACGCCGGCCCGGTCGGCAAAATCGGCCGCCGCCGTCTCCACGGGCGTGCCGTCGACCTCGATCGGCTTGGGGCTGCGGCTGACGGCGACCGGGTGGTGGCCCGCGCGGACGAGCTCGACGACCTGGGCCTGGCCCTGCACGCCCGACGCGCCAAAGACGACGACACGCATGGTGGGTGTTGGCGTTGGGACTGTTGGAGGAGTGTCGATGAAGTGGATGGTGGTGGCGGATATGTGGGTAGGACGGGCGTGTATCATAGATGCCTGCTTGGCTTTCCTTTTTCGATTTCTCGGGCACGGTCTATTGATTTTCGACTTCAGTTACAACATCTACGGCGCTTTCTTTTGCACGATGCGATAAACCGACGACAGCACCGTGCCCTTTTAGACGTGATGCGGGTGACATCGGCAAAGATTATCCGCAGCCGTATGGCGGGGAAGGTCGTTTCGAGAGCGCTGGATGCAGGATGAAGAACATCGGGAAGTGTAGATGCGGAGACGGAAATCTTGTGTCGAAAAGAGAGATGGCCGGTGAGCCCATAACACAGGCATTAAATCAAGGCATTAAATAAGGCATTACATAAGGCAACTGTGTGGAGGTGGACGCTGCATGGTACAAATTGAACGAGGCAAGAGCGTCCAGCACAAAGGCAAAGACAAGTGCAGGAAGGTGCGCGGGGTGCGCCGAGACTGCGATATTGCGAGATCGCGAGACAGCGGCACCTTGACAGGCGTTTCCTACAACATGGACCTCTCTTGTCCTGGATGTTGTGGTCCATTGAACCTTTTGGCAGCGCCTGCAGCTACATTTTTCTGTCCTTCTTAGCTTGTCTCTCGCTATTGCCTTTGCTCGATGTCCTCCGCTCTCTGCCGGAGTATCTCTCCACCTCTCGGAGAATGTTATGCTTGGATGCCAAATAACCAATCAAACTACACAGGATGTCGTCCAGTAGAGGCTTTGGGGAAGTGGAGTTCTTGGAGACTTGGGGACGCTGTATGTACAGTCTCCAGCACGCTTCTGGGGATTGCCTGGTATCGGAGCTGCCGGACTTTCCGTGTTTGCTTTCCGTCCGTGGTTCTTTCCTCACGACGTGTGTGCTCGCTCTTTCCTTTTGTGTCGTCCTGTCCATCGCGCCCCTTTTCTCAAGAGTCAATTTGCATCCCTCAGATTGCACTCCGTATTCACGGCTTCTTATTCCTCTCCGTACTCTCTGTGGCGGCCTCAACATCCACCTGTGACCACGTTTATCTCCCGAGTGCAACGACTGATGCTCCGCATATGCCCAGTTGCTTTGCTCTGTCGGAGGATGCCGTCTCTTGCCTTTCCTTCTCCTCACAGCTTCTCTTCGAACTTTGTGTTTACTGCTCCTCGATCCGTTTCTTTGTCTTCGCTCTCCACTCCTGAATCATTGGCCTCCGCAGGCACCCAGACACTAGCGGCAGACGAGGCAGAGTATTACGGCCTGGCTCGTCAATGGCTCGTGGCTCACCGTCCCCTTCCCCACTTTGTCTTCTTGTCACCAACAGACAGCACCAACAGTGCCACCAACCGGGAAAAGCTTATGCGGAGTGCGTCCGCAGAGCGAATCAGCAGCGCTCATTTTGGGCGAAGCGGCATCCGTTGTGAGGCCGATCACCGCGTTGAATCTCGTTGACCTTGCTGGGCGATGCAATTTCCCTTCCACGCACGACCTGTCTCCCAGCAAAATCCTGGACTACGAACCAGCCTGGCGTCTTGGCGTTCAAGTCGACACCTGATGACCTTCGTTTGCAAGAAACAAATGACATGGAAAAGCAAAGGCAAGGACAATATAACGATACCACAAGAAACTGACACGACGTGGACTAGCGGAGGCCGCACTAACAAGCACCAATCCACCGGACTCGGAGCGCGCTATGGCCCTGGCGCACGCGATTGAGTAAAGAAAGGACTAAAACGAGGATGGCACATGGGCGTGGCACACGATTGATATTCCCTCCCGACACCTTGCTACCTCCACCGTTCTCCAGGAAACGCTATTCTCATCCCCCAGAGTTACAGAGCAGGTAATGTGGGCAGCGACGGGTTCCGCCCCCATGGGGCATCCGTGACGACCCAGCCAGAGGTGATTCCTTGGCAGCGACTGCAGGCCCCATCAACGCGGACGACATGATCCACGGACAAACGAAGGGCGAGAATGGAAAACAGGTCGCGAGGGAACGACGGATATAAAGAACAAAACGCCCGTCACCTAGACGTGTACGCTGATCTTTTATGTTCCATTTTTGATTTTTTTAATAAAAATTGTTAATCTTTCCCCAACCTGCCCTTCCTCCTCTCCCACTACCGTCCTGTCGACTGCCCCAACCCTCATCACTCGACAAACCTCACACTCACCATGGCCATTTCTCCGGCCGACCAGTACGAGGTCTCGCCGGCCACCAAGGACGAGGCCGACATGGACGTCCACGAGCAGCGCTATGAAAACATTGATGCCGCGCCACTGGCGTTGGACGCCAGCGACGGCAAGCTGACCAAGGAAATCATCCTGGCCTACTTTGCGCTGTGCTGCCAGATCAACGCCTACATTATGACCCTGCTCGTGCCGGGCGCCATGCTGACGGCCATCAACGCTGACCTTGGCCCCGACAACAACTATACCTGGATCACGCTCTGCTGGCCGCTCGGTGCCTCCGTGTTCGTCTCCATTGGTGGCCGTCTCACCGACATCTTTGGCCGTCGCTACTTTATGATTACTGGTGCGCTCATCTCGATTGCTGGCACGCTTGTGGGTGCCAATGGCAAGAGCATTCCCATGATGATCGTCTCGGGCGCGCTCTTTGGTGTCGGCAGCGGCTTCCAGGAGCTGTGCTACGCCTGCGCGCAGGAGATTGTGCCCAACCGCTATCGAGTCATGGCCGTCGGCGGCCTCGACGTGTCGCTGGCCTTGGCCTTTTCGAGCCCCGTCGTGGCCTACGCCATTGCCGGCTACCACCCCAGCGTCGGCTGGCGCGGCGCCTACTGGTACCTGTTTGCCTTTCACACGTTTGCCTTTGTGATGCTGGTGCTCTTCTACCGGCCGCCCGACTACAAGACGAAGCACCGCGAGGACGGCAAGACGCGCTGGCAGCTGTTGGCGGAGCTCGACTACGTTGGCCTGCTCCTGTTCTTGGCCGGCGGCGTGCTGTTTCTGCTGGGCATCAACTTTGGCGGCCGCACCTACCCCTGGAACTCGGCGGGCTGCATTGCGCCCATTGTCGTGGGTTTCTGCTGCTTCGTGGCCGTCGGCTTCTGGTGCGCCTACGCCGACCTCAAGTACCCGCTGTTCCCGCCCAAGCTGTTCAAGCAGGTGCGCGAGTTCGACATGGTCATTGTCGTGTGCTTTGTGGGCGGCATGCTCTACTACAGCATGAACGTGCTGTGGCCGCGCCAGTCGCAGGCCTTTTTTATTAGTGCCGACACGCCGGTGGTCATGAAGGGTGTCTGGGCCATCATCTTCTCGTGCGGCACCTGGGTGGCCGGTCTCGTGACGGTGTTTGTCTGCTCGCGCCTGCACCACGAGAAGTGGCAGCTCGTCGCCTTTACCGTGGTGCAGACGGCCCTCATCGGCTCGATGGCCTCGGTGGGCTCGGACGACGAGACACAGGCCATTGTCACCGTCGTCATCACGGCCGCCACCATCACGCCGCCGCAGCTGCTCTCGTTTACGATGCTGTCCTTTGGTCTCGCGGACCAGCGGGACCTGGGCGTCGCGGTCGGCCTGGCCGGCACCTTCCGCCTCTTTGGCGGTGCCGTCGCCACCGCCATCTACACGGCCATCTACTCCAACCGCCAGCTGCAGACGCTCCCCGGCTTCATGACCGAGGCCATCCAGCAGTCCGGCGTGCCCTTCTCAGACGCCCTGCTGAGCAGCCTGGTCAAGGCGGCCGCGACGAACACGCTGGCGGCCTACGAAAAGGTCGCGGGCGTCACGCCGGAGCTGGCGGCGCTGGCCGTCAACGCCACGAAGCAGTCGTACGTCAAGGGTTTCAGCCTGGTGTACTTGGTGGCGATTGCGTTTGGCGTGCTGGCGACGGGCGCGGCGCTGTGCACGGTCAGCACGGACCGGGCGAAGAAGAACAACGAGCGGGCGGTGGTGATGATGAACGAGGTCGACAAGTACCCGACGGCCAAGGCGGTATGATTTTGTGCGGTTCGACAGCTTGCCTTATAGTCCTAGTCGAGATCAATGAATGATATCCACTTTCCAGTATTCTGTATTCAGTGGTCGCCGCCGTATGCAGTTGGACCATTTACGGTTCATTGCATGGAGTCGGTGGATGATACGCTGCAATGACGTCCATTGTGCAATTAAATCTACTTGAAAATCGACTTGATTGCGGCCGTTGTTGACTTGTTCGGTGACATAGAAGCTGACGAAATCTACGGAAGTAGGGAAGCATAAACGGCTGACCAACGATCGACGACCACGGTTCGCACCGCCAATGGGAGCAGAAATAGCTTCGCGCGGGTTGCTTTGACAGGCTGATGTTTGTTCCTGGGCCTGTGTGACTCTGGCGCGCGTTATCCGCGTGGTACAACAGGTAAAGGTATTCACATACCTTGAAAGTGAGTGCCTTGAGGAGAGGGCAGTTGAGGGCACGAACAAACAAATGTATTGCTTTTCGCGAGGCGACCCCTAGACCTACCCGTTCGTGAAAAAGAGCAACGTATCGCCCACACACCCTCTTTCGTAGACCCCAACTACAAGATATTTTAACAAGATGTGGGCGAGAAAGGATGTTAAGAGCTCGACGTTATTTTAACCCGGGTCGTATTATGAAGCCGGCCGTGCACTAACAAACAGAAACGCAAAGTGCACTTTTCCAGGCCGTTTTCCACATGCACGAAGCAATAGGCAGCAGCACAACCTGCAAAACGAGTGGTTGTCAGGCCTCGAGAACATGGCGGGGGTTGGGGGGCACTGCGCAGTCCTGTCCAAGGGATTGGCCTGGCACGGCAACTGAGTACGGCGATGGAAGACCATCATTCTGGAGAATAAACACGCAAGAAAATTCGCTACCTTCTTCAGCTTGCAACGCAAGGCAGCATCAGCTTGACTGAATAGAGCAGGTGACATTTCCGACGGAATTCGTAGTAACATCCCAACTCCTTTGGAGCGGAACTGACTTCCAGGCACACATCTTTCTTACCAATACAACACAAGCCGCCAACATGGCACACGACGAGACTATGACGATACAAACTTGTGAGACCTTTGATCCGGCAGAAAAAGCCCGACAGCTTGTGAGTTGTTTATCGCAAACAAACACGGGCTGGTTTATGACCCAGCTGGTTAATTGTTTTGTGTTGATGACCTCAGGAGACGATGATCGGTTGCGGCATCTCCGGCATCGTCCACCTGACGCCGTGCGGCACGATGGTGAAAAAATCGAATGCACAGTGGCGACATTCGCCCGCGATGCGGTGCAAACAACTACGCAATGAAATTGCAATCTACAAGAAGCTGCCGCAAAACCACCCGCGTCTAGTACGCTTTTGTGACTCGTTTGACGACGGGGCCATGGACGTGTGGATGACGCTCGAATATATGCCTAACGGAACACTTGAGGAGTATCTACGCGGCTATAAGAAATTTGGTGGCGATGATAAGTTTAAGTTAAAAGGTGAAACGTATCCCGATTTCGAGGCCCGTATACGTCGCCGTCACGATTCCCTTACCTTGCGCCAACGCGCCCGGTGGTGCCTCGAGGCCGCCGACGGTATTGTCCTACTACACGCCTATAAAGTCATCCACGCCGACATCAAACCCGAGAACATGGGCGTCGATGCTAACCTCGGTGTCCGCATCTTTGACCTGGGCAGCTCGTCCTTGGGCGACCAGCCCGCGCTCGGTCTCGAGAGCACGCGCTACTTTATGCCGCGCGAGTCGTGGGACGTCTACAGCGTGACGACCGACTGCTTCGCGGTAGGGTCCAGCATCTACCACATCGTCACAGGCTACCGGCCGTACGACGCCATGCCCGACGACGAGGTGGCGGCCCGCTTCGAGCGGCACGAGTTTCCCGACCTCTCGGGGCAGACGACCGAATACGAGGCAAAGTACGCCAAGGACGGCGACACCGTCGGCGTGAGCCCCGTGACGGGCCAGCTTCTCTTTGCGGACACGATTCGCAAATGCTGGTTCGGCGAATTTGCCACGGCGGCGGATGTGCTGGAGGCGCTGAAGGAGGAAGTCGTCGCGACGTTCAGCGGCGACGACTTGGCTTTCATCGAGGATGCCAGCGGTTTGAAGGTGCGGGTTGACGGTGCCAGGCAGGAAATTTGACGGGACATCTACGGTTCGTGTGCGGTTCTGAAGATACGTTAGGGATACGGTATAGTTTTGAATTCGGTAGTAGGATGGACTATCAAAGCACAGCGTTTGAAGAAAATAATAAGGGGGAGCTGAAGAAATATATAGGCTGGCGAGTACAAGTGGGTTCCGGCATCCCGCGTCTCCGCCTCTCATCTACTCCCCGGTAGATCAGACAGGCGACAGAGCCAGCATCATGAGTGATAATATTGGACAGTACTATAATTCACTGTCACTCGGAGATCTAGACCGCCACACTGGAACCCGTCCTTTTCTAGGACCCAAGAGATTATTACCATGAGCCATGTAAGTCTTCTGAGTGTCAATCGGCGTTCCATCTCGGATGCGCTTATGTCTAACCGTAGTGTTTGATTTGCCGTGCTATTGACGCCGTCTCGGAGTGGTGTCGACCGATAATCATCGCCGTTCACTGGCCTCACGTGTTTGCTCATGTGTGAAGTTTCGTTAAAAAAAGAATTAAATCACTGCAACCTGATTTCTTCCTGTTCTTCCTGTTCTTCTCTTCTATTGTCGCCACTCCCTTCCTTTCCTGGCTGGGCCACGTTGTTTCATGGCCAGGGCCCCGGCCGGGGCCGCCGCGCCCAGCGACCGACGTCATTGTCAGCATTTGCCCACCAATGGTTACGCGCCGGACGCTTAACGCCAATCAAGACGCAACCACGGGGCCAACTGCAACACAAAGCCTGTTTTTTGTAAAAGGTATGTGAACGACGTCAAGAAACCAGGCTCCCAGGATGTTGGAAGACAAAAAAAAAAAAAAAACAGAAGAAGAAAAGAGCATGGCAGACAAAGACTGCGCAAACAAGGACCTTGTTCGTCTTTGATGATGCGGTCGATTGTTGTTTGTATCCACGACAAAGACGACATCCGCCCTTATTGTTCTATTTTGTTCGTCCTTTGGACTGTCCAAGGGCGATCTTTGAATTGTGATTTGACATGCCTTCAATATAATCCACAGAGTGCCTTCATCTTTATTCTCCCACATCGTCGTATTTCTCTCACTATATCGACCGACCTTTGCTCCCACATCATCAACGCACTTACGACAATAAAAAATGATACCTATACGACACACGCGGCACATCGCAGTCACACTGTTGGCCGTCGCACTCACGCAGCCGACTGCCGCCTCAATACACCCAACACAAACAGCCAATGGTACAATACGCGCCACACCAGATCCGCTGCCGCCGGACCAGATCGCTGCCCGCAATGCCGCCCCAGATGCGGCCACGACCGTCACCGCCATGCCCAGCTTGCCGAGCAACGCACCCGAGTACACGTCCGACAAGCTCTTCCAGTCGGCCATTCTCAACAGCACCAACTTCTTTCGGCGCGAACACAATGCCACCGCCGCCACCTGGAACGCCACCATTGCCCAGTTCGCCGCCAGCTACCTCGACGGCGACTCCGACTGCACGTTTGCCCACTCGGGCGGGCCCTACGGCGAAAACATTGCCGTCGGCTTCCAGACCGTGCACGGCGCCATTGACGCCTTCGGGCTGGAGCGGCGGCTGTACGACTTCAACCACCCGAGCTTCAGTGAAGCCACGGGGCATTTCACGCAGCTGGTGTGGAAGGCGAGCACGACGGTCGGGTGCGCGCGCAAACTGTGCGGCGGCGCCGCAGCTGGCATGAAGAACACGGGGTGGTTCCTGGTGTGCGAGTACTGGCCACGGGGCAATGTGATTGGGCAGTTTGCGCAAGAGGTCGACCGGCAGACGAGCGGGCCGGGCGCTGACGACAGTGACGGCAACGGGGATGGAGAGCCGTCGGTGGCTGCCGGTAAGCCGTCGATGGGCGGCGTGGCGGCCGCCGTCGTCGTTTTTGTGATGCTCACGGCAGCCTTTGCCAACGACGTACGGCTGACCGTAGCGGATGCATGACGAAGGGTCAGGTAGGAGACGACATACGACGCACTGTACGGAGTACAGAACAAGTCACATAGACGATAGAATGGCGACATGACTGTTTTCACTGTTCACCGCTCCCAGAAAGTACTCCTCTTCCTCCGTAGTTCCCGAACTCTGTCCTCCTCACCTGCTCACCGACTCCAGACCCACAATCACAAAATCAATGCCCATGTCATCTGCATGAATTCCAGAGCATAGAGGAATGCCCCGTAACAGAGAATAAGCCGCTCTTCAACAGTCGGCGTGCACAGACGACCAGCGAACAGTCCGCCGGGACAATACGTTGAGCGACAGCCATTCACAACCCACACCTCTGGCACCCTGGCTGGTACCCTCGACGCGGACTTACGTCTTGCCACTGACCCCCGCACACGGGTCCGGTCTCGGGCACCCACAGGACCTTCCGTCTCACACCACCCAAACCGTTCTCCGGCTCGTCATCCGTATCGTCCGGGGATGACCAAGTTATGCCTAAATTGTGGGGGATGCGACCGAAACAGACAAGAATGGACACGTATGGACGAGCTTGGACACGTATTGGAGGGCGTGCATATGCGCGGCGGCCTGAGCCACGGCCTGTTAGCTCTGGGCTGTTCCTTGTCGTGTGTTGGACCACGTCTGGCTTGTCGTCGAGCCTTTCGAACTTCAGTAGTTTGTATTCATTTAATGTTTTGGAAAAGTCATCCGTCGTAGTCTCTGCTTCGCTCTTTCCTTGTTTGACGTTGTTTGTGTCCCGTGTTGTGCATGGCTACTTCCTCGTCTTCGGACGCTCAATGGGCCGTGCATTCCGGAAACACCCACTCAATTTGCACTCTTAACAATTCCCTGACCGATACAGTAAAGTGAGATAGGCATACCAACAAGCTCTGCCAATCGCTGTCTTCGTCTTGCCAAAGGCAAAGACGCCGTGGAACAGTGCAGAGGTAGCAGCACAGGAACCGGTCAAGAGCGACAGGTTGGACGGCAAGACCGCCCGGCAAGAGGTACCCACTTTTCGAAGCCCGTCGTGACTGCCCTGTGGTTCAACAGCCTCTGTGCAGCAGCATCGCTCCTGCTGTTTCTTTGGTGGGAGGTCCGTCAAGGCGCTCGTCTTCCCCTTACGGTCTTTCCTTTGTTTTGCACTTTTGCCCTTGGCGTGTTGGCATCTGTTTTTGCACCTTTTTTGCACCTTTTTTGCATCTCTCGCCTCAAATCTGCGCATCGCCAGTCGTGTGTCCTGGGCGTTCACAGCCGCCCTGCCCACAACACATCATTCACTATTAGACCCCGTTGGTTATTTCAGTGCGTATTAATACCCTCGCCCTGTCTTCTTGATCTGTCCCGTCCATCGTCGACAACAAGCTGTGCCCCTTCCTTTTAGTCCTTTGATCATTTTCATCATTTCTATTTGTCTCTCTTTTGTCATCGTGGATCCTTTCTGCTCCCGTTCTTCTCGCCTCCTTTGTCTCCAAGTCGCCATCACGGCCCCCGACGTTTCAAAGTCAAAAGCCGCTAGTGCGCGGGCTTTTCTTATTGCGGAGCCTCCCACATGAGCATGGCATAGCTCAGCTCCGTCGCCGCCATTTGCCTTTTGCCCTTTTGTGCCATTTCTGCCTCTAGCTAACGATATCCCAAAGCGCAATCCGCTAGGCAGATCATCTCTTACGTTGGTCCGAACGCAACTGGCTCTGTGCCTGCCAGCAGAGAAAGCTCACGCACACAAAGCAGCCTGCAGCAACCACCCATCGCCCGGCCTGTCACATCCCTCGATTACGCAGCGTCGGCAGCAGCCTGCGTCTCACTTTGATGACGGCCGTTCTCACGAACCCATCTCATTGTCGCAATTCCCCTCGCTCCGTCTGTTGTTGAAGCCCCGGTAATCTCGTCCCCATCGTCGACGTACCGCGCCCCGAAGGCATCGAAACCCTGTACGTCACCAAAAACGCATCCCGTTCTTAAAGACGGGCGCTGCCATTGCATTGGACCCTGGCTTCCGTCGCTGACCTCCGTCATTTTCTTCGTCGTGTTTTCTTCTATTTCTGCATTGATTGCTTGCTTTCGAATTTCGCAACAGCCATCTACCTACCATCGCGCCTGGCACAAGCTACGGCCCGTTGTGGATAGTCTTCGAACGGCTCTCTTGTTTTTGTCTTATCGCTAGATTTACATATTTGCTGACCCTGTTACGTTTGGCCCGACTTTCAGCCTCGCCGCGATCCCATCAGACGACGCCATTTCACCGTCTCTTCATCTCCTCCGTCCACTCTCCTCCACCCACAGTCTTTCTGAGACGTCATGCCGATGCGCCCGCTCGAGCCAAACCTCCATCGAAGCCTTCGAATCTCGAGTGCCGCCTAAGACTGGACCGACACCTCCATCCCGACCTCCTCCTCGGCCATATCCATTATCGAAGCCATTTTGTTTCGCCATCGAACGACACGACCCTCGATACTCCTTTCCTCCTCATCTCGCTTCTCCAGTCACGCGACTGGAAGCAATCGAGTCCGTGTCCGTCGCTCACCATGGACGAGAACCTCGAGGCGCACTCGCCCATCCCGGGCTACTTGGCCGCCGCGGCAACCTCCTCCCATGACTTCCTCGCCGGCCACTTCTCCGTCGATACCATCTCGCGCGCCACGTCGCCGGGCGTGCCCTCGTCCGTCACCCCCGACGACGACGGCAAGAAGCGCTACCGTCCGCGCACCTTCAGCTACTTCAGTCAGCTGCCGTACCCTGTCGAAGACGAGTCGGAGCGCGACGCCACCCTCAACCTCATCCTCAAGAACCTCTACATTGCCATCAAGGCCGAGGACTTCACGCCAGGTGCCTTGCACTGGACGCGCGAGCTGCAGGGATGGCTCAACCTCAAGTTTGAGATGACACGCGAGCAGCGCGCCAGCCTCGCCCAGCTCTACTACCACCTCGCCCTCGCACCCGGCCTCGAGACCACCGCGACCGACCGCTTCTGCCGCATGCTCATCACCCTGACAAAGAAGCGGCACTACCTTCGGCCCGGCGAAGACCTCACCCTCGACTGGCGCCCGCTATGGAAGCAGCTCAAGAGCATCACCCTGCCCAGCGAGACGGCGGTGCATCAGTCGGTCCAGGCCCGTGTCTACAAACAGGTCCTGCGTCTCTGCCTCCATGCACAGTCCTACCTTGACCCCAGCGACCGCCGCGAAATGCTCGACGAGATCCTGCCCTACTTCAGCACGTCCGACATGTCCAACGCATTCATCGTCATCGGCTTAATTACAATCATGGTGCCCACCGCCCCAGCACCGCCGACGGCCTACATGTCGCAGCCGTCCGACTTCCTCCCCACCTACTTCCACCTCTGGTCGCTCGTCAATCGCTCCAAAGCCGTCGACGTTTCCTTTGTCGACATCTTCTCGCGCATGTCCCGCGATTACCTCACCTACCAGCACGTGCCCTTCACCGCCCACGGCATCTTCACACGAGAGCAGTCCAACCTCATCTTCACGGCCATCCTGCGCCTCACCGAGATCCCCGTCGGCCAGGCCAATTCGCCCTACGTCTCTACCCTCGACTACTCGTCCGGCCTGGCCGTGTTCCTCGACAAGGACCGGAAAAAGTACCCCGTCCCCTACATGGCCGCGCGCTGGATCGTGCACGCCCTGTCGCCACTGTGCCTGGACACGCAGGACGAGGATGCCGGCGCGACGCCCGCGAGCAGCATCCTCACGGGCCTCGAGGGCTTCTTGGAGTCCATCGATACCTTCTTCCACCCCTCCAACCAGGGCGCCTGGACCAGCTTCCTCGCGCAGTTCACCCACTACCTGGTCGACATCTTTGTCAACCGCTGGAACCGCGAACAGAGCGGCGAACTCGACGTCCCCGTCGACCGCCGCCTGACGCCCGAGGTCAAGCGCCGCTTTGTCCTGGCGCTGCGCGACGTCACCTTCATGGGCTTGTTTGCCAAGAGCCAGAAGACGGCTGGCTACTATTACGTCACGCTCCAGTCGCTCGCCTTCTTGGAGCCAGGCCTCATTCTGCCTGGCGCCCTGCAGCGCTTCTATCCCAGTCTGCAGGGGCTTGTGGAAGTGCACCGGACGACGGCCAGTTTGTGTGGACTCCAGGTGATTGCACACACCATGTCACGTCTCAAGGGTTTCCGCGGCCACATCACCGCCCTGCTGGCGCTCGCCCTGCCCGGCATCGACGCCAACGATCTCGGCAAGACACAATTGACTCTTGCCTTTATCCAGACCGTCGCGTACAGCATACCCTTTGCGTCGCTCGTCAACGACAAGGATGCCGACAATGGCGTCTATGACACCGGCCTGGCCATGGAGTGGGTCCGCGGCGAGATGGAACGCTTTGAGCGCGAGGGCCAGGACATCGAGCTCGACTACGACAAGGAGCTCACCGACGAGGAAGAAGCCCGCATCGTGCGCTCGTCCACGGCCGGCTTCGGCGAGTTCTTGAATTCTCTGCTGGGCAAGATTTTCACCCTGGTTGAGAACCTGCCGGACCTCTCGCACTTCCGCTCTGGTTCTCCGGAAGACCATGTCATCAACTCGCTGCCGTCCGCCCTGACGCCCGTCTTCGCCGCCCTGTCGCCGGAGCTGTTTGACATGGCCGTCGAGAAGATTGCCGCCTTCGTGGCTTCGCACGTCGTGCACCAGGCCCGTGACTCCATGGCCTGGATCGTCAACGCTCTGTGCCGCGTCAACCCGGAGAAGACGCTGAAGGTGTTCATCCCCATGCTCATTGTCAACATCCGCAACGAGATTGACGACAACAGCGCCGCCTCCGATCGCAGCAGCGGTGCCGACGTGCTGCCGCGCGACCGTGCCCTGGTGTGGTACGTGAGCATCCTGAGTATGTGTGTTGTCCACGTCGGCAGCGAGGTGCTCAAGTACAAGAAGGAGCTGCTCGACATTGGCGAGTACATGCAGGACAAGTGCCGCGGTCTGGCTACCATCCACATCTCCAACTTCGTGCACCACCTGCTCATCAACCTGACGCACACCTACCCCATCGACAACCAAATGTTCGAACCCGACGTCATCAAGGACGGCATTGGCTTGCAGCACTTTGGCCACATTACGGCCCCGTCCGACCTCACCATCAAGTGGTACCGCCCCGCGCAGCCCGAGGTCCAGTTTGCGGCGGAACTGTTCGAGTCCCAGGTCATCAGCGCCAAGGAGAAGATGGAGGCCTTGATGAGCGCCGAACCGCCTGTCAGTCGCAATGGCAAGAACAAGGAGTGGAGCGACGAGCTGACCCGCGCTCTGTCACGGATTCGCCAAGTTATCTCGGGCGTCTCGCCCCTCTTCGAGACAGCACGTGCGTCGACGACGACGACCGACGGCCGCGGCGGCCCGGCCAAGAACGACGACGTCGAGATGAAGGACGCCGCCGCACCCCCTGCGACGGCCATTTCGAGCATCGAAGGAAATGACGAGGACACGGCGATCGACGAGGACGTGGATCCGCTTGCCGAGGTGGCGTCCGACGACGATCTGAAGCGCGAGTTCTCCTACCCGTACGGCTACGTCCTCGACCGCAAGAGTGTGCTTTTTGAGCGCATCCACGAGCTCCGCGAAACAGTCGGCTACCTGCTCGCCCGAACGCACCGCTTCCTCGTCGCATTCCAGGAAGACGACGTCGCTTGCTTTACGGAGCTGTACACCACGTACCGGACCTTCATTACGGATGTTGGCTTTGAGCGGACGTCACGCCCGCTCGACCGGCTGCTGCGCCTGTACCGCTCCGACATTGCGTCCTTCAAAATCAACGGTCTGCGCAAGGCGTACCCGCGGCCGCTGCTCGTCAAGCGCGCCGACGCGTACCAGCTGCAGCGCGTGAGGTACAACACGACCTACCGGTTGACCAGCCAGCTGGACAAGCAGCTTATCAAGGACCTCGCCCAGTCCTGTACGTCTGTGTATGCTGATGTACGCCGTGCCGCCCAGTCTGCGCAGGAGTCGTCGCTCAAGGTGCTGATTGGCAGCCGCCCCGTGGTGATTCCCATTGTCCTGCGCACGCTCGAGGAGTCGCTGGACAACAGCGATCACGACCGGATCAAGGGTGCCATGTACACGTTGCTGTTCACGTCGCTCATCAAGACGCTGATCCGTGACTGGCGGTTTGCCCCGACGCTGATCCGGCTCTATATCCGGTCGGCCGACGTTGACAAGGCGTCGATCCAGCAGATGGGTGCGAACGCGCTCTTCCCCTTGCTCGATTTCGGCAAGGCGTTTGAGCGCATGGTGATTGTCAACGAGGCGACCCTCGCCACCATCACGCCGGCCAGCAAGGACGACCTCGGCGACAGCGCCGAAAAGATCCAGAAGCGGCACTCATTCATCTTGGAGCGGCGCCGCAAGGTCGAGCAGAAGAAGGCCGAGCTCGGCCTCGAACTGATTGAGATTGCCGCCAAATCCCATTGGAAGGTGGCCAGCCGCTGTGCCGTGTTCGCCAATAACCTGTGTCTGCGTTTCGACACGCTCGCCCCCGCCGCGTTCATTGAGCTCGCCGCCAACGGCGCCATCAGCCAGCATCCGACACTGCGGGCCGGCTACCAAAACGCGTTTGCGAACATTTTTATGTTCTTGGCGCTGCGCGCCTGCTACAAGAACGACTACCGCAACTACCTGCTGGACAACGAGCGGACGGACAACCGGCTCGAGATCCAGGTCCCGGCCACGGGCGGCGATGCGGCATGGACCAAGCAGTACCTCGACTCGTTTGCCATCCAGGCGCCGGAAGCCAATGGCCACGGCCCAGCGACCAGCGGCGGCAGCAGCGGCGATGCAGACAGCACCTCGTACTTTGTTGACTCAGACTACCCTGGCTGGCTCGTGTGGGGTAAGTCGTTTACGGGCTACAGCGCCGACCCGACCATTGTGGCGAACCGCTTCGATGCGGTCGGCACGGCGGCCCGCAAGCAGATTGGCACGATCCTGACCAAGGATTGGCTCAAGCAGTACTTTGACTACATGAAGCAGGAGCCGCGCGATGCCAACGCCGACCGCTTCAAGGTGCGCTACGTGTCGATGTTGTCGTACGTGTTTGAGCTCGTGCACAGCGGCGTGGCGGCCGTCACGTTTGACGAAGTCAAGGAGCTGGTCCGCGGTGTCTACGACGATGGCTCCGACCGCCACCAGCATCGGGCCACTGCGGAGATTGTCGCGGCCCTGCTGTCCGTCGGCCCGGACGAGCCCAAGGCGTACCGCGACCGTGCCTGGGCGTTTGCGGGGCCGCTTCTGCTCGACATCATCAACGACAAGCTGACGCCCGAGAATCTGCAGTACTGGATGACGTGCGTGCACATGATTACGGGGATCAGGGACCCCCGGCGGGCACGCGAGCTCGTCCTGGGCCTGGGTTCGTTCCGGCTGGACATGACGTCCAATGCGGCGTTCAAGGAGTCGTCCAAGGTGACGCTGCTCGAGTTCTTGATTAGCGATGCGGGCTGGCACTTCCGCGGCGAGAAGCCGATTGTATCGGACATGCTGGCGCACATTGACCACCCGTACAAGGCGGTGCGGGAGGCCATGGGCCGGGTGCTGGCGACCATTTTCCGCACGCGCTACCACGAGTCGTTCCCCAACGTGGCGGCCCTTCTCGAGCAGAACAAGGCTGCGTCGTCGGTGGGCATCCGCCCGTACCATGCGACGAGCGAATTCTCGGCCATTGTCACGGAGGTGTTCCAGCGGCTGGAGGCGTGGCGCCACGAGCGCGTGCCCGGTCAGCAGGAGCAGAGCAGCTACACATCCGGATCCAAGACGGTGCTGACATGGCTCGACTGGATGCTGTCGTCACAGGAGTGCACGGAGCTGGTGCAGTTCTTCCCGGAGCTGTTCATCGACCAGCTGCTGCACATGATGGACGTCAAGGAGGACCCGGAGCTCATGCGCCTCGCGTACCACGTGTACCGGCACCTGCCCAACATCCCGCTGCGCGAGGGCGAGGACGACGCCTTTATCCGCAAGCTGATTGACGTCGGTCGGTCGGCGCCCAGCTGGCACCAGCGCCTGCGTGCGCTCATCAACATGCAGGTGGTCTACTTCCGGCGGCTGTTCTTGAGCCGCCCCGCCCAGCGCAAGCTACTATTTGACGCCGTCGGCGACATGCTGGCGGACGCACAGCTCGAGGTGCGCGACTCGGCGGCGGCGACGCTGGCCGGAATGATCCGCTGCTCGCCGGCGTCGATCCGCAACCCCATCATCCAGTCGCTGATGCGGCGGTTCAAGGAGCAGCTCGCGGCCAACCCCATGCCGAAGCGGAAGCGGTCGGTGGTCTCGGCGGTGGCGGGGATGGGGGCCGAATCCGCGAGCGGACGCGAGACGCCCATTGACACGAAGCGGCAGGTCATTCGACGACACGCGGCCGTCTTGGGCCTGGGCGCGCTGATCGAGGCGTTCCCGTACGCAACACCACCACCGTCGTGGATGCCCGAGGTGCTGTCGCACCTGGCGACGCGGACGGCCAACGACCCGGGCGTGGTGGGCAACGCGACCAAGTCGATTCTGTCCGAGTTCAAGAAGACGCGGCAAGACACATGGATTGTGGACCAAACAGTACGTGCCTCTCAGCCCCCCCACTCCCCGGACCTATTGCTACCAAATGCTAACCGTTTTAGTACTTTACCCCCGAGCAACTGGAGGACCTCGAGGGTGTTTTGTGGAAGAGCTACTTTGCATAGAGAGCTACTTTGCATAGACGTGCTATTCTTGTCCCGTAATCAATTTTGTAGTATTCGTCTGTGGCATGTGTTTATTTGTGTTTATTTTTATTAATTTCTGTCTTTTTTGTTCCGATGTCTCCTTTTTGACTTTTTGAGTTGCTACACCTGTCTTTCTAGAGGAACCATTCACAAACACAATTTGCATGGGACAGAGGAGAAACGATACGATAGACTGCGATTCGACTCTTGCATAATAGTCATTTTCTTTAAATTTATTGTGTTTGCATTCAAGAAATGTCCCGATATTCTATTCAAAATTTTCTTTGAAAAATATTAGGCCTCCTCTGACAACTACGTCATGGTGCAGTTGTTGCCGGGGTGTTGGGTGCAAATTTTTAGCGTCTTCGGCAGCCCAACTTTAGCGTCGTGGGTCTATTTTTACAGGGGCTCAGGGGCATGAGGGTATCTCTCTCACACACAGACATTGAACCCCCGTCGAATCCTTCTCTTTCGGACCGTGAGGCCCATTGTGTCAACGATCAGCGTCGGTGTTATTTACGAAACAAAAACATTTGTGGTTTTGCCGTATCGCCTGATATCGCAGATTGGGCACCGTCTACTGGTCTGGGTGGGACTGTAAGGCTCTGAGGCTCTCTCTGGCGGCCGGGGGCGCAACGCTTCACTTCAACAGCCCAACGCGCACTAATCCACCCGCTAAATCCATATCCAAGATGCCTATCGAAAACCTATCGTTAGGCCTCCAGGCACGTCACCCGAATGGCATTCGCCACCGGTTCGGCAAGTCCCATGTCCCGTCCACTGTTTTGGCCTCGTATCTGTCCTTTGTTTTGTTTTGGCCCCTTTTCGCATCGACTTTGGGTAGGCAACCCTTTGACACGAGAGAGTGACACCGTTCAAACATGTTCGAACATCAGCCACTCAGCTTGAGGCAGCCAATCGAAGAGAGGCTGCAGGCGTGACTGCGCCGCATCTGCGACGCACATAGAGTCCACGAGGACGTCGTCCAGGCGCCCTCCTTTCGATGCAATCGTAGGCGTGACTGTTTGATGGGCGCTGCGTGCGGTCTTTGTTGAATGGGTAGGACATGGCCAGCGCTCTGCACCTCTACTTGCAAACTGCTGCAACCAAAAAGCATGCTGCAGAAAGCGGCTCAACAGTAACACAGCGCTCCACCCGCAGCGTGCAGCACACACGGCACACCCCTGCACCTTCCTCGCTCGCTCCAGCTGGCCTTCCCCTCTCTGGTGGCTGCCCCTCACTCTTGCCCGCGGTCGCAGCTCCTGCTTTGGGCTCTGCATCGCTCTTTCCGTGTCGTCATCGGACCAGTCTCTGGGCTGAAATGGCAACTGGGTACGTGTGCGTCGTACGACTGCGCGACCACTTTTTCCCCTGCCCCCTTTCTTTCATCCGTCTCCTACTTTTTTCTCGAGTGGGCCGTCAATGTTCTATTATTCTTCCACCTGTCAATAGAATCTTGGATTTGAAGCCATCGTTTTACAGATCCTTTCCCAACTGGCCTGCATACCTGCTTCCTTTTCTTTCCCCTCTCGTGTGCTGGGCCATCCACACCAACATTGCAACTCAGATATTAGCGACGCACCTCAGTGCAAGCCTCGTCTCAGCCAAAGCAGCCTTTCAAGCACCACGAACGAGCGACATAGTAACGAATCCCTCTATTTCCCTTTTGAGTCCCACGGCCTTTACCGGGTGAAACTGTCATCTGCATCTGCCCGTTTTGCTACTTCATATCCACGTCCCACAAACAACCCTGCCACACGACAGACATCATGTCGCGAGACCTCGATCGTCGTGATTATGAACGCGACCGTGTCGTCTACGAACGTGACCGCGACCGCCGGCGAGACGACCGGATCCGCTACGAGGAGGACGACGAGTATCTCGCCTACGACCGCCGCCCTGGTCCGGCACCGACTCGTCTCCGTGAGCGCTCACCGCCCGGCCGCCGTGAAGAAGTCGTTACGCGCGAGCGCCGCTACATTGACGACGACCGCGACGATGACAGCCTGATTCTGCCCGCCTCGGCACGCCGCCGCCCGGCCCCACCGGCCGTGATCCCCGACGACTTTGAGCGGCGCGAACGGGTCCGCATCCGTGACGCCGAGGACAGCATTGTGGGCAGCAGCGGACCGCCGCCGCCACGGCCGGGCCGTCTGATCCGTCGCCAGTCGAGCGTCGAAACGTTTGACCGCCGCCCGGCCCGCCGCAACTACGACCTGGACCGCGTCGACGCGTACGACCGCCGCCCGCCCGTCAACGTGCCCATTCCGTTGCCCATCCGCCGGCGCCGGGACAGCTCGGCCGAGCGGCGGCAGCAGGAGTACGAGCGCGACCGGGAGCAGTACGAGAGAGACCGCGAGCGTGACCGCGAGCGTGACCGCGAGCGTGAGCGGACCGAGATTGAAGAGATTCGCATCGAGCCGGGCCGCCTGGAGGTGGGCGACATCGACATTGAACGCCGCCGGCGCCGTGGGTCCTATGAGCGGCACGAGCGAGACTTTGAGCTGGAACGTGCGCACGGCCACGACGCCATCCGCGAGCACGACCGCCTTGTCGAGGAACGCATCGTCAACGAGCGACATAGCGGGCCCGTCGTCGAGACGAGAATGTCTCGGCCCCGGTCGCCGTCGGTGTCGTCGCAAAGATCCATCTCCGTGACGTCTGTGCGGTCGCAGTCGAGCGACGGCGTGACACTGCGGAGCGAGGGCAGCCGCAGTGGGCGCGCGCCGAAGAGCGAGTACCCGAAGAAGGGCAAGACACGGATGCCGGCGCGTCTGGTGTCGGAGAAAGTCCTTGTCGACCTTGGCTATCCATTTATCAAAGAGGTGCGTTGTTTCCCCCCCTCCTCCCCAAGCAGTCTGGTCATTCTGAGCTGTATCATGGTCGACGGGAACTAACATTCAACTCATTACAGGGCAACACCCTGGTCGTCCAGGTGGCTCTCGGTCAGGACAACATTGATGACGTCCTCAAGCTGAGCCGCGATTACAAGAAGAGTGAGTCTCATACCGATGTTGCCTTGTTTCATGTCCCTTTCTATTTTTTATTTCGTCCATTATTATTCGCCTGGCCGTCTCCTAACATGCTTCCAGACGAAGTAGACATCGTCGAGACCAAGAAGACAAAGGTCAAGACATCGAGCGGCACCGTTGTCGAAGAAGAACGCCGACGTGAAGAGGTGGTGATGGCTCCGGAGCCCCCACCCGTGCAACAATACCAACCGCCTCCACCACCTCCACAGCCACCGCAAATGTACCAACCGCCGCAAATGTACCAACCACAGCAGGTGTACTACACGGCACCGCCACCGCCTACGGTCCAGTATGCCCCCGCCCCTGCCGCCGTCCCAGCACCCGATCCCGTCGAGCGCTCACCGGCCTACGGAACAACCAACATCCACATTCGCGACGTCTCACCTGCACGCAGCTATGCAGGCCCCTCGATGAATGAGACGTCTGTCGCCTTGGTCCGGACCAGGTCCCGGTCGCGCTCTCGCGACCCCAGGTCATTGGCGTTGGCGCCCGTCGTCTACGACGCCGGCAGCCCTGCCGTCGAGGTTTCTGAGGAGCCTCTGGCCGTCGCCATTGTCGACAACCGCCACCGCAGCAAGAGCCGCCATCGCCACCGCCACCGCCACTCGCACTCCAGACACCGTCGTGCACGGTCGCATTCGCACGGCGACGGCGCCCTTTATGCGCACTTCCTTGGCCGCCGCGACCGTGACCGCGACGACCGGTACTACGACGTCACCGTCGACGACCGCTACTACCGTGAGGAGCGCGACTACTACGAGCCCGTGTCGTCCTCGAATCGTGACCTCGTCCGGGCCGAGCGCCTGAGCACGGGCGAGCTGGTGCTGTACGAGGAGCAGGTCGAGCGTTTCGAGGAGCCGCGGAACGGCGTGCGCATCGAAAAGGACAAGAAAGGTAGGATGGCCATCAGCGTGCCCAAGTATCGATAAAGATAAAAAGGTCCGCTGCCCTTTTTTCCTGGTCAGACGTTTTCAAAGGGCCCAAGAATCCACAGCTAACACATCCAGGTCCACCGCCGAAGCTGATGCGGGCCATGCTGGCCACGCTGACGTGAGCGAAGCTCTCTGTACGCCGTAACGGGGATGGTTCTGGCGATGCACTTTTGGGAATATATGGTTTGTTTTTACGGGAGATAGACTACAGACAGAAAGTATTTGGAAACGAATATTGGAATACTCGGTTTGGCTGATGTGTTTTCTTGGATACGATTTTGGGCGGATCTTTTGCTTTTGAGTGGATCTTGACGTGGCCTCTTGTGTTTCTGTGGGTATGGCCCTAATGACGAAATGACTGTTTTCACGTTGATTTCCTTCTTCTCTTGCCTCGCTATTGCACAATACATTATCCGTTATCATCGCTGCTTCGTCGCCATGTTCTCTTTAACCTTCGGAATTGGCGACTCCGTCCACCGTATTTGTCTGCTTTGAGGCTTCACGTGACGCTAGCGGACAAGAAACCTTGTCGATGATTCCACACAGTGATCGCCGAGCACCCCGCAACGCCCTAAAGCTGGGGTAGAAGGCCACCCAAGCTACGCTTCACATGCTCCTGCTTCTCTCCCACCGTGTAAGTTGCCTCTGGAGACGCCGAATTGGAGGCATTCCACAAACCACAAAGCACTTGGTCTCGTAAAGTCTGCCACTGTATTTTTTCAGTTTTTCAGTTTTTCAGTCTTCTTCTTGCATCCCTTCATATTGTTTTGGCCTTTTGTATCTTGCGTCTCTTCCACCCATCTTGGACGACCCGGTTACCTCTCAGAAACGGACGGCACAACGATTGCGACGACATCTACCGGCTGGCTTTTGTTTTGCGCGGCACAATCTATTTCAATATCGGCAAGCGAAGCCACTTCAACCGAAGGCCACATTTGCTGCCAAAGGCATCTCGCAGCCCAAGGATGACCGCGGGAGAGGCTGCTCCTGCTCCTGCTCCTGCCGCAGGAGGAAGCGGCTTGGGGCCGGGGACTGGCAAAGGGTCGTTCCTGCCGCCGCTGTACCTGCCATGGGTGCCCGCTGCCGTCATGGTCGTGGTCGTTGTTGCCTTTTTCACGCATCGACGGAGGAGCATAAGGAGCCCACATAATCTCGGGTTGGCTGGTCAAAAGAGCGAGAGCTTGCTGCCGTCCTTTCTCTCCTCCTTTTCCAACAGTGGCAGCAACCGTCCAAGGCGCCATCCACGCCGACCATCATCGTCATCCTGCATCTCATCACTAGTAGCAGCCGTTGCGTACTTTGCAGCCACTGCAGCCATAGTCGTCCTCGTCCTCGCAGCCATGCACTCGCTGCGTCAGTTTGCGGCACACGCTGCGGTTGCGTCGTCTGTCGCCGGCGGCCTCGCCTTTGGAGCGCCGGCCCCGGCATCCTGGTCAGGCTCGGTTCCCAAGGCGTCGACCTGCGACGCTACGAGTCAATGGCCTGGCTGGAAAGGCATCCAATATGCTTTTATCTTGTAAGTCAGTCGTCCTTCAGACCCCCCATGGTCTGCCCTCCACCAACACGCATGTCTCCTCCAGTGGCGACAGCTACACGCAGACCGGCTTCAACTATTCCATCACGCCCACGCCGTCCATTGACAATCCGCTGGGGAACCCGCCGTACCCGGGATGGACGTCGTCTAATGGACCCAACTGGGTCGGCTTTCTCTCCACCAAGTACAACGCCTCGCGGCTGCGGACGTACAACCTGGCGTATGGTGGTGCGACTGTGGACAGCGACATTGTCCAGCCCTACAGGCCCACTGTCTTGTCCATGAAGGACCAGGTCCACAGCGAGTTCCTGCCCGGCTACACCAACCATGGCAACAGCGACACGGACGTCAGCGAGACCCATCCGTCGGCACCCGACGCACCCGCGTGGCAGGGTAACGATACTGTGTTTGCCATCTGGATCGGCATCAACGACGTCGGCAACTCGTACCACCACGGCGTCGACGGCGTTAACGGCACGACAGAGATCAACAGGCGCATCTTTGAAGTGTACGGCGACATGGTCGGGATGCTCTACAATGCGGGCGGCCGCAACTTTGTGTTCCTGACGGTCCCGCCTGTCGACCGCAGTCCGCTCACAACGGCCGGCGGCGACGCTGCTGCCCAGGCCCTCGAAAAGGCCGACATTGCCGCCTTCAACAGCCTGCTGAAAGACGGCCTCGCCGCCGACCTCAAGTCGCAGCATGCCGACCACGCCAATGTCTGGGTGGTGGACACGGGCCTGGTCTTCAATGCGGCCATGGACGACCCGGCCTCGTTCCCGCAGACGGCCGGTCTCAAGAACACGACATCGTTTTGTGCGGCATACGGAAAGTAGGTCCATGTCGTCCCATCCTCCTGCCCCCCCCCGTTCATGACACATAAACGCACAATGCTAACCCAGAATGTCAGCGGCACGCCGGAGCCTGACACGCTCATTGAATCATGCGGCGTGCCTGTCGACCAGTACTTTTGGCTGAACAGCCTCCACCCGACGTACCCCATCCATGATGTGGTCGCCGAGCAAGTATCCAAGGCGCTCACGGCTGGTCCAAACGTGTGTTCCAGTGCAGGGAGCACCACCAAGGACGGCAGCACGTAGGTACTGCTGCTTTGCATCCATGGATTCATTGCCTTTGTGTTTGTAGTGTGAACGACCCAGAACAGGGTTTTCATAGCGTTCATAGCGTTTGTGATTTTGAATAGGCAATTCGAATTGTATTACTATTTAGCCACTGTTTCTGTTTACCTTGTGTAGTGATATGTCTAGCCATGCACCTTGTTTTGCTGCTTTCGTGTGAGGGCCGTTTCTGACTATTTTACATTTAATAATATAAAAGGTAATGTGAGTATATGTAGAAATATATTTCATCGATTTGATCCATTTGGGTATTACCTTTTTTTTTTTTTTTTTTTTTTTTAAAAAAAAATTCTTTTACCAAAAAAGAGATATATATAGATTTTTCTATGAAATCTATTGAGCTATAAGACACTGTTTAGTCTAGACAACTCTTCGTGCTAGTTAAAGATCCGTTACCTTACCAAGTGAGACGTCCTGGTCATCGCATGTAAATACTGCTTTTTTTTTGGTACAGACCTGGCCGATATTTTGAAGTAACTACCTTTTATACTTACAAGAAACAAGAACCAACCTTAGGTCTTTCCTGATCTCTTCAACATGTTAAATCTTCAATTCCACCTCTTGTTCTCGCCATCGTAAGGTCGGCAGATATCCAGGAGGTCGAGTACCAGCGTCCAGTGTGGCTAAAGTGTGGCTTTTGTACCTGGCCAGATTCAGAGGTCGTCGTTTTGGGGCTGTAAAGAGCGCACCCACCCGCCAGGTCCCGGCGCAAGTGGTGTTTGGGCGTCTAATTACTGGAGTATTACAGGCCTCATTACGAATTACAGGAGCCATCGAAAAGCGCACTGGATGCGACGGTACCAGCGCTAGCAAAATTGCAGGGAAGGAACACGTGAGAAGAGAAAACACAATTTCCCCACTCCTTTTCACCCCGGTCGCTCCTGTTAGTCTGTGTCTTGCTAGAATTGTGCCTGGCGCTTGCCCATTGTCGCGATCTGACTTTGCGTGAAATGAAGCTTCCTTTTTGCCTTTTTACCCTTTCTCTCTGACCTTGTTTTTTGCAGTCTGCGACACGTTCTCTCCACGACACGCCCACTCCTTTGCGTGCGTCTTGAGACTGTGTTTGTTTGCAGCATTATCATTCCCTCATTTTCCCGCAACAATGTCTGTGGTCACCGAATACTAGGCTCTCGAGAGGCCCTGCGTTCTCTGTTTTTCGATGCACTTGGAAAAGGCGCAATTCAAACAACTCGACTAAACTCGACGACACTCGTGCGCATCGACACTCTCTCGACGAGATTTTCTGTTCTCCTGCTACCGGCCTGTCTGCGAACGGCGCTTCACACGTCCTTCGAGCCAATCGACCCGTTATTCGCATCTCCTTTTACCGGGTTTCACGCTCTTTTCCCGCTTCCTTGTTTCGATCTGTTTTTGTCACTCCTTTCACTTGCTTTTCCTGTCCGAGCCGGATTCTTTGTCGATATCGTCCTTTTTGTCATCCACTAAGATCGTCTTTCGTTTCACTCTTGGCGCAATACTTCGACAATCCTCCCCCATCTACCACGCTCACCATGCTCTCTTCCATACGCACCTGGGCCTCGGTCCTCACGGCCGCTGTTGCCGCCTCTGCTGCCACCTCGTCGGTCCCTGTCACACCGCATGCCAGCTACTCTTCGTCCATTGGCGTCCTCGGCTGCAAGGTCAACACCAACCGCATTGCCTACTGGCCCATGGCCGTCGACTGCGACAACATTTGCGTCTCGCTGTCCTACCAAGGCCGCCAGGTGTATTTGCTGCGCGTGGACCAGTCGGGCGGTGCGCACGATGTCAGCTACGACGCCTGGAACTACCTAGTCACCGGCAAGTCGGCAACGGCAGACCCCACGGCTGGCGGCGCGGTCAGCATGGACACGGAGAACGTCGACGCGTCCAAGTGCGCGGGGCTCATCAGCACGTCCGGGTCCAAGCTGCCGCTGAGCGCCTCCAACAGCATGAATTTCCTCAACAGCTGCCTCGAGAAGCAAGCTGCCGGCACCGCCAACTGGGTCGCCAGCAACTACGTGCTGTACAACATCCTGGACCCCATCTGCACCTACGGGTACAACGAGGTGTGCACACTGACAAACTGGCCCGACCAGAACCAGGCGACGTGCCCGGACACGCTGGGCGACCCCGTCTCCCTGACGAGCCAGCCCGTGTACAACATTGAGTACCCGACGGGGAAAAAGGTGCTCGCGGGCTCGTCGGCGGCAGCGTCTTCGTCTGGTGCGACGCCAAACACGGCCAACGCGGCCTCGTCGGCTGGCTGCACCAACATCTTCCAGTGCCATCCGCTGCTGTTCTGGGCCGTCGGCCTGTGTGCCGTGCTGCATTCGTTCTTTGGCAATTTATAGCTTTTTTGGATGATGTCATGTTTCGATGCTTTTCTTTTTCGGTTTTCGTTTTGCGGTCATTTATTATTTCATCTTGCGTTTGGATATCCCCTATTGTTGATCTCTTTTCACTTCTTTCACTCCTTCAGTTTCTTTCGTCTCTTCATTATTTGGCCTCTCACACTGGCTGCCGTCTGTCCTGAACAATGCTGCTTTGGCCATCTTTATATACTTTATACATTTTGTCAGGATACCAGGCGATCCTGTGGTACATAATCGCAAGACCTTACTTTTTTCGATTGAAATACTCCAAGTCCATTGCATTCTCCACCGTTGTGACGTTGAAGCGCAACCGACAGCCTCACCCAAATCTCATTGGACCCTGCTGTCTCAGTGTCTTATCAGCCTTTGCGTCAAACATTCAACGTGGGTTTGCACTCTATGCGCCACGTTTGTCGCTTCCGTGCCTGGAATTCCAAGACTGAGAAACCTGTCTCTGTCTTTGCCGAACATACATCAAACACGAAGCGCCGAGTATTTTATCATACACTTAGAGTGACATGCTGCCGCAAACCCCCAGCAGTGTTAACGATACTACACGCCTTACAGATGTCGGATTGAACTTTTAGCTCCGAAACTTACTTGGCTGGCTTACGGGTAGCGACATTCTGCGTGGCAATCCCGCCATTCTGGGCCAGAGCTCCAAAACCGGCGCCTTTTTCAAACACGGTCCTTTGCTTCACAACACAACACGCATACGTCGACAATGGCCTTTCGGGAAATTCCCACGATTGACCTGGCATGGGCTGACGACCCGGCCCGCCGACAGGAGCTACTCGCCGGACTGCGTCACGCGCTTGTCGACGTCGGCTTTTTGTATGTCGCCCACCACGGCGTGCCGGACCAGACAGTGGACGACATGGTCAAGGTGTTGCCGGCATTGTTCGCCCTGCCCGACGAGGCCAAAGACGCCATCAACCTGCGCAACTCCCCACACTTTCTGGGCTACAGTGCAACCGGCGCAGAAACGACGGCGGGCCAGGCGGACCGACGCGAGCAGGTGGAGTTTGCGACGGAGCGTACGGCGAACTGGACCCCGGACAAGCCAGTGTACGAACGTTTGCGGGGTCCGAACCAGTGGCCCAAAGCAGGGGCAGTGACCGTGCCCGGAACCAACCGCGACATTCGCACCGTCGTGGAGGCATACCTGGATGCCCTGACGGCGTTGGGCGAGCGCTTCCTGCAGCTCGTCGCCGAGGCGCTGGACCTACCACCGGACGCCCTCCAGCCGTTTCTGTCTGACCAGCACCGCCTCAAGCTGGTGCGGTACCCCGGACTGGAGGGCTATGACGGGGTCCGAAGCAAAATCAAAAACAAGGTCATGGGCGGCGTCCAGGGCGTCGGCCCGCACAAGGACTCGTCGGGCTGGTGGACGTTCCTCCTGCAAGCCAGTCCGCCGCCCGTCGGTGGGCTCCAGGCGCTCAACCGCGCCGGCCAGTGGATCGACGTGCCCGCCGTGCCGGGCACGTTTGTGGTCAACATTGGCCAGGCCTTTGAGGTGGTGACGCACGGCGTGTGTCCGGCCACGACGCACCGCGTGGAGGTGCTGCCGGGCGCGCCGGAGCGGTTCAGTGTGCCCTTTTTCCAGGGCGTGCGGCGGGACTTGACCAAGGCAGAGGCGCTGGGGCTGCGGACGCACTTTGAGACCACGTTTCCGGAGCGGTTTTTGGACGCAGGGGCGGCCGCACCGGCTGGAACGACCGAGATGGCCGAGTCGGCGGAGGGTCGCCAGATTGACTCTGCGTTTTTACGTGGCCGCTACGACACTTGGGGCGAGTCACAGCTGCGGACCAAAGTGCGTAGCCACCGCGACGTGGGCCAACGATTCTATGCAGATGTGTACGACAAGTACATTCACGACGAGGGCGTGGAGGCGGACGCGAAATGATACGGACGATTAAAACTTGAGAATGGGTCGTAGCTGTATTGAACTAGGAAGGAAGCCATCGTCGAGCGGAGCATAGCTTTGGATACGACAGAAACGAGACAAAATAAAACAGACAAAAGAAGACCAACATGAAGCTACAATATTCCAAAAAAAAGTATAAAACACCAAAGAACAAAAAATCACTGTAAAACGTAACAAATGTTTGAAAATGTGAAATGAACGCATGAGACAAAGTACTTGGTCGTACCGGATGACCTGGGTATCAAAGACATTTGCAAAAGAGCAGATTGGTACAAAGTTTAGTAAATCAACTACGGATGTCTGCGGGAAATTCGTTAGTCCGGTTTGCAATAAGTATGTTACCGTGCACACAGGTGTGACCACAGCGGAAAACGATTTCATCGTGTTGTGTGTAGGGCGTGAAATATGTTGTTATTTTGGGGGGGGGAAGGGGGGGTCCGTTGCTTACCGTGTGTGCGTGTGACATCAGAGACGAAATTCAATCCTCCTCGGATTCATACCGCGAGCGTTCGTGAGAGACAGTCTCTGCCACGAGAGGTTGTGTTGGTGGCGTGGTTGGCTCTGCGTGTGAGATGGCAATCCTTGCTAAGTCGCTCTCTATGCATGACGTTTGCTTTAATGGAGTTAGCGGTGTACGGTAAAAGAAGACATCAAGACAGGCCTATTGAGACGGGAAAGCTTACTGTCATTTGATGTGCCCGAGAGCCCGACAAAGTATTGTCTCGTGGTGTCTCAGGAGCCTCTCCGCTCCGTAGTTCACCAATGTCGGTGTCGAGAGACGCGAACCTGACTTCCAAACAGAGGCTTCCCATGTAGTTTCGCTCCCACAACTTGCGCATTCTCACCAGCCAACACTCCCAGATCCATCCAAACGGAGAGAACACGGCATTGTTGCTGCCGAGGCCATTGTCCATCGCCGCCTTTTGCACACGTTGGTGTGTGAACCGGCGCACCTCCTGGAGCAGGACTTGGTCCACGAACGGCAAGCGAGGGTTCAGGTCCAGGATCTCGTTGTAGTAGCTGCAAAACAGATGGGGCAGGTACAGAACGTCGTAGATGCAGTAACGAACGAGGCCGCGGGTGTCGTCGTTGGGATCGAGTGGGCCCTCGGAAAATTCGTTGGCCTTTGGATTTGACCGGGCGGCGTTGCGGAAATGGCACCGCATACGTTGCTTCTGATCGGAGAAGCGCCCATATGCGGCCGAGCTGATTTGGAACTTGCGCAGGCGATGGGTAATCCTGTCACGCGCCTTGCCGAGTTGCATCTGCTCAGCTGGACCGCTTGGCCCGCTTGGCCCGGCCTGTCCGGCCTGTCCGGCTTGGTCAGACGGGTCAGGCTGTGCAGGCTGTGCAGGCGGCTCAGGTTGGCGGTAGTTGCCTCGCAGATTCGCTTTGAGGATGTTGACCAGGCTCATGAGCCTGTAGTGGTCGTGAAACTGATGACGGCTCTTGACGGCCTCTGCATCTGGATCCGTCCTTCCTCGCTCGGTCCTTCCAATTTCTCGGCTGGGTGCCAGGACGGCCTCGCACAACTGAATGTCAAAGAGGCCGCGGAACTCAACGTTGCTGGGAGCCTTCAGAGTCCCACATTCACCAAGCGGTGGCTGCGAACCATCTGCCTCGGGCACTGCGTTCGTCGTGCTCGACGTTCCCACCGCCATCGGCTTCTTGCCTTCCGCTTTGGTCATTGTCCTCTCCCTTTCCTCGTCCGCCATTTCCGCTGCCTCTGTTCCCGTTACCTCCTCTTCCCTACAGGCACGTGGCGAGCCCGGGCCGTCGCCCTCGTCGTCCGCATGGCCATAGCGATCGAAGCGGATGCCATACACCGCATCGAGGCTGACGGCCGGCATGTGCGGCGCAAACATCAGCTTGGCCTGACGGCCGTCCTCCATAATGCGGCGCAGGGACATGTCGCTGTGGCCCTCGGGGTGCGTTTCAAACGCCGCGACACCCAGCGTTTTCACGTCAATGACGCGCGGCTGGCAGGCGGCGAAGAGTTCGGCTGTGAAGTAGGGCCGCAAGGCAGTCCCCCGGGCCCGGTTGGTGTTGCCCAGCTTGGTCCGGTTGTTGGCGATCAGGATCGGGTCGTAGCCAGGCCCGTTCAGACGCAGCTGCATTTTGACATCGGCCTTGACGGTCATGGCGCAGATGTTGTCGTGGGCGCTGCCGACCATGACGCCCTGGAAGCCGAGCGAGTAGACGTAGCCGAGCTCGGGCTGGGAGTGCAGGAGATCCGCGAGGTACGTCTTGAGAGCGTCCTCGGTGTCAATGACCGCGTTGCTGTCAATGGGGACCCCGTCGTCCTCGGCGGCGGCCTTGACGGCATACTGCAGCCCCCTATTTTCTGGCAGCCTTTCGTTGTCCTTTGACTTGTTCCTGTAAACAGGCTTTTTCTCGCCCTGGCCACTTTTCTTGCCATTGCTGCGGCGGCTGGGGCCGCCCTCGTTCGGCGGATGGCCTTGCCGTTGGCATTGATACCGAGCCAGATCGACCTGGTGCACCGTTCGCTGTCGTGGCAAGGGACCCGGAAACATTGCCATATATGCGTCACCGCCGTACACAGTGAACGGCGCTGCCTGGGGCGCACTATGAAAGTAGGGGTCCATCGACAGACCCAGTGCCGGACCTTGAAGCAGGGGTGGAGGCCGTCTAAATGGTATGGCTGGAAGAACCCAAGCTTGGGACTGGGGCGGCATGGGTTGCGGCCATAGATGGTATATTGGGGGCATCTGTTGGTTGTAGATGCAACCACCTGACAAGACCATACTGCCCATGGAGGAATTTCCGTTGCGGCGGTCCATGGGCGGGGCAACTCCATATGGCTGGATTTGGAAGTTGTGCCGGTCGTTGTTGCCATTGCTGTAGTTGCTGCCGTTGTGGCTATTGTGGCCATTTTGACCATTGTGATAATTGTGACAATGACGATTATAACTATTGCTGCCATTGAAGCCACTGTAGCTATTGTGACCATTTTGACCATTTTGACCATTTTGACCATTAAAACAGTTGAAGCCATTGTTGACATTGTTAGAGTTGCTGCCATTGTTGTAGTCGTTGCCATTGTTTTGGGGGTTCCTTCCCAAAGTAGGGTGAATACGGTTGCAGCTGCCGTTCCGGGCATGGATGCCGCCATTCGTGAAGTAGGAGTTGTCATAACTGGTGTGTCTGCGGTTTCCATTTTCGGTGCCAAAGCGCCCATTGTTGGCAGGGGCCCCGCCGTGCAAATAGTCGTTGTGGTACATATCTGTGCTGGAGATGGTAATGTGCACCTTTGTAAGACCTTCTGGCGAAGATGACAATTTGGTGGATCCAAAGATATCTCCTCGAAAATCGACCAGATTTGACGTTGCTTCGTAGTTTTGCAGAATTTGGCGGAGTTGAGAGTCTCATGAAAGTGATAGTGCGCTTGAACGGGCCGCTCGTTTTGTGATTTTCGATGCGGATGCTGTTGGGGAATATGGAATAGTGGAATCGGGGAGATGCAAAGATGAATTAAGATATTTAAAATGGGAGGGTTAGTGACACGGGAGACATGCAAAGAGGAATAAGATTTAGAAAAAATGGGAGGGCTACCGGCACTGGAGAGATGCAAAGAGGAAATAAGATTCAGAAAAGTCTTCGGGCATAGCGTCTCCCCCCCCTCCGTTGTTCTAATCTCTCGTTATATATACTTATGTCATCAACATCTCGAGAATGTATTGTGGCCTATCGTTTTGTGACCGGAGAGTCAGTTGCTCTCCAGACTACAGCCGTTTTACAAATCTCCCAACGACCGGCTGACATACACAACCCCTACGTAGTCCCAGCCACAAAACGAGTAGGTATGGGGGGGAGGGGGGGGGGGGGGGGGCGAACTGGTAGGCTGTGGTTCTTGGCCGTGCGTCGGTTAGTCGGAATAAACTGCACATCTGTCACTTGCCTCGGTGTGCTGGCTGAGGACGAAGGGCGCGAAAGTCGTCTAGCCCGCGGTTTAGGACAAGGAAGAAGATGTACTTCTCGGAAAGGCCAGCAATGGTGCATATGTTGGCTGAAGGAGAAATCACTATGGTTGTCGGCTGTAACTTTTGCAGACTGTGTATTCAAAACGTCCATCTCGGAGATGATGGTTCAGTGGTTTATTCATGATGACGTAGCAGAGAGCATCACCTTCAGGCTGGAAAAAACACCCAAGTCGCATTTCAACCCTTCTAGAGGACGGAAAACCATCGTGGCAAGGGTACAAAATTGAATTTTGACGTTGAGGCATTCTGTTGTTGGCCTTCTTCTTCGTCAGACTTTTGTTCACTTTCCATTTGTGTCAGTGCTCCACTGTGTTTACATGGCAAAGGAAATTTTAATATTCCGTAGTAGGGAATTTGGGGGTCTGGTTTGTGTAAGTTGACTTTTGGTCCGTGTTAGTGACTTGTAGTAGGAGCCGACCCTGTACTAGCGCCATACGGATGTTTGTCGCGGGTACTTTGAACTAAGCGAGTTTGTGCGGGATAAAGAGGTACCTCGCCGTCAACAATAATTTCGACCCTCCGAATGCTTTTCACCAACTCATAAGACTTCGTCTTTTTCAAGTCTAATTTTGTTAAAAAACGGATATTTACAGATACGTTTCCTTGTCATCTCCTGTTCACCACAAAGTCGTCATGCTTGATAGTTGTGAATCTCCTATGTGTTGCTATTATGACCGTTACCTCTCAGATTAGCGTTGGGAGCGTACCACTACTCTTTGACACGTTCGAGTTGTTGGAGATATCAAGAAATTACAACGGGAAACACCACCTAATATAGGTAGGGCTTCACCTTGAGGATCCCAGAGACGAACGTTGTACTCAGCACACAGGGTGGAAGAAAACTAGATATTACATTTACTGTCAGCTGACCTGTCCGCTGTACACAGGCAAAAGCAATGTTAGTCATACCGCATGGAGTAATCCGGATATACTATGTCGGCGGCCCAAAAGCGACGGCGTACATTCGCCCATGGCCTTGATGGCTTATTGATTGGTGCTAGTGGCACGATTGTATGTCGTAGAGTCGAAAGAATTTTGCTCAGCTCTCGCCCACTTCACCCTCCAGTCGATTTGGGGCACTCTGATGTTGATCTTTGGAGGGCAGTAAAAATATGCGACGCAAGGCCACCGAAAACAACTACAATACACAGGTATCTGAATATTACAATCGTAGAGATGCTGGCCCGGCTCAGTCTATGCCGTGAAGAATTCATCTGCTGAAATTAAACTAAAGTTATTATTAATCTTGTACTTTTTATTCATTTTGTTAATATTTCTTTACATATGCGAATTTGCATCGTATGGTAATCAGTCTTTGGGTGCAAGTCTATATCATAGGCGTGGGGAAAGAATCAGAACGACTACGAATTACTGTCTAAGCAAACATAGACAGGGGACCAAATCAGATAAGCTCGAAAGATCAGTACTGATGGACCCTGATTCCATTTATCGATCTGCGCTCCCATTGGCCCACGCTCTTCTCGCACGAGAATTTAAGATTCCATGCCAAAGCGCAACGTAAAGCACATACTTTTTTATACATTAGCTCTCCCACGGCAAGAAATCACGTACTCCCGTTCGAAGGCGATTGCTTCGACGTGTGTCGCCTTGATTTTGGCTTGGCTCCGTGTACTTGACGGCTTTGATCACTGCGCCCCAGATGAAAATGCGGGGCGATCCCCCCCGCAATGCAGGTGCTGTTGATATTTCAGCACAATTTAGCCAATGAGCAACCGCTGCGAGGCCTCTCAACGGCAGTTCACTGGGCACCACAGCGCTTGCGGTACTTGTGGCAGCCTCTTTTAGGCGACACGGGTGGCGCCCGACACCCCAGAATAGCAGGGAAATTAGTGGGGCAGCGCGTCTGTGCTCCGTTTAGTGACCACGACGGCCAAAAGAGTCATCCGGAGGGAACGTCTCGTGGATCACGGCGCTGCCCATCGCGACTTTCTTGACATACAAGGGACGTGCGAGAGGGCATATAAATTGGCTAGGGCAGAAATCGACGGCACATCGTAGCAGCACGCATCGTCACGAACCGTGGCAAGTCTCCAACCACAATATTTCCCCCCCCTTTCAATACCCTTCCTTCATTTTCGACAATCGTTGCGCCATGGCTGATGCTCACATCCCTTCGGGCCCGGTTGATACGGTCCCCGAGAACCTGAAAGCGCGCATCAAGGCCTCGTACGATGCGATCGCGCCCGTCTACAACAAGTGGACTGTCGACCACTCGCCGGTGCGCGTTGCGTACCTCGACCAGGTGACGGCCAAGCTGCGGCCCGCTGGCTCGACGGACAAGACACCCTTGCGCGTGCTCGAGCTCGGCTGCGGCGCCGGACGCCCGGTCACCGAGAAGCTGCTGAGAGAGCTGGGCCCGGTGCACGTCACGGCCAACGACATCTCCACGGGCCAGCTCGACATGGCTCGCGACGCGCTGGGCGAGCACGGCGAGAAGGTGTCCCCCGACGGCACGAGCACGGTCGACTGGGTCGAGGGCGACATGATGGCGCTGGCGTTCCCGGATAACTCGCTTGACGCCGTCGTCGGCTTCTACAGCGTCATCCACCTGCCGGCCGCCGAGCAGGCGACGCTGCTGGGCCGCATTGGCCGCTGGCTGAAGCCGGGCACGGGCTACTTTTTGGCCAACTTTTCGGACCGCGTCATGCCGGGCATGGTGATCGACAAGTGGCTGAAGCAGGACGAAGGGTGGATGTACTGGAGCGGACTGGGGATGCCGCAGACGGAGGCGGCTGTGGTCGGTGAAGGCGGCCTGACGTTGGAAGTGAGCAAGCTGGAGTCGGACGATGTCGACGATGTGGACTTCCACTGGGTCATTGCTCGCAAGCCAGAGTAGGAGTGGTCGGGGACGTCATTTGTCCGGATGCAATTATGGACAGTAGCTTGGATGATGATGTACGCATTTCCGACAGCATCTCATGAAAACGAAAACAGCTCATCACTCGTAAAATAATGGATGGCACTGAGAGGCAGGTGCCCCTCTCCCTTCCTTGGTTGAACCTTCCTCTGTCGACCGCAGCTCCCCTGGTGGGGCGCCTACCTATTTCGGTTGTTTGAGCCTACCTCGTGTTCTTCTGTTTATTGCTTTAGCCTCCTTCGCGTCTTTCTCCTTTTTCCTCCTCTTCGTTCAACGACCATTTTACAGCCCCCCCCCCCCCCCCCGGGAATCATCTCAATCATTTACCACTGCTGCGACCATGTCGACTGCACAAAAGGCCACAAGAGCCGCCCAGACATGACGACGTCGAGGATAAGTGGTTCAAGTCAGCCCCGCCATTTCTTGTTTCGACAGAGGAAAAAGAAGTCGCCTAGACGAGGGGACAGACACCAGCTTCCACGATTCTTTTGGTTGCCACCGGCGGAAGCTGTCCGTTCCGCAATGGCGGCGATCGTAAACATGACATTGGTGAGAATAACGACTTGGAACCAGTGCTACCATTGACCTCAGCGGCCTTTCAGTCTGCTAAAACACCAAATACACCGAGGACAGTGAGAGAGAGACCCGCGTGCCTGGCATGAACATACCCTGCAAGGATGGCAATGTGGCGACACTCGGGCGGTGACTGTCAGACGGAGGCAATGACGGTGTGATCATGCAGCAGGTCTCCATGTCAAGCCCAAATACTGTCTGAGCTCATCTTTAATACGCTAACGCAACCATGACGAACATAGTTGAATTGTCCTCCGCGATGTCGCACTGCCCATGTCCGCTCGCCAATTCAGCATCCCACACTACATAGCATAGCGATGCACTGAGATCAACGACATCGTCGAGCCGTTTTCGAGTCGGCGGAGTTGTCGGGGCACATCGGCCCTGAAGAAAGCAACTAGCAGTTTTCACAGTCACGAGCGTTGCGGTGATCACGATGGTGTAGAGCTCGGAACATACAACAAAACAACATAATGTTGGGGGTAGCAACAAAGTACTAGCAACCAATACTTTACAAACGGTCAGTTGTCACGTCCCTTGTGTCTCTCATCGACTTGACATGACCATTTACATACAATTAGTTCCCTCTCTCCTACATGGTTGGAGGTTTCGGAGGGACCGACTGTTTGACTGGCGGCAGGGCTAGGATCTTCTTGGCAGCGTGCTCTGCCAGAATGACAATCATGGCCGACGGGTTGCCGGTGATGTGGCCGGGGAAGACCGAGGCATCAACCACAAACACATTGTCCGTGCCGTACACGCGCGTGTCGGTGTCGACCACGGCCGTGCCGCCCGCGCGGCCATCGTCCACGCCCATCTTAGCCGTTCCGATCCAGTGGTTGGAGCAGCGTTGCGCCGGCTTGGCGGGGATGCTTGCCACATAGTCGGCGACGGTCACATTGGGCGCAGGGCGAACCCAAGTCAGATTGGCCACAGGCGACAGTGTCTTGACCAGGTTCTCAATACCGCGCACAACGGCCTCCTTGTCAAAATCATCGTGCAAGTACGGTGGCGTCGAGACAAACGTGTCCAGCCGCTTCGTGATGGTCATGCGGCCGCGCGAGACCGAGCCGGTGCCCAGGTACTGCGTGATGGTCATGCTGGTGTTGCTCGCACCCTCGACACGGGCTTGCCACTGCAGATGGCGAATGACGCCGTCGGTGCCTCGGATCGTCTCCCAGAACATGGGCCCCAAGTTAGGCGCCGCCTGTGCAAGCATACCCGTGCGGTTGGCCAGGTACCTGTCCTCGTCGCTGACAACGGGCGTGTCCCAGGCGGCGTAATAGTCGTAGAAGACGACGTCCGGGTGCGCAATCTCGATGTCGGTGCCGACATGGTCGTTCAAATTGTATCCGACGGGAAGATCGATCCAGCTGTCTTGGCCAATCATCGTGGCACCATCCTCTGCTGAGTTTTTAACGATGTTGAGCTGGTCGGCCGGACCGATGCCGCTGCGCAACAGCACTTTGGCCGATCCAAAGGCGCCCGCCGACACAATCACACGGCCCGTGCCGGGCGTCAGCTGCACCACTCCCGCATGACCACCACTTCCACCGCCCAGAGTCGTGCACTCGATCTCGACGCCCGTGGCGTGTCCGCCCGTGCGTACCAGCCGCCGCACCATTGTGTTGGGCCACAGGGCAAACTTGTCCGGCCCCCGCTGGCTGGCCGAGACCAAGTACGTCGCCAGCGGACCGCTGCGCTCGCCGCCGCTGTACATGAACGTGCTGTGGCCAAACGTGTGGTTTTTGAGCTCGGGGTGCTCGTTGGGCACAATCTCCTGCCACCCGGCCGCCTTCAGCCCGCCGCCCAGCATGTCGAAGCCCTCCTGCCGGTACAGCTTGCCGTCCATGGACGGATGCGTGGTGCCCGGGATTCTCGAAAAGACGGTCGAGGTGGCTTCCGCCATGTCGTCGAACTTCCAACCGTCGGGGAAATTCCAGTTCCAGTCCTGCGGGTTCGGCTTCCACCACAGGCCCGAGTTGACGGCCGTGCCACCGCCCAACACACATCCCGCCATCTGGTCCACGTCTGTGCAGGCGACCCCGACCGAGTCGTGCCAGATCTGGTTGCACAGGCCGGGGACATCAAATCGTGTCAGGTTCGTGTTGTCGAGCCACTTGGGCTTCATCGTGCCGCCCCACCGGCCAGTCGACACAGGACCCTTTTCGAGCAGCAGCACCGAGTGGCCGGCTTCGCTGAGACGGTCGGCCATGGGAATGCCGCCGGCGCCGCTGCCAATGACAATGTAGTCGTACGTCTTGTTGGCGGGGACGGCGTGGCAGGCAGGGGCGGTGCTGTTGCCATCGCGAAGGACGAGGGCCGACGCCGACGTGCCTGGGAAGTCAGTATCGTGTCGGCACGACACACACGTGGGGCTCGACAAACTTACAAAATGACGCCACGGCCGCCGCAGTGGTTAGTTTGCTGAGGATGGCCATGATGAGAACGGATGCTGGTGCAAATGGTGGGCTCAATGGTGCGCTTGCGTCAACGCATAGGGAATCGATCCTGCTCCGACGGCATGGACGAACCTACGACGTATTTAAGGGAGCCGATAACCCAGTAAACCGGCAACCGGTGACCTCTCCATCCATCCCCTCATCTTACCCTGCTTCCATATTGGCTTCGTCCAGACTTTTGCTTTGACCCCTGGCTCCTGATTGCCGACCCTCCCTCCGTAGTCCCGGGGGCGTAGTGGAAAATAGATTAGACAGAGTGGTCGAGTCGTGTTCTCCGTTTAATACTTCCGACGAACAAACCGTTCTTGCGCCTATTCTTGTTGGCGACCGTTGCCGATGCCTAGGAGTTTACTCTATGTGCTTGTGGTCATTTCACTTTTGATACACTAAATATAAAGTGCCGTGGCCATTTCGCCTTGATAATACCAAGGACCTGCCAGAAGCTTATCTTTTGTTTCCGTTCTGTATCTTACGGGCAGCCGTCCGCTGATTCCACTAATAGGGCTTAACGGAATACATACGTGGGGACAAGTCTGGGGAAAGGGAAGGGACAGAAGCGGGAGGAGAGTGCGAGGAAGTTGAGAAGTAAGGGAACAGGAACAGGCAATAGTAATCTGTGGACGATGGCGGACGTTGACGTACGGGACACCGAAAAGGAACAGAGAAATGGAGCACATAAGGAACCCCTCTCCGCAATCTACAGCATTAAATCTCCGCTCCAGATTAGCCGTTGAAATGTATATTTTGATTTCATCTTGGCATCTCCGTCCGGAGAAAGCAAATAAACACAACTTTGGGAAACATCCGGATAAAACCATTCATTGTCTCTCTCAGCCTCTATTTGCCACCAACAGTCTTCTCTGTCCGCCTCGCTAAACTGGATAGACACGCCACACCGAAAGTTGCATGAAACGAAAGGGAAAAGGATGGCAGCAATCAGTGCCCAGTATCGACGGCGCCCTTAACATGGGTAATATATATCCCAGTCTCATGAGCGCTTATTTGGCAGGAGAGAACGTTGGTCGACAAGAATCGATACGGCAGTTCGTCCACGTACTGTTTCTCTCGAGTGTTCATCCAGCCGAGTGTAGATGATGGACAGGAACGTGTTTTTCTGCAAGTCACGCGCCACTGGATACAACGGACGATCATTTTTTCCAGAAAAAATATTGATTGGTATAGTATGCAAAGCGAATGGCTGCTCTGAAGCAAGAATGTATGCAAAAATAAAAGAAGAAGAGAGCGAAGACGAAGATAAAAGACCATCAAACAATTGACCAAAGACCAAATCCCCACAAGGTACCCAGGATCCCCAAATCCGATTCAAAACGCCAAAAGAGCCCGTGCCATGCAATCCTGTGCTATGCAAATACCATTGTTTCCGTCTATTGGGCAAAGGAGAGAAGAATGAAATTGTAAAAAATAAATAAAAAGGAGAGCGCCGCCGTCGTCGCCACATCCTCTTTTATCTTTAGAAACCGCTCAGGGGGTTGGGGTTGGGAATGACATTCTCGGCTGGGTTGATCCACGCCGGCACCTCCGAGACGCCCGTCAGCGCCGCCGCCGCCTTGTAGGCGGTCAGCGTGTTGGGCGTGTCAAACTTCTGGTTGATGACGCCGGACATGCCCGCCTGGCAGTGGTTGCCCTTGGTCTGCGCGCAGTAGTACCAGATGGGGTTGCTGTTCTGCACGACGATCTGGAAGACGTCCGGGCCCTGGCCCGAGGCGACGGGCTGGAAGCCGGAGAAGAAGCCGGCGCCGCTGCTCAGGGGCCGGCAGGGCGCGCCGAAGCTGGACTGGGCCACGGAATGGTTGGCGGGCAGGTAGTGCCACTCGATGACGTCGCCCACCTCGGCGACGACGTTCTCGGGGTCAAAGTGGAGGCCCGCACGGCCGGCGACAACCGTGTGGGTAATGGCGCGCTCGCCATTGGTGCGGGAGACGAGGTTGCCGCCCGTGGTGGCCGTAGGCACAGCTGAGGCGGCCGCGGCCAGGAGGGCGACGATAGAAGCAGTCTTGGCGAACATGTTGATTGTGGGGTGATAAATGGAGAAGGTGGTGGAGTGTTATGTGTTGGTTTTGTTGTGTTGTTGAGAGTGGTGAGAGTGTTGAAAGTGTTGATTGTTGATTGTTGCTTGTGAGTAAGATGTTGAGAATACGAAAAGAAGTTGTCGATTTCAATGACCAAGTCCTCGACTTTTATAGACATGTCCTCGTCTTCCAAAATACGCCCATTGCTCGTAAACAGCAAATTTCCACGATCTTACTCAATCTCACCGTGTGTTATTTTACTTTGTTAGCTTCCTTTTGGTGATATTTTTGGCATGCAAGCCTCACATCAGCATCGTACGCTTCGCATCGCTATTGAGCCACCATCCGTGTAAGTGGAAGGACTCGACTGTGGCTAACAATCTACCAAGCGTGTCTTGGTGCGACGAGGAGAGACTGGGGCTGGACTGGACAACGGAACGCAGCCATCAGGACGGTGGCTCAGCCCCTTTCGGCATCTGACATGCCCGCTGAGGAGCGTTGCATTTGTCCGTCTCCCATTCTCGACCTTGTGGGCTGTTTGCGTTGCATCCACTCAGAGCCCCAGTTAAGAATAGCCCAACAGTGTGGCTCTGCTTCCCCGAGCCTCCAGTCACTTGTTTCTCCACAAAACAACCTTATTTCAGTTTCGCCACGACTCTGTTTCTCTGTTTCCTCTTTTCGTCCGTCGCTTCCGGATGCCCTCACCGTGCTTCTGACTGTTTGTCAGCTTGTCAACTGCCAGTCCCAACTGCCCGGAAAAGCAGCAATCCGAGAGGATGAGCCGCAGTCGGCTGCCCTTTGCTTTCTTATTCTTCGTTTACCGTATTTTCACTATTTTCTTGCCGTCCCCTACCGTCCTCCTTCGACAGCCTCACGGCCACACTTGACCAACACATTGCTCGACAACACATCCCGGTTGTATTTCTAGCTGGTCGCCACGCAGACACTGCGCTAGCTCACCTGCCGTGCTGTGTACGACGCAGGGGTGAGTGTTGACAAACGAAACATACCATCGTACTACACGTGCCACAAACGGCAACGCGTATTCCTCCGACAGAGGAATAGACACATGCTATGACACTAAGTCCTGAGGCGTGAGACGCGAGATGAGAGACGTGAGATGAGGATGAGGGAAGCCACTGCAATGTCCTTTTAGACGCATAATTTGCATACCCTGTCCAGTCCGGCCAATTTCGCCAGAGAACAGGGACAGAAATACACAGCAGCCGTACTTAGTGCATGGTACGATGTATACGACGCAGGATCCAGCTGGTCGGTGTCTTACAGACGCTGAGGATCAAAAGGCCAGGATTCGCAGTGACAAAATGTTACATAGTATTGGAAAATGAGAGAACCGTCATTTTTGCCCTACTCTCACAAATACGAAAGTAGACAGGGAGTGGTGAGAATACAACTATTTAGTAAGAGCCAGCGAAGAAGACGGAAAATGGAGAAAGACCAAAAAAAAGGCGAAAAAGAGAAAAAAAAGAAGAAAAGAAGAAGAAAAAAAGAAGAAAAAAAAGAAGAAAAAAAAAGAAGAAAAAAAAAAAGAAAAAAAAAAACAGAAACAAGAGACAAAGTAAATGGGGAACGTGGAACGTCCTCTGCGTGTCACGAGAATACGACGTCCTTGAGCCACTACTCATCAGCGAACCCCTTTCTTCATTACTGACTTGAATATTTGAAGTGAAGTAGCGGCAGTGACATGGGGAACGGCGGAAATAGGACAGAGCGCGTCTTGGGCGTGAGACACACAACGAGCACAGACCTGCCATCAACTTTTGACAATGAGCACAACGCACGTCTGTAACAAAGCCTGGCCACAGCCTTGGCACAAGGACAGAATCTTTGTAAGGTGACCAAAAATAAACAGACCTGCAAGATCGTGCCCCGTGGGAATCGAAAAGACACTACCTGGCACTCGGTATGAGAGAGGATATGGCCTTACGGGGGTCAGCAGGCAGTGCAGAGTGCCACGACATGCGCCGGCATGCGACGTGCGTCTCGTGCATCTCCGAGACCTCAAATTTAGTCGCAGCTCCATGTTTGTAAAGGCAAAGTCACACAGCGCGTTGTAAGCGTGAATGGTTATGCAGACAACAGCAAATAGCACCAACTCTTTTCATTATGACGACGTTAAACTCGCAATTAAACCACACTGATTAGCTTGACCGATTTCCGTTGTTTGTAGGGGATATTCCATTTTACTCGTATGACAAGCACAGCCAAACGCCAATGCGAAAATGTTGCACGATGGGAAAGAAACAAAAAGAGACACTCGCTATCTTTTATCCGTTACTCATACCGTCTTTCCTTGCGCAAAAACGAAAAGAAAAAAACGAAAAGAAAAAAAAATGGTAAGTAATGCATTCTACAAGGTCTCAAAGACCTGTTTGAAAATAGCCCGACTCTTGAGCAGGTTGACGACACGCAGGCGTTCGTTGTCGAGATGCGCCGCATCGCTGGCCTGGCCACACGGCAGGTGCGCGGCGGGCGCGCCAAACTGTTTTTCGAGGAACCGGATCGCGGGGATCGAGCCGCCTTCGCGGATGTAGAGGGGGCGGCGGGCTTTGTAGACAGGCGACGGCACGGCAGTCCTCGCCGTTGTGGCCGCTTCGGTTGCCGTCTCGGTTGCCATCTCGGTTGCCGTCTCGGTTGTCGCCTCGACATTTTTCTCCTTCTCCTCCTCCGGCTCCACCGCAACAACCGGGCCGTCCATCCCCCATGCCTTGATAATGGCCGCCTCGAGTGTCTGGAAAATGTAATTGTCCGGGTCGCCCAGCCAGGGCTCGGCCTTGTTGTCGACGTGCACGGTCAGCGTGTTCGTGGACTCGAGCGCGGCAAACTCGCTCTGCAAAAACGCCTCGAGGCTCGCAACAATGTCGTCGAGCTCCTGGCCCGGCACCAGCCGAAAGCTAATGTTGGCACACGCGTGGCAGCTGACCAGGCTGCCGTCCGGGCCGGACACCTTGTAGCGGTGGATAGTCAGGTTGGGTTCGCGCCAGCGGGACATCAGCCCGGCCTTCAAAATATCGGCGGGCTCGCTCGTGTCGGGGTTGCGCTGGACGAGCATGCTGGTGATGGCGTCGAAGCGGGCCTCTTCTTCGGGGCGAAGGGGCAGGACGCCGTCGTAAAAGGCGGGAATCATGACGCGGTTGCGTGGTCCTTTGAGCTTCGAGAGGACCATGGTCAGGTCCGACAACGGCTCGGCCATCATGTAGGAGCCGTCGACGCCCGAGTGCAGGTCCGGGTTGGCCGAGTCGACGCAGACGGTGGCGTGCAGGACGCCGCGCAAGCCATACGTCAGGCACGGGGTCTCGTCGTCGAGCCAGTAGCTGTTGGCCAGCAGAATGTAGTCGATGGGACCAATCAGGGCCTGGTGCTCGCGCACCGTCTCCTGGAAACCGCGCGACCCAGTCTCTTCTTCGCCCTCAATCAGGAAAATAACGTCCGACTCGAGACTCTTGGCCTGCAACAAGTCGGTCACGGCATACAGCGCCGCCATGATGGGCCCTTTATTGTCACTGACGCCGCGGCCATACAGATAGCCGTTGACGCCCTTCAGGGCGAACGGATCCGACAACCACTTGCCCTTTTTCGTGTCGGCGGCAACGACGTCGTAGTGGCCGTAGAACAGAATGCGTTTGCGCCTGGTTTCAGACGTGCCCTCGTGTACCTCCTGCTGCTGCTTGCCCGCAAACTTGGCATACACCACCGGGTTGTGGGCCTTGTCGCGGGTCTGCAGCATCTCGACCTCGCCGCCCAGCTTCTTGAAGAGCGAGCAGAGGAACGTGGCGCCGCGGTGGCAGTCCTCGGCAAATTCGGGCCGCGACGACACCGTCTTGTAGGCGACAAAGTCGCGCAGGTTCACAATCATGACGTCTTCCGCCGCTGCGACAGCGGCCGAATCGCCATTGGCAGCCGTCTGGCCATCGCCCAGGGCACCCGTGCTGCAGCGATCGCCCACGCGCCAGATGCTGACGATCTCATCGTTGGCGCCCGTAATGTAGAGGCGGGCCTTCTTGTACGTTGTGGTGGCCGAGGCCAGAACCTTGCCGTCGTGAGCCTGCCAGCGGCTGATGCACTGGTACTTTTGGCTGACGCTGACGGTCTCGGTGGACGCAGAGGCAGACGAGGACGACAGGTCGTCGGAGGAAGCGCCGCCGTAGTGGACAGTGTTGTGCTTGGCGGCAAAGCCGTTGGCAGAGGCGCTGATGAGCGCGCCCCAGTTCATCTGCAGCGTCATAATGGCGCTGTTGTGGGCCTTGATGACGCGCAGGCGCTGGCGCGTGTCCAGGTCCCAGAGCTCAATGACGCCGTCCAGCTTGCCACAGTATAGGAACGAGCCGTCAATAGCCAGTGACAGCACGGATGCGCCGTCGTCATGGCCCAGCGTCATGACCTCGCGGATCGTGCCGCCGGTCTCGTCCATGTCGTCGCTGTCGTCCGCCTCCTCCTTGTCGACATGTCCAGCACCGCCCTCGGCGACCTGCCCAATCTTCCACACCTTAACCGTGCCGTCGCCGCCACCGGAAATCAACACCTCCTCGTCCACACCCAAGTTATGCGCCGGCCCCCGCGCCATCAGCATGCTGTACACGTAACCATAGTGCGCAAACTGGCGGATGGCGCTCGGGTGTACTTCGAGCACGGTCTGAGCACGTGGTATCAGACCCCACCGCTCCTCGTTGCGGCGCGGCGTCGTGGTGCCGCCCACGGCCTTGGAGTCGAAGAAGCGGTGCTGGCGCTTGTCCGGGTGGTGAGCCGATTCGGGGGTGACGCGGCGGCGCGGGTCGTTGACCTTGACCCACTGGATGGTGGTATCTTGGGCGCCAATGTAGACGGTCTGGTGCTGCACGGACAACGCGACACTAAAGATGTCACCGACGTCGTAGGTGCTGTAGATTTCGTACAGACGCTGGAAGGTCGTTGGGGACCAGATGCTGATGGTGGCGTCGCCAGCAGACGAGACGAGGAGGGGGCCGGGTGGGAGGGAAGAGGAGTCTGTCGAGGGGTTTGTCGAGGAAGTGGAGGATGTAGAGGATGTCGAGAATGTCGAGGATGCCGTGCCGGCTGGCGACATGAACAGGCACAGGACGCTGCGCTTGTGGGCTTGGATGCGGGTGACCTGCTGGAAGCTGTCGAGGGACCACACGAGAATCTCACCATCGTGTGTGCCGGCAAAAACGTACTCGCCGCTGACGGCAATGGCCAATACAGAGCTGTCGTGCTTGAGGTCGTGAAGCCGTTCGGGGGGAGAGCCTTGCGTGCCACCCTCGCCGTCGGCCATGGCCAGCGTCGCCGACGACGACGACCGCGGCGCGGCCTGCGGGGGGACGACGGCCGGCATGACGGCTGTGTCGAGGTCGGTAGTCAGTTAATGCTGGTGGCAGTGTGACAAAGACAAAGAGATCGGGGATTTATAGAGAAAGGGGAGAGAAGAAAAGGAAAAGTTGTGTGTCTAGGGGAGGAACGTGCATTAGGTGACGGCAGGTGCGATGTATTGCAGTCAATCCAATTGGGGAAGCTCGTTTGACGATGATTGGCAAATGCATACGGAAAAAGCAGAGTGGAGCTAGTTGAAAAAACGGCAGAAACTGGGTGAAAATAGGAAGGCACACTAAACTGAGACAGCTTGACAGCGAGTCACAGGTGCCAGACCGCCCAAGATGTGCCGAAAGCGAGGCAAGCACGACCAAGAAACGGCGCTAACACAAGTTGCGCCAGTGCTGTGGTTGATCTCGCCATGGCATGACAGCATGACAGCATGGCAAAAATGGCAGGAGCTGCCCTTTGTCATTAGCAATTAGTGGGGCGTCTGGACCACTGGGCCACTGTTTCCCCCAGACTCTGGCCATTCCTTCCCAGAAGGTGGACTTTGGGGAGAGGTGCCGTGGCGCTTGCTGTTTTAGCGGCCGTCCCACGGGCCGTAGCAGTAGGTGGAAGTCGAAGTAGGGAATTAAAAAAAGGACTGTGAAATTGAAGGGCAGATGTTGGGTTTCTCCGTTGATCCTCTTGCTCTCCTGTTTCTACTCCACATATTCGTCAAGAGTGGTGACCTGAACAAAATGCAGGTTCCGTGCAAATGTGACGAGACGAGTATGGGGTGACTGGAGTGAAATAGGGGATTCCTTAAAGGAAAACGTAAGAGAAAAGTCACGAGACCAGCATAGAATGAACGAAACAAAGAAGAAAGGACAGACATCCAAAGTCGCAATCTTCACGATAGCAAAGAAAGTGGCAGAACTCACCCACATCCAGTATTTCGCCGCCGTCGGCTAGTTGCCGTTCTCGGCAACTCGGACAGCCTCGAGGCATTTGCCAGCCGGCTTCTTGTTTTCTGTCTAGGACCGCCAGGGGTGTGGAAGTGTTTGAGTTTGTCACTGTGGTCGTTGTAGACGCGGTCGTGGTGGTGTCGATGCCTCTTCTCAGAACCCCCACGCCTCGTCGCAGTCCAAATCCTGGCCGCATGCCAGCCGCGGCAACGGCCACTACTTCTGCAGCCGCCATCTATGGAAGGGACAATCTGGGAGATTTGGGTGACTTGGGTGATCTGGGAGAGTGTGATCTGGGAATTCTCCCTGTGTTGTCTGAGTGTGGTATGGTGTTTATCTGGCGATGTCGACTCGGAGACGATGAGGTAGCTACAGCAAGGCCGACAAATTCGACAGGCAAAAACGGCGGTCGCCGTCTTTTGTACTATTCTCGCCGCACAGTGTCACCGGTCACGGTGTCCTTTTACCTTCTTTCCTTCTTCCACTTCTGCCCTCTTGTCTGCCAACTGCCTTGTCCGCCTTCTCACATACGGCCCTGGTTGCTTTGATTGTCTTCGGTTCAGTGTGCCGAATGACGCAAATCAACATACAATGGCATCATAAGAAGAGAATTAGGAGGTGAAGAGAAATACACATAAGAATAGGTAGAAGAAAAAAATATTTCAGGGGAAGAAGCGGTAAATCAAGAGACACGAAAGACGGAAGCTTGCATGGAAGCAAAAGGGGATGAAGCAAGGGGAAGGGGACCAATAAGTCGAATTCCGGAGCAGCTCGGATCTGTAAATTAATAAGACAAAAAATGTGCGTGAGACAAACAGTGTAAGTCATGAGAAGCGGGAGTCATGGGGCGGACCCAGTAGTATGTTGTAAGACTGCAAGCGGGAAGGAGTTATGTGTTTAGGGAAAAGTGGACTCTCTTTTCTCTCCAACAGGAGCTGCATTCGCCAGAAAGACGGTGAAGAGATCAGATGTCGTGTTCCCGTCTTCTCGTTTCCTCATGTCTTTGACGCATGTGTTGTTTTGCGTTGCTTCGTTTGCATATGTCCCCTATCTAATTTTCTTGCGCACTTTTCTCGCTCGGCCAGCACCACTTTGCTTTACCGAGATCGGCGTTTCCGTCTGTGCTGTGAACGATTCTGTGAATTTCGCTGTGATTTGAGCTGCATTACTTTCCCCTCTTCACGCATCCGTCACATTTTCAGCCTTGCTTTGTTTCTTGGCAGAGCCCCGTTTTTATTGGACAATTAGAGCACAGCAAAAGAAATTCAAAATGTCGAAAAGTAGGAGAATAGAACAAAAGAAAAGAAAAGCGAAAAATACACAAACGAAGGAGCCAACTAGTCGAAGAAAACGGCGTTCACTCAACCAACCGCAGTGTCCTTCACATTCGTTGCCAGGTTATTCGCTCAGGAATCCCGTCGGTCATGCATTTGGTGTGTCACAAGTACCAATGCAACGCACCCGATCACCGCTGACGACTCTTACTTTTGTGTTACCCACGACTTGTGCCTCTTGTCCCGCTCGCGAGCGACTGTAGAGTATGGACCAGTGCATGCTGTGGGTGTGTCACAGAATAAAGAGTAGACTGTGCTGCGCGACATCTTCTCCGGCCCCGTTCCAGTTCAGTATGTACGGAGTATTACGTACTCCTTTGATAAGATTATCATAGGCCATAACCAAAGCTGTGCGTGATAAATATCGCAAGCAACACAGATTTGCGTTATATTTTAGTTTTTCTCTCTTATTTTTATTGCCTTAGATAGATATAGTTCAACTTTATCTACCGGTGATTTCAGTCGTCAGTTGCGCCTTATTTTAAACCCATCCTTAAAACAGACAAAATAGAATGCCATCACTTCCACTGCCTGTCCTTCGTGTTTCCCTTTGCGTGTTAATGTTGTCCCACATGCTGGATATCAGTCAACAAATAAGGCTGACTAAAGTGACAGAACTCAGAAGCTTGGTACTAAACAGTTCCATCACAATATGAGTTTTTTCATCTATGTGAATTTGCATTTGAGCCACCAATATGATGCTTGTCCTTCTATGAAGTTTGGTTTGCCATCTATCCATTCCGTTGGGCTTGCAGATGTCAGGCTTCTCGGGGCAAGCTTCGTGCACGATGAATACATTGTATAATCAAAAGAATTATGAGGAGTCACGGGATGTCACTCAAAGGTGTTAAGTAGGATCAAATATCTTTATTCTATGAGAGTACCTCAGGCTGTCGATTTATTTAGTCTCCTATTGGAACGTCATATTCGGTGGGAGCTTGGTACACGACGTGAGGTGCTCACTGACGACGCTCAGGACCGTGTGTGAATCGTCACAATACGTCTATTGGTACATGCCACATACAGCGGTTATTTCTCCCTTGTTTTGGATTTGGCAGTCAAAGGATGATTTCTTCATCACAATTCTATTTAGAATTTTATCTGCCATAAAAAAAAAACCTGCAAAAAAAAACATCCGTGATTTAAATAAATCCAAATATTAGAAAATGTAAGAGTATCGTATATTTCACTTCCTTATTTATCTCAAACCGAAAATTCGTCTAGGACAGTTCGAAGACTGACCTCTATTTAATCTACGATTCTTTCACATAACAAAAATGCAGTGACTGATCACGTATCTCAGCGAGCAGCACGAGCATCTCGACTGGATATGATTACATAATCACAAAGGGTGACATATCACGTGCAGATTGCTGCAAAACCTGGTGAAATTTTCTCTAACCGACGCGTGGCGGGACACCCCGGCCGAAGAAAACGTAGAAGGGCGAAGAAGGTAAGAGTGCCCGCCAATCGTTGTTCCCCGTAGCCAAAAAAAAAGGCAAAAAAAATAAGGCAAAAAGAGGCACGCTTAGGTCTGTCGATTTTTTCTGCCAAACGCAACCCGCACGACGTCGAGCGACCGACTACAACGACCATACCACGACCGCGTACTTTACCCACTCATACTCACCCCTTCTGGCCACGACGCTTGTCAACAACGACACTTGCCAGCGACGACCGCGACGACCCTGACGACTACGACGATTGCACCTCGGCGAAGATTTTGTCGTCTGGGATCGGATCTCTCTGTCCGTCCTCGCGAACTCGCAATCGTACTCGCCCCGATTCCCGGTAGTTGGTGCTTGACGGCAGCACAGTCTCGGTCTCCTCGACTTCGTCGACTTTCCCCGGCCGTCCTTTGTCTTCCTCCCTACACATCTCACAATGGATCACGGCCGCGATCCCTGCCCATATGTCATTCTCAATGACTTTGGTGGTGCCTTTTGCATGGGTGTATGTACGACCAGTAGTGTGTGCTCTATCGTACAGAAATGGACCCTGCTAACTGTCTCTGTTTCTAGGCCATCGGTGGCACCATCTGGCACGGCATCAAGGGCTTCCGCAACTCCCCGTACGGCGAGCGCCGCATCGGCGCGCTGACGGCCATCAAGATGCGGGCTCCGGTGCTGGGCGGCAACTTTGGCGTGTGGGGCGGCCTGTTCTCGACGTTTGACTGCGCGGTCAAGGGCGTCCGCAAGAAGGAGGACCCGTACAATGCCATTATTGCCGGCTTCTTCACGGGCGGCTCGCTGGCCATCCGCGGCGGCTACAAAGCGGCGCGCAACGGCGCCATTGGCTGTGCGGTGCTGCTGGCGGTGATTGAGGGTGTCGGCATTGCGTTCCAAAAGATGATGGCGGGTGGCACGAAGCTGGACTTGCCGGCGCCGCCGCCTCAGCCGGAGAAGATTGCTCTGTAGGGGCCCGAACGACACCTACGACGACGACGATCCTTGGATCACGATACGACGATCCACAAACATATACACCACACTACTCCCTCTTTCTATTTTGGCTTGACTCTGGGTTTCTTGGGTGTTCTTTTCTTATTTTCCCTTTTTTTGGTCCTTCGTTCTCGTTTCTTCTCTTTCTGTCTTTATGGAGAGGCTTGTCGATATCTTGTCTCATCTGCATTCTTTCATCTCCTTTGCATACAACGAGGACTGGCGTTTCAACGGCAATTTTGTACTAAAAATAGACCGAGGGGAATGGGAAGACCATGTCGGTGACGCAGGACAGGGATATACCATCTTCGCTCCATCACGGCGCACCGGTTGTGTTGGACTACGTTGACACCATTTTTATCGTTTACGTATCTTTCACACACAAAATACATATAATTAAACGACAAGCACAATCTGCCTAAACAATGCAGGGGCATTCGAATCGTAACATCCACGAGGCCGTGGCATTATATCATTCAGTCACATTCTTCACTCTTTGGCCACTTCCAAACCAAGAGGTCCCGTGTACAGCGGAATGGGCGACGCCTCGTGGCCCCAGCCCGACGGCTTGGTCTTGGCAGCGGCAGCACCGCCGGCGCCGACGACGATCTGGCGCGCCGTGGCCACAATCTCGGCGCCGCGCTGGGCCACCGCGTCCTGCAGCGCATCGAGCTTTGCCTGGAACGCCGCGGCATCCTCCACGTTTGCCTCGGCCAGCAAGTCCGTGAGCTGCAGGGCGTCCTTGATGGCCATGATGCCCCCCTCGCCGCGGAAGGGCGTCGTCGGATGGGCGGCGTCGCCGATCAAAAAGACACGCCCGCCGTGTGTCGGCAGCGTCGGCAGCACGGCATCGTAGAGGCACAGGAACTCCTTGGTGACGGCGGCCGGCCCGCCGTGGCGCACAATCGCGACCTGCGCCGGGTCGAAGCCGGCCTCCTCTTGGTACTGGACGACGGCATCGTATTTCTGCTGCTGCGTCGCCGTCCGCAGCCAGTGGTTTTTGTTGCCGTTGACGGGGTCGGCATACGACGGGTCGCGCATGTACTGGAGCCAGTAGAAGCGGACGGCGTCCTTGTCGGGGGCCACGCTGTCGACGCCACAGAAAAACGTGCCGCCGGGCCGGATGACCAGGAACGAGCTGAATGCTATGCGCATCAGCCGGGCTGCCAGGCACTCGTTGCCGTCGGCGTCCGGCGCGGTGTAGCGCAGCGTCGTCTCGCCGCCCACCATGGCCATGGGCAGCGGCTGCAGCGTCTCCGCGTTGCTCACGCCCAGCACATGCTCCCGCGTCTTGCTGAACGTGCCGTCGGCGCCGACCAGCAAGTCGCCCGTGGCCGACGTGCCGTCCTCGAAATAGGCCGTCACCGTGTGGGCCGCGCGGTCTTCGTCGAACCGCGTCAACGCCTTGCCCCACTGCACATCCAGCCCCGTCAGCAGCAGCGCCCGCAGCTTGCCCCGGTTGGCCCGCACACAGGGCGTCTCGGGCGTGTCGGTGACGCCGATGCGCGCGCCGCCGGGCGGGAACAGGACGACCTGCGACGGCAGGTCGAGCGGCAGCAGATGGTTGGCGTCGCGAAGACTGGGCACGTCGTCGGGCATGAAGCTGGCAAAGTCGTCGTTCATGGACAGGCCAATGGCCCAGCCCGGTTTGCGGGCGGTGAGGCTGGCATCGCGCTCGAAAATACTAAACGAAATGCCCTTTTTGCGGAGGAACTGCGCAAAAAACAGGCCGCCCATGCCGGCGCCGATGATCAGCACATGGGGCGAGCGAGGACCGGCGGAACCCATGACGAGGGGCTGGTGGGGAGAGAGTGTGTGCAGAGAAAGAGTGAGAGGCTGACAAACAGGCAGCTGAAGCTTGGAGGACTAGCTCACGGACAAGGGACGGACGAGAGAAAGGCTCGGAGCGGAGAAGAGTCTTGGGACGGAGACAAGGGAAGTCAAGAGAGAAGAGAGAATGTGGAACGAGACGGCGACGACTGTTAACGAGATGGGTAGAGATCTTTGAAGTATACTCTTCGTTCCCTTTGCTTCGTCTCGCTTCTCCCTCTTTCTGTCATGTCCTCTTGACGCCATTGCATCTCCGCCCGCATAAAATGTGACTGAATTACGAACGCAAAAGACACACACTTCCGAGAGGACACCGAAGATGACCTGACAGGTCCTGCATAGTAAACCAAAGGACCATTCACTGCCACAGTTGCAGAACTGCATCTCACAAATGGCCATGAATGGAACGAGGGGTAGGCCCGATGTCACTGTCCAGGGTGTTTGCGGTGCCTTCTGCTTGTTTTGGCTAGGCAATACTGGGTCGGATGCATGGTGGAGATGTCTGAATGGCGAGGGGGGATGAGCAAGGAATGGATAAAGAGTGGGCACAGCTGCAGGCCGAGTGGTCAGCATTGGCGAAGTAGGCAGTCGAGGCAACTCATGCAAGGTGGGAGACAATATCAAGACGTGGACACACGCAGACATCTCACGACGGAGGAGGGGGGGGGGGGGCACGGAATTTCGAAAGTGGTTGTGTTGTGACGTTGGACTGATTATTTTCAAAAAAGGAATCCGACAACTCACGGTGCATTCTATACCGCTGTCAATGGCCAGGAGCGGATGGACGGTCAAGACTTGAGGCGTATCTATATAAACTCGTACAGTTGTACGACGTATTGTATATGGTACCGTGGCTGTGGTTCGCCTCTGGTGGGTTGTGGTTGTTGTGGCTAAGTGTGATGCATCTGTTGTTGATTTCGGATATTGTGCATTTCTGCTTCCAATGAGGCCAACCCACCTGGACAATGCAATTGTTTGCGGGTTGTTCCCGAGTTTAGCGTCTTCAGCGGACTAGCGTTCATTAAGACGAGATCCTGCACAGTTGCGGCCTGGCCTGTGGTCCCTGAACGGAAGCCACTTAGGACATTACCTACCTCCTTAACATGGCCCCCACGCTCTGCTGTCCTGGTGGAACCTTTTATCCGTCGGCGTTTTGCGTATTTACACAGGTGCCCACTCACTGTAAACTACTTATTATCGGACAATTCCCGTCGCCAACTCTCTCGTCAATCGTCGACTTCGCATAACGGCTAGCGGCGGCATGCTCTCTGCTCATTCGGCTTCAATGCGTCCTTGCCCCAAACTTACAATACTAACTGTCTCCTCACTTTCCGTATTCTCCGATCGGGTCGTCGTCTCGACCGGCTGCTGAAACACCGCCGAGGCGGCACTTCCACTGGAAAAACAGCGCCTGACAGCGCCCCCATCAGCGCCGCGCCTAAGCCGATCTCGGCAGGCAATGGCGCGATTGAAGGGGGAAGGAGCATAACGGCACGACGCATGACAGGGCAACGGCAAGAGCGACCGCAACACCGAAACCGTAGATAAACGGCCGACCCCTCCTTCCATAGATCTGTTACTTTGTAGTCGTGTAGTCGTATAGTCGTGAATCTCATTGCCGTCGTTGTTTGAGTCGCGCCTCTCACCACCACAACTGCCATGTCTCGCCCGTTTGCCGTCCCGCCGCCCGGCGTCTGGGTCCCTGCCGTCACCCTCTTCGACCCGGATACCGACCGACTGCTTGCCGACGACCAGGCCCGCTACTTTGCCCACCTCGCCTCCACCGGCATCACCGGTCTGGTCGTCTTGGGCTCCAACGCCGAGACCTTTCTGCTCACCCGCGACGAGCGCCGCGCCACGCTGCAGACGGCCCGCGCCGCCGTGGGACCGGACTTCCCCATTATGGCGGGCGTCAGTGGGCACAGCACGGCCCAGGTGCTTGAGTTTCTCGAGGACGCGCACGCTGCCGGAGCCAACTACGGCCTGCTGCTGCCGCCGGCCTACTTTGGAGCCAAGGCCAGCTCGCCGGCCGTGCTGGCCCGCTTCTTCGACGAGGTGGCCGCCAAGACGCCGCTGCCACTGGTCATCTACAATTTCCCCGGGCTGACGGCCGGTGTCGACCTCGACTCGGATGCCATTGCCGACCTGGCCCGTCGTCACCCGGGCGTTGTCGTGGGCGTCAAGCTGACTTGCGGGTCCGTGGCCAAGGTGACGCGGCTGGCCGCCGAGCTGACGCCGGCCCAATTTACCGTCTATGGCGGCCAGGCCGATTTTCTGGTCGGGGGGCTGGCGTCGGGCAGCGGCGGCTGCATCACGGCCTTTGGCAACGTCTTCCCGAAAACAGTTGTGCGCATCTATGAGCAGTGGACAGGCATCTCGGCCAAGGCGCCGGCCACGGGTGCGCCCGAAACAAAGGACACGCGAACCGCCGACGCGCGCGAAGCCGACCGTGCGGCCGCCCTCGCCCTCCAGCACAAGGCTGCCCTCGCCGAGCGGCCCTGCAAAAGCGGCATTGCCACCACAAAGTACGCCGCCAGCTACTTCACTGCCCCGCTGGCCGGCATCCAGGACGCCGAGGCCAAGCTGCGGCCGCGCCGGCCGTATCTGGAGCCATCAGACGCGGAAAAGGCGCGTTGCCGGGAGTTGATGGCTGACGTGGCCGCGATTGAAAAGTCGTTGTAGGCCGCGAGGCGACTGTCCCATGGGGGATGTTGGCATTGTCTCCTTCACATTTTTATTTCAGCAGCATGGAGCCCGAGCTCGACGACAACAATGCCAACAAATTCAATCCCAGCGTGCCGTGGTTAACGAGAGGCCACACGTGCAGATGCCACAGCTTAGAGAAGAGATGACGACGCAAAACGATAACGACGCAAAAACCAGCATAACCGCACGACTAGCCCAATTCGTCCAGGTCAAGCCAGACAGACGAACAGAGCCCGGCCTAGTAAAGTAGTAAAGTCAGCACAAGCATGTCCAGTCCAACGGCTACGGGACAAGTGCCAAGCTCCAAATGCAAAGCCGACCCCCCCACTCTACATCGGCCTTCTTTAAGTCCGGACGCTTTATCCCGTTGGCCCAGCTGGATTACCGCCGACTCTATGTTCAACAAATGGGTAGTGACGAGAGGAGAGGAAAAAAGGAAACCAAATTAAGAAAAGGGAGAGTGGACCAGCTGTTGGCCTGATTCAGTCGGCACTGGGAGTGTGCGTTTCGGGTTTGGGCAATTTCATATAGCGCGGTGTGCGATTGTATAAGTTTGGCTGCATCTGCACATCTGCCGATGTCTTTTTTTTTACATGTGGCTGGATTTGTTTTATTTGTATTCTCTCTCTCTCTCTCTCTCTGCACAGTAAAATCTTGTCTTTCATAGCTTCAAAGTTGGGTATATCTTGGCGCAAACACACTTGCTATATCTGGCTCTTGGAAACAGAACGTCGGCCGCTCCCTCTCCCACCATACAACCAACCCTCTAAACAGCAACCGACATCACTAACACCACAAAAAACCAGAATGTCTTGCCCTGATTGTTTCTCTGGCTCCGTCCACGAGGGCAAGCCCCGCGGCGAAATCGTCAAGCTGCAGGGCCTTGACGCCTACTCTGTCGGCCCGGCCGATGGCCGCACCCCAAGGGCCATAATCGTCATCATCCCGGACGCCTTTGGCTGGGAGTTTGTCAACAACCGCCTGCTGGCCGACCACTACGCCGACCGCGGCGACTACAAAGTCTACCTGCCCGAGTTCATGCTGGGCAAGGCCGCCTCTGCGTCGGCCATTCCCATCATGCGCTCCGCCATGAACAGCAGCGCCCTCATGAAACCGATTCACATCGCCCGCGCCTTGCCCGGCATGGTGCCCTTCCTCATGACCAACCGCATCGGCAAGTCCTATCCGCGCGTCAAGGCCTTCTTCGAGGCGCTGCGCATCGCCGAGGGCCCGGACGCCAAGATTGCCGCCGCCGGGTTCTGCTGGGGCGGCAAGCACGTCCTGCTCATGTCACACAACGTCACAGTCGACATTGACGGAAAGCCCACGCCGCTCCTCAACGTTGGCTTCGTCGGCCATCCCAGCTTCATGGAGGTGCCTGCCGACGTCGCCGACACCATGACGGTGCCCGTGGCCTTTGCCGTGGGCGACCTCGACGCTAACCTGCCCAAGGACACGGTCGATGAGATCCGCAAGATTGTCGAGGCCAAGCCGGCGCCCGCCACCGGCGAGGTGGTGGTCTACAAGGACGCCGGCCACGGCTTCTGCGTGCGCGCCGACTCGTCGCTCAACGACGTCGCCAAACAGGCGCTGGCCGCTGAGGAGCAGTGCATAGCTTGGTTCAACAAGCATCTCGGTCTGTAGCCGCCTGGGCCGAGCGATGCTACCTCTGTAGTGACTTCTCTTCTTAGGCGTGCGACGTTAGCGGTTGTCAAGGTGTTCTCTGTATCGTCTGCTCGTATAAATTGTTCATATACATCACCAAATTGCGCTCTGCTTTTCTATTTTTGACTGTAACTGCAAGTGGCCGCCCTTCTTCTTCCCTTTTTTTTTTTTTTTTTTTTTTTTAAATACCCGACATGTCGTTTCGCAATTCAATGCCTGTATTTATGTAAAGATCTTAAATTGAGTCATTATATTGAGAATCCGTCACTCATCCACGACACCGAGGCGGCTCACTCTGGCCAAGAAACTGCATATGTCGGGTCTTGTACCATGTCATAAAGTGACACCGGATCGATCACGCGATCGCGTAACTCAAGATTTCCTATGACGCGCATATACGGTGCGAGGCGGTTGTTTCTGGGAGACAACATCTCTGGCAAGACGCGATGCTCAACACGAAGCGGATACGGCGAGAACAGTGCTGCCGATTCTGCCCACAGGGATTCCAATTTGGGCGTCCACCACGTTGGTTTCTCGTCCCACGTTGTCAGCATCGTGATGACGGGGCGTGCTGCCGCCGACCGCCGCGTAGACTCAAAACGGAACAGACAGCCATGCTCTTTGTTGCCATACCACAGTTCTAGGATCTCTAGAGCTGGCAGATGCGTGATCATTTCGGCTGCCAATCGAACAGCACGCGACCCATATTCAACTGGTTGGTTGGGCGCCAGGCAAATGTCGGTAAGTGCGAGGGTAGCGAGGCGAGGCCAAAAGGCGCCGGTGATCTGCGATGTTTGGTCCGTTGCTGTGTCCTTGGCCGCCTGCAACTGCGTCTTGGCACTTTCAAAAATGGTCGTAGCGTCCAGCACGTACGACAATGCGACATGTTCCCGGAGACGTGTTGAGCGAACAATCTTCTGCACATCTGTGGAAGCCTTTGGCAGAACCGGCCCGTACGGATGGTGAAACTGCCTCCACGTGAGATACACATTGATATCCATATACACAGACAGGCTGCGGAGGCCGGACCCCCACCCACATTCGAGAATGGCTTCACCGCCACAGGACCTATGTGTTAGCTTTGGAATTTGAGCCACTCGATTCTCCATTCCACCTCAGTCACCACAGCCACAGAGTAGTTACACGTACGTCCGATGCTCTCCGGCTCCCACACCTCCATGTGCGCCCCGTCGAGCCCGTTGGAGGTACAGGACACAAGCGTCTGGAAGAGCCTCTGGTCGATGCCACGGTAAAACCGACGACGCATCAAGAGCTTGTGGACAATCTTGACCGGGACAACGTCCACGCCCCCAATTTCGGCGCTTTGGGAGTTGTCGAGCTGCTTGGCGACCCCTGCTTGTGTTGGGCGGGCAAGCTGCATGGCATGGCCGAGAGGTTCACCTCCCAGAACGCGGCCGATGGCGGAAGCGGCACCAGCGAGGCGCTGCCTCCAGTCACCCGCTTCCCACCCGTGAGTATTGTTTGGAAAATCACGCTCGCGGGCCTGATACCGATCGTACGCGGTGCATCTCTCGTCCATGTCCTCGACTGCGTCATAGGGGTACTCGCGGTAGTGTCGAAAGTTGCGGATCGTATGGTATGGGTCGCTCCACGAAGACGAGCTCAGCTCCAAGGTCAGTCCGGCTGGTCCTTGCCCGTCCTGGCCACTCTGACTATCCCGCCCATCCTGTCCGTCCTGGCCGGTGGGTGTGTCGTCCCACGTGGCGAGCACCGCCATCAACGCTGACAAGGCGACCACGAGCCGCTCGTCATCCCGCTTCAGGGCCTCTGTACTGGGCAGCGTACTGCACTGCGAACAGTCGTAGTCATCCAGACGGCCGTGGAAATGCAGATGCCGAATGTAGCCTAAACGCTGCTTCTTGCGAGGGCCCTTGACCAGGGCTACAAACCGATCAACCTCATCGTCCTCGATGAAGAGTCGGCGGAAGGTGGCCTGTTCAAAGAACGATTGCCAGTCCAGAGCAACGGCGGCAAAGGGAGCGAGGCTGACCGGTTTCTGGCTTTTGTCGAGCTGCAGCTTCCGTGTGCGACGGTCGTCTTCTGCATCTTTGGCCACGGAGCCCCAGATGGCCAGCTTGATTTCGGTCGGCAGGCGCTGCCAGGACGCCATGGTGGGGGTGGCCGTAACCGGCGCTGGTGCGTGACGGGAGATGTTTGAATGTCAATGATTACTTGTATGAAAGAGAAACAACAATGGCAAAATGCTATTCGCTTAAAATCGAATCGATAAAATGAAACCCCTTGACCGTTTCGTTCTTGCTTGTGTTTCCTGTATTTTCGTGGATGAGGAAGGCGTAATGAAGTACTCTAGGAAGGAGCGACTGCTTGCCAAAGAACTTTGTCAGCGAATACGCCTCAAAGTACGCCTTGGAGAATGCCTTGAAAATGTGAGCCTTATGGTATTGCACGTGGTTTGGGTTGCTTTTTCCAAATAGAAGGATTTATTTCTGTCTTGGGACAAAGGCGATAATAAAAAAAACATAATTGTAAAATAAAGTAATACGCCCGGTCTCGGGCAGAGAAAAAAAGCAAAAAAAAGATGATCGAACACGGGATCGAACCGCGGACCTGCGCCGTGTTAAGGCGCCGTCATAACCAACTAGACCATTCGACCGTCAATTGTTGAGAGATTCTGTTCTAGTTTCGTCTATATTCTCCGCGCCTTATTTCTACGGGTAGACCCACTTTTCGGACCATTGACGTATTGTGTCGTTGCCTTTTTCTGCCGCCCTGCCCAAGCGAGACCGCGTGCCTTTTTCACTCCATCCCCAGCTACTAAGAGCTACCCAGCAAATCGTCGGAGCTCAGCATTTCTGTCTAGTTTTGTCACCACACTCTGCTTTTCACCACATCGGACTCCCAACCACACCACCTACACGTTGGCTCCAGCTCTCCTACTGCGCGGCTGATTGGCGATCCGACTACTCACATCCCATTCAGAATTACAATGGCGACGGCAATGACGCGCCGGGCCCTGGTGCCGGCCCTCCGCCGTGGCCCTGCAGCCTTCCAGTTCGCCTCCACTTCCTTGACTTCGTCTTCGATATCGACTGCAGTAACACGAAGCATCATGACAATAGCCGCGCGTGGCTCTACGGCACAAAGCACATCCGGCACGAAGAGTCCAGCACCACCACAACAGCGCTCGATCAACACCTCGTCGGCGCCCCTGTTGAGCGCTATTGGTGGCTTTGGCAGTGCGCCCTCGGGCATCCCGGCCGCCTACTTTCAGAAGCCATCGCTGCCGGCCAACACGATTATCCGCTTTGTGCCGCAGCAGACGGCCTGGATCGTCGAGCGCATGGGCAAGTTCCACCGCATCCTGCAGCCCGGCCTGGCCGTGCTCATCCCGTTCCTCGACCGCATTGCCTACGTCAAGTCGCTCAAGGAAGTGGCCCTCGAGATTCCGAGCCAGAGCGCCATCACCGCCGACAACGTTACGCTGGAGCTCGACGGTGTTCTCTACACCCGCGTCTTTGACGCATACAAGGCTAGGTATGCCGTCTCCACCCACAAATCCCTCCCTCCCTCCGCTCCCCTTGCCTATGCTAATTGACCAGTTATGGCGTCGAGGATGCCGAGTATGCCATTTCGCAGCTCGCCCAGACGACCATGCGCAGCGAGATTGGCCAGCTCAGCCTCGACCACGTCCTCAAGGAGCGCGCCGCCCTCAACACCAACATCACCGCCGCCATCAACGAGGCCGCCCAGGCCTGGGGCGTCACCTGCCTGCGCTACGAAATCCGCGACATCCACGCCCCCGCCCCCGTCGTCGAGGCCATGCACCGCCAAGTCACCGCCGAGCGCTCCAAGCGCGCCGAGATTCTCGAGTCCGAGGGCCAGCGTCAGAGCGCCATCAACATCGCCGAGGGCAAGAAGCAGAGCGTCATCCTGGCGTCCGAGGCGCTGCGCGCCGAGAACATCAACCGCGCCTCCGGCGAGGCCGAGGCCATCCTGCTCAAGGCCACCGCCACGGCCCAGGGCATTGCCTCGGTGGCGGCTCAGATTGCCCAGGGCCGCGACGCCGCTCACAGCGCCGTGTCGCTGTCGGTGGCCGAGAAGTACGTTGACGCCTTTGGCAAGCTGGCCAAGGAGGGCACGGCCGTCGTGGTGCCGGGCAATGTTGGCGACATGGCCGGCCTGATTGCCACGGCACTGGGCGTCTATGGCAAGGTGGGCCAGGCCACAGGGGCGAACGCGCGTGCCACCGCCCAACAGGTGCTGGAGAAGGGCGGCGTGCTCGAGGGCGAGGCTGTGGCGAACCGCGACGCCGAGGACGCGGCCGAGCTGGAGGGCCTGGATCCGGCGGAGCGCAGCAAGTTTGTGCGCGACCGCATTGTCGAAGACTTTGATCGGCACACGGCCGACCGGTAATAAGAGAAGCGAAGCGGTGACGGGGCAGGACGGGACTGTTGTCGCGCAGTGTATGTAAGAGCACGTCGGAGTCGCAGTGGTTTGGCTTGTCTTCCGAGTCTGTATCAAATTGTGTACTATACATATGTTGTAGGGACGGATTGTGTGCCGGCGGATGTGTATTGCATGGCGTTTATTTCCATCTCTTCTTATATCTTGCGGATGAAATGGCAAACCAGAACCAGGGAAATACAAAATTATAACAAAATAGAATAGAACGCTCTCGTGACTCTAGTTGTTTTCTAGAACGCCTTGCACACTAAAGAGGACAAGAATCATATTTCCATGTCGTAGTATTAACGCTCATAGACGTTGCTACAGAACCAAAAAAATAAAAAAATAAAATAAAGACACCGTCTATCCAAGCCCGTATTCCAAATCCGTATTGGCTACTCCGACAGGAAGACGATAAAAAGAAACGAAATAGGTAGCAACAAAAGCCATAACGAACTACGCTAATTGGAAATCACACACCCAACTCCGTCCCGACCGCGTCAAGGGCCTCGCCAACCAGTGCCAGCGTCTTGTCGTCACCGGCCGTGCCCGCCACCTGTGACGCCTTGACGAGCAAGGGGTACAGCCGCAACAGGTGCTTACGTGCCTCGCTGTCGATGCCATCGAGATCTGGAATGGCTCCAGGCTCCGACTTGAGGTCCACAAGGCACCGCAGGATCCGGCTCAGCTCGCGCCGCTGCGACAGTGGCTGCGGCATGTGGCCCCGCAGGGGCTGGTCTGACACGTACGACCGGATGGTCAGGGCACATCGCAGGATAAGGAACGGGGCGGCTGTTTGGGCGAGGCGGATGTGCAGGGCGTGCTCGCTGTCGTTTGCCGCGCCAGACCCAGGCGGCGGGCCGACAGTCATTGGTGGTGGCAGACGTGGCGTTGGTGGAAGCACGACAATCGACGGCTTGTTGTGCGAGTCATCGTGCGCCGCCACCAGCGAGAACAGCTCGTCGAGACAGGCAAAGCTCATGTTGGCACGCTTGGTGGGCGGTGGATCAATGGTGCGGCCCCGGCCGGGCTTGTAGAGACTGCTGAGATAGCTGGCAGTACCCGAGTCACCGTTGGTTTGCTTTCGGCTATAGCTGTGGCTGTGCTCGCCGTCGCTTGGGTAGATTAACGCTGCATCGGCCGGCACCGGAGGGTGAACAATGGATACGTGGAAGAGACCCTCGACATAAGCTTTGCGTGCCGTTTCGGCCACCGCGCCCGAGCCTAGTGACGGAATGATGAGCTCGCGGAGGCGGTGGAAAGCATCAATGTCAAACTGCTGATCGTCGGTAATGACACGGTCGTCTTGCGGCGCTTGCTCGTGCTGCAAGTCAGCACCAATAATGCCGTTCGCGATCACCGCAATGGTGTCCCAGGCCTCCTGGAAGGCAGCACGCGGCACCGACTTCTCCTTGAGGTGCGGGAGCGCCGTCTCCAGAATGGCAAGGGCGGCGTTGACAGCGGCTTTCCATGGCTGCAGGCTCTTGGTGGTGATGGGGAACTGGTACTTGAGCGTAATGGGTTTGGCGAGGGCCGCGAGGGCTGTGGTAAAGGCGCCGCTGGCGTAGATTTCTTGGCCGTCTGCGTGTTGTGTGACGAGATGGTCCAGGATCGCCATGCTGTCCTTGGACATGGCCACAAATGTGCGTTTGCGCTGCGGCATGGTGTCGGCCACATCAAAGGCCATGGACACAAACTTGGCCAGTTGCATGATCACGGCCGCCGCGGCGCCCGGAATGTCGGTCCGTACGACCTTGAAGACTTCGAGCACCTGGGCCTGCAGGGCTGTCATGTACTCGATGTCGTTGGCATAGCCACCCGGGCTACCACCACGCACGGCGTCGTGGAGGAGGGCCATGGCCTGCTCCGTCTTTGCGAGGTCCATCTCAGCGCGCATGAGGCGCTCAATCTCAAGGAAGGCATTCACCCACGACACGAGGCACTTTTGATTGTCTTCGGCCCTTGTGCTGGCGCGGTCTCGCTCCTTGTCCTTCTTGTCCCAGTCGGCAGACAGCACGTCCGGTGGCGCTGGGATACCGCGAGACCAGAGTTGCCAGGCCAGGTCGACAGCCTTCTTATCAAATGACCAGCGTGTCCGCCCGTCGCTCTTTGCGAGGATTCCAGCGAGGCTGCCGAAGACAGCCGTGCTGACATCGAGCGCCCTGAAGTCGAGCATGGCGGCAAAGTGCTGGAGCAGATCTTCCCAGAGCGACGAGAAGACGGCGTGGGAGGCGAGCACGTCCAGATAGTTGGCCAGCAGCTCCGACACGCCGTTGACAATCACGACTGCCGTCTCGTGCCACTCTACCGGCGTGGACTTGTGTGTGGTCTTTTCCGAGGCGGATCGCAGGCGTCCCTCGGTGGCTGAGAGGAGTCGGAAAATGACCGAACGGATACACACAGCCCACGCCTCGGCAGTAAGGTTGTTGCCATACGCATGTATGATGCGGAGGAGAGTCTGAACGGCACCTGAGGGGGTTAGTGTGCGACAAGGTAACGTGGGTCAGAGACTCGAGAGACTGCCACTTACTGTTTCTCAGTTCCAACCGCTGGTCGGTGGTAACAGCCGTCAGGCGCAGCAACAAGAGCATCCAAAGGGCCGCGCCCGAGCCTGGGTGGTCCGTGTCGTTGGCGAGCTTGACGAGTGCGTCATCGCTGGAGCCGCCCTCCATGGCTGCTGCAATCGACATGGAGCTGCTGCGGCCGTGCAAAAAGTCCGAGATGGCCCAATAGAATGTCACGGTGGTGAGGGCCACGTTGAGGTCATCGCCCTGGGAGCAGAACTTGTAGAGGGTGTTGACGAGGTTCAGGTAACAGGTGTTGGGCAGGGCCGACAGGAAATCGGAGCAGATGAGCTGCAGCGAGGCAAAGGACGGCTTGATGAGGCGGACGGAGCGGGTGGTCAGGATGCCTTCTATTAGGTCGCCGTCGGCCGACGCAACCGACACCGACGGCCAAACTTCCATAAACAGACTGTCGATGACTTCAAAGACGACGTTCCACCCGCTGATCAGGGCCTCGCCGCTGTCTTCGAGCAAGCCCTTGAGGCCATCCAGGATGACCTTGTGGATGTCAATGTCGGTAGCCGCCGTGGTGATGGTGCCGGTGCGGTCAGGACGTTGCAGTGGTAGCAGCGCGTCGCGCAGTGCCTCGAGCAGGCGCAGCTGCATCCGGCTGCGGGTGATTTCCGTTTCGGCGGCGATGGCGTTGGCCGCCTCCAGGACAATGCGAACCAATGTCTCCGCAGCACGCATGCGCACAGTGGCCGTTGTCGAAGCTGAGCCAAGCGTCGCCGACAGCTCGCCTGTGAGCGGGATCCAGCCAGACACGTCGGGGGGATTGAACAACAGCCGCTCGAGGTTGATGGATGCAATGTCCCCGAGCTTGGCCAGGACGAACTGGTCCTCTTGGGAATGGCTGGATGCGGGCGCCGTCGTGACACTCATGACGCGCTTGTGCTTGACGGTGGGCGTCTTGAGGGACGGAGATGCAACATGTCCAGCTGCCGCCCTTGACCCACTATCCTTACGCGGTGTCGACTGCGGCGATGGGACGGCCTGGGCAGCCTGGTCACCATCCGCAGGTTCAGAGGCTACGGCCGTTGGTGACTCTGTTCGCTTCTCAAGCAAACTGCAGATGGCGACGACAAACTCGACAAACGCCGCGTTGGGAAAGTCAATGGTGCTTTCAAAGAGGCGGGAGGCGGCGGTCTCGACCGCCTTAATCTCGCTGCCAAAGTTAGATAGAAGCATATTGGCCTCGGCCTCGGCCTGCGGGTCTGCTGCGCGGACAACGGCAAGAGTACGACCGGCCGCCTTGCCGGACGTGAACAGGACAAAGTCGGCCTGCTGCAGGGTTTCGAGGACAATCTGCCAAGACGACTCGAGGGTCGGGCCGAGGGCAATGCCTAGATTCAACAGGGCACGCAGACAGAGCAAATTGCGCGTGTTGATGCTGGCCGTCGACAAGTCCGCCGAGGATTGTCGTGGCTTCTCGGCCGTCGAGGACTGGCTTACCAGACTGTCGACACTCAGGAGACCGCGGGCATTGCTAAAGAGCGTGTTGGGTGTGTCGGCGCCAGCCGACGTGGGTGTCATGGGCCGGGCGCCGGCGTTGTGGCAGGCGCTCAGAACATTGGGCGGCACGGCGGCCTTGCCCAGCGTCGTCAAAAAGGCATCGCGCGGCGTGTTGAGTTGGAGCAGGCCGGCGACGTGCGTGAAACGCTGGAAGGCGCGGACGAGGCCGTGGTAGTACTCGGAGTCGAGGGCCGAGTACAGGAAGGTGGAGCAGGTGGCCAGAATGGCCGGCCAGCAGCGGTCGATCATGTCCGCGTATGCCTTGACCTCGGTATACAATGGATGGTCTTTGAGAAGGAGGGGGTTCTTGGGGCCTGGATTCTTGCGGGCCGAGGCCGACCGTTCAAGGCCAGGCGCCGAAGCAGCGCCAGTCGGTTCGGTAGGAGCGGGTGAGTTAGCGCGGCCATCTTGCTTAAGCGCTCGCTTCTGGCTGCGGTTCTCCCGGGGTACCGTCAGTGGCAAGATAAACTTGGCTAGGCCGTCAGACAGCGACGTGATGCAGGCGAGGATGAGGCTGAAGATGTACGACTCTGGAATGGTGAGCGGCTCCGCTTTGTCCAGCTGGTCGATGCAGGGCGTGCGAATGACACTCCACTGGGAGCTGATGCCGGTGCTTGCCGACTCGGTCATGGAGTTGGACGTGACAATGCCAGACATGCCGCTCGCTTCTATAACGGCCTGTTCGGCTGATCCAGCCCCGTTGTTCGAATACCCGGCCACGGGAATGGTCGACTGATGGCCGAGGCCAATCACGCTCGGTTTTTCGGTAGACACGCGGACGAACGTGGCGAGCAATTCCTGTAGAATGTCCTTTGCACCCTCCTTTGCATCGTACAAAATGTAGAGCTGTCTGACCAGGGCCGGATCAGAAATCAGACCCTTGAAGGCCTCAAGGCACAGCACGCGCTTCCAAGGGAGGGCGTCGTGGTCCAACACGTGGCAGAGAGCAGCCAGGGCGTCACCGCTCTCGTCGGCCAGCAGCGCCATGTGTCGCCGCAGGAGTGTAAATAGAACGCGTACCAAACGGACCGCCGTCGGGAAGTTGGGCTTGCTGACAATCCCTCGTGTAAGGAAGGGCATCAGGCGCGTCCGGAGCACGTGCGTCTGCTCGGGGTGGGACGTGAAAATAACCGGGTGGTTTGTGAGGACGGACTCAATCAGTTCGAGGCCAAACGTCGTCGACAAGCTCGAAAAGCGCAGGTGTTCCGGGCGCCCGGCCTCGGTCAAGATGCAAATATCGTTGAAGACATAGTAGGCATCGAGTGCGGCCTGGTGGAGTGCCACTGTGCCATTCTGGACGGGCGCTTCGCCGACGGGCGATGTCTGGAGACGGGCCTTGTCCTCGGCAGCGACCTTGTCGAAAACGGCAATGAGCAGCTGCTGGAGCGTGGCCGATGCGGTGTTGTTAACGACGACGTTTTTGCTGGCGTGGAGAACGAAGCAGATGTTGAGAGATGTGATGAGGAGGTCGCCCGCGATGTCGCCGGCGTAGTTTTGGAGGAGCGAGGGCAGGGACTGCAGGATGCGCAGCTGCACGTCAAGGCCGCCCGAAGACGCTTCCCGCAGTGCCTGCAGGACTTGGTCGAGCCGTGATCGTGGTACGCCTTTGGCGGCGATGAGACGCTGGAGACACACAATCGCAATGCTAGTGAACTTGACAGTGCGTGTGCCGCACGCGATAATGAAGGGGTTCACGAAGTTGGCATGCTGGGCGAGTTCTGCGCAGGGAAACATTGTTAGCTCCGCATTGAATTGCGGTGGTCAGACTTTGTTCTCAAGTTCGTCGTCAATTCGTACCTGCGCCTATGTTCGCCTCGGAGCTGTCGCCGAGGTTCTTGAGCTCTTCAAGAGACTTTTCCGAGGCCTACACCGCACGGAGAAACAAATCAGTCCCTGCATGTCCTCAAATAATCATCACCGCCTCGTCAACGAACCTGTCTCAAGTCGTTGTGCTTTCGCTTGCTCTCTTGGATCAGATTGCCAAGCTCCGCCGTCAACACCTGTGCGGTCATCTTTGTCTTGCGGCTTCAGCAGAGGCTTTCGACATAGTGGGACGCTGCGGCTCGGTAGAACAGATGGAGCGGTAGGGTGAATATGGGCGGGTTTGGGTGTCGTGGGCGAGTTATGTGTATCGATTTGGTAACCTGGTTTGATGTGCTTCTCGAAGCTCGTCGCGGATGCCGTTATTAGGGAGCCAAGCTCCTGGCCGCACCTGCCGCTGTATTAAACGGCATACGTAGTCGAAAGCCACCCAGGCAGGCCGCATTACGGCAGAAATGCACACCGCCTTTCCGTATGAGGAAACTACAATAGGCGACCCTGCCCCAATCGACCCCCCACAGCCCCTGCCAGTTGCGTAGCGTGCCCAAGAACCCCGCTATGAACCTAGCCCCATCACAGCGGCAGAAACGGGCCATGAGTGTTTGGTCTCGCACACATTCACCATCGTGACTTTTAAAACGACTTCACGCGCACAACCCAAACGGAGACAAGCAGCTTTCCCTCTCACACACCACGCATCGACTACACCACTTGCCGAACAGCCTGCTCCCTCAAACCGATTCACAAAATGGCGACCGCACAGGTTCCGCGCAACTTTAAGCTCCTCGACGAGCTGGAGAAGGGCGAGAAGGGCTTGCATGGAGGTGGGTGGCTGCTCCGGTTCAGTCTCTGCTGATAGCTGAATGCCGGGGGAAAAGAGATGCTGACATTACAGGCGTTTGTTCGTACGGCCTGGAGGATCCCGAGGACATTCTCATGACCAACTGGAGAGGCACCATCTGGGGCCCACCACACGTGAGTTTCAACCGCGACAGGCGGCGCAGACAGACATCGATGACAAACGGATCGTGGCCATGGATGTCCCCTCTCCTACATGCACGGGCTGACTGTCTAGGGCAATCACGCAAACCGGATCTACGAACTCAAGATGCAATGCGGCGAGCACTACCCGCAGAAGCCGCCCGTGATCCACTTTGTGACCAAGATCAACCTACCCGGCGTGGACGGCGTCAACGGCCTGGTGGACAAGAACTCGTTTGACATTCTGCGCGATTGGGAAACGAGTCCAAAGGAGCTGCTCAGCCTGGAGGCGGCCATGATGGCGATACGGAAGTATGTTTTTCCCAAGCAGATCGCGGAGGCAACAGATGAGTGGAACACAGCGAACAACGCCGAGACACCCGCTAACCCCGCGTCTCTTTTTCAGATGCATGGAGAAGAACAATAAGCTGGCACAGCCCGAGGAGAACGTCCGCTACGACATCTACAAAGACTTGATCTAAGGACGCGCGCGGACGTCTTTGCGGCGATTCACGTTACCGCTGGCCACTACGCCCGAGTTTATTTAATACGCTGTCCGGAACATTGACAACTGGAAGGGTGGAAAGACAACCAGTTGGAGGGGTGGACGAGAGCTGCGCCGCGGTCGCTGGCATGTCTCCCGTTTGAGGTTCGGGTCTGAGGAGCTGTTGCTTGACTTTCGCTGGAGCTGGGTTGGGATGTTGGGTTTCCTGCAGGTTATTCCTTCCTTTCTTTCTTTTTCATTGTTATTTTTCTATTTACACTCATCGTTAGCATTTGAATTTTCTTTCATTCAAAAGTCAAGCCGCCGCCATCGCAAGTTATGTGCTAAAATTGTGTTTGTGGTTCATCTGATACTGGACGAGGCTGTAAATTTTGCACGTGACCTGCACTTGAAGCTCTGATCAAGCTCTTTTTGGCGAATTTAGTGGTCTAACGTCACAAGTTTTCTGCACGCCCGGGCCTCAACCAATTCCACCTCACTCTCGTTCCTGCGCGCCTCCGTGAAATCCAGGACGCCCTTCTGCTGCCGCCAGATGAATGCCGAGCTTCTTTGTTCCGGCCCGCAGCTCGCGGCATCGCACAGCATGTACGTGCAGCTTCCTGTGACATTTTGATTCTGGTTCTTCATTCGACCCTTGGTCACTCACACACCCTCAGGCTTTGCCCTTTATAAGGCCCTCGTTAAGAGGGCGCGACTTGTTCCACTCCCTGATCATGTCGCGTATCGCACACCCGACAAACCTTATGTGCATCCGATCCACCGTTTTGTCCGACACTCCTTCCAGCAGAACCGTGCCGACACCAGCCCGCGGCTTGTCTTTGTGGCGCTGAACGCGGGTTACAAGTTCATCCAGCTCCTGGACGCCGCTCGGACACCTGAGTCGCCTGCACACAAGTCGATTGTCTCGTACCTCGAGCGGCGTGCCCCGCCCACACGCCCCCCCAAAGCTCTGCGTGGCAAGCTCGAGCGACTCGAAAAGGAGCGTGCCAAAAAGGAGAGAAAGGCCGCCCGCGAGGCCGGCCTCGACACAACGGGCGACACGGACGAGTTTGGTCGCCCCCACCATCCGCCGGTCATTGTCCGCCGCCTCCTCCCGAACACCGAAAAGGTCTCGCACGACGGCATTCAGACGCAACTCTACGAATACGTTCCCGGCGCGCCCTCGCGACCGCTGTCCGCCATCCCCGGTGGTGTCCGCCCCGTCCCCAAGTTTGTCACAGAAGCTACCGGCATTCCCTTCCTGCGCTTCGGCAAGCCGCAGCCACCCATCCTGTCGCGCGCCATCCGCCTCAAAGGCAAGAAACGGCGGCGACGCGCCCAGATTGCCAGCGCACTGATCCGCGACGAGATGCCCTTCGCCGGGCAGGAAGACACGTGGGAGGCGAACCTGATTCGGGCGACCATGGAGGAGGCGGCCGCCCGCAAAGCTGCGGGCGAGCCTAAATCAGAAGCGGCGGCCACCTTCCTCCAAGACGTGGCAGAAGAGCCGACGTACCGCAGCTCCATTGCCGTGTCCATTGCCTACCTCAATGCGCAGCTCAATGTGGAGACAGCGGACATGCTTGCACGGGCACGCGGACTCCTGGGGATTGTGGACCGTGAGCGGGCACTGGCTGAGAAGGAGGAAAAGCAGCGTCAAGCGGAGATGCAAGCAGGTCCGACAACCGAATAAATTCTAGACTCTGGGTTGCACATACGGAGTACGGATGAAGAGGATCATTTCTGGCGCTTTGGGTAGCAATGCACCGTCGTCTCTTTTCTATGCATTTTTCGATATACCAGTTCAGCGAAGGAGAGCAAAGTCAAACTACGATATGAAGACAATGCGGAGTTATTAAAGTTGTTAAAAAGACAGTACATAGACCGACAGAACAACAGACAAACAGACAATATACGTGTGTGAGCCATGTTTAGTAGGACTATGACATTATTCAACGCTCCTAGCCCGGGAGGTCAACAAAATTTGTGCTAATCTGTTTGAACATGACGTGCCGCGCATCGATTGACGAGCCGATGAAGTTCCTTCTCGGCCGTCCCCGAAGCAAAAACCTATGCAGCCTCGTCGAAGATTGTTGGGCAAAATTATCTCCAAGGCAGCTTCAATTTCGCGGTTGATAAGCTTTGCGGAGCTAGTCAACACGGTAGAAATCCGCGTTGCATTCACTCGAATCGGTGGCAAAGGCCTTGTTTTCCTCTCATCGTTACCAGTGTGGGATTCCTCCCCGATTTCGGTACATTCGGCGTAGCTGTTGTAAATCCTCGTTGGTTTCTTGAGCCACAAGTCTTTGTCTCCTTACATGAAGCGCATCATCGTCCGAACCGTTTCTACAGGGAAACCATCAATATGGATCGTGCTTATTTTCGCTTCCTACACGATTCAGACAAACAATTAGTGATATTCCTTAGAATCCTTCATACCACTGTTCACCGAAGACGTACTTAGAAATGGCCGACAAGCGTTGCTCTCAAGACGGGCGACTAGGGAGAAATGACTGCCTTGTGTGCCTTGAACGTTTGACTATCGGTCAATCGTTTAATCGCTACACACTCAAGACGAGAGCGGGGAAGTCATGTGCGGGAGAGGCATGTTGGGCGGTCGATTCTGTTCCGAGTCTCAACATATGAAATAATACTTAAGGATATTTGTCCGTGTAAGGGGTATATGAGTGACGCAGCATAAGTTCGATATGGTAAATGCGGAATCTACTGCGTTCTGCTGACAGTGAAGAGAAGGAAGAGACGGATGCACAGGATATTTGTTGTAATGGCTGCTACAAATGTAAACATATGTTATGTACAATTCACAGGTAGAAAGAGGTGAAAACGGACATGGTGGTTGTGTTGTACTTTCCATATTGAATGGCGAATGCTATTGTGCGAATATGCACGTGAGCGTTCCGACATTTTCATTTCATATCATTCACAAGGAATAAGCGGTAAGAGCGACTGTCCGCTCCTACTCAAAACTGAATACAAAAGTAGAAGTGCGTGGCCTGCTTTTTACCGTGTGAATCCTCTCACCATATCATAACCTTGACCTATTTGGTATCCTACACAGCAGTGAACGTGCTTTAAGCCAGCCTACAATCCCAATCAAGCGTCCACGTCGAAAATCCAGACAATGTCTATTGGACATAACCAGAAAATGGCCAACATCGTCTGGCCAGCCCATTTGAGCTCCCTAATCGACACCGGAGCCTACAGTGACTGCACGATCCGGTGCCAAGGCCGCGAATTCAGAGTCCACAAAGCCATCATTTGCCCCCAGTCACCCGTTTTGGCTGCTGCCATCAATGGAAACTTCAAGGTAGAAAAAGACTCGGCAGCCGGGTGGCTATTTACATTGAACATTTCAACATTGTTACTAAGTGTCACCTCCGCAGGAAGCACAATCGAACGTTGTTGAGATCGAAGCCTTTGATCTGGATGTCTCCGAGACCATGATCCAGTTCATGTACGGCAAGAAAATTGGCATCCTTGGAAGCGAGAGTTCGTGCGATCAACAAATGCCAAACGAGACTGATACGGAAGATTCCATACCTGCCGGAAAGCCGCCACGGTCAGACCTCCAGGATCTGATGCGACTGAGCACCATAGCCGACTACTACGACGTTGCCACCTTGCGTGCGCAAGTCAACTTGGAGATTCGTGCCGTCCTCAGCAACGCATGGGTACCTACCGATTTCATCGTGGCAGCCAAGATGGCATACGCCGCGACGCGCGATGTCGAGCTGCATAACGTATTTGTCGAGTTCGCCGCGAGAAACATGGAGAGCCTCTGGATACATTTCGACAAATTCGTGGAGCTTTTTCAACTGCCCGGTTTTGTTGCAGAGTTCAAGAAGCAGAGTGGCAACTTGTTCAAACCAACGGCGACGGAGTTGCAATTGCTGCGGACCTTTGCGGCTGACATGGAATCAGCGTTCAATGGCAAGCAGCGCCGCTGTACAACACTTGATCATTATGTTGCTTTCAGCGGCAAATTGACCAATATTGTCCGAAAATTCAGGGTAAACAAATATAGAAAAGGGTACTGAAGAATCGTCCCCCCTCCCCCCCTCCTTCCCCAGACTGCATGTAGTGGAAGATTATTATGGGCTCCAATAATGGCAATCTAAGGGGTGGACTGTGAGAATGGTCTGTCGGGTATTTACGACGAGCGGATTAACTTTACTCGTGTATCGTTGATTTTTGCAAGACTACCTAGTCGGCAATAGTATTTCTTAGTCACCTTGCACTCCCGCCGTAGTCAAAACGTAGTTCTCTCGTGTCTTCTGATATGTTATCTCTTCATGCCGATGTGTCCATTCGTACACGAGGGCATTACCTTTCCTCTTTTGTTGACGGAGCTGAGCTATAATACACCGAGTTGTGCGTATATTCTTTCTAATCCTTCTCCATTGTCTTCAGCATTATGGTGTTTGATTCGTCCTTCTTTAAAAGTCGTTGAACCATGTATCTCCAAATTTTAGCCTGCGTGAGTCCACTTGTGAATCCACTTGTGATCTGCAATACCCAACTGCCGTCCGTTCGAACGAAGACTAAAAGCGCAACAAAGTGTTAAAACATGTCGAGTGGGTCACTTTGGCACTCGAAAGGTACTCACAGGGCGCCACGTTTCATCCTTTTGAACTGTATAGTGTGCCTATTTACCTTACCCGTCATCTTTTAAAAGTGCCGCCACAAGGCTGTAATGGTAGAGTATTAGTGGTTCAATAGGGCTAGCTTTGTGGAGCTCAACAACCCAAAGTACAGGAAATCGCCTTCACCTGGTTTCGCTCGCTGTACAAACGTACCTGTTTTGTGTTGCAAAACGGACGGAGAACACATTGAGAGGTCACTTTCTTATTCGTACACGTGATGTGTCACTCTGTTTAGACCTACATCGTGATGAGGTAGGTGCTGCAATGCCTTGATGCACGAACGGGGAAGCATGAGACCCGCTTTAGTCATTTCCAAGTAGCACCACATACTTCCGAGCCTCCACGATTTCAAAAATAAAAATAGCTAATAATAATGTTTCTAATTCTAATAATAAAATTATTATTTAATTTTTTTTTTTTTCATATTTTCTGTTATTGAATTTCAATTAGATAATATAGCTATAGGCATTCAATCTCCCGCAAAAGGTTGTCAAAGTGCAGTGTTCTGTGGAGTGCCTTCAGTTGTTTGTCAGCAAAGCCACCATCGTCACTGGATTAAGCAAGGCAAGTAAGTTAAAGCTGGAACGAGGAATCCTTTTTTCAATTTGTTTATGTTGCGGATGCTCTCTAACGAGAAGGCACCTGCATCGGCGACCCGGGCCACACAGGAAGCCAACACGAAAATTATTGAAATCGAGGCCTGTAACGCAGATACGGTGAAGAGAATGACCCTGGGTGCCTCGAGGCTGTGGAGACCAGTTATGATTAGATGCGTAATTTTGAGCTTATCCCATGCAGTGAAACAATTACATTGCATTGCTTAAAACGTAAAACTAAGCTCCTGAGTTTGGACGGCGATGCACAAGACAGAAAGTAATCATTACTCCTGTAGAAGTAGTATCTCCTGTTCAACGCGGAATAGAAACATTAACTTTCAACTTGAGAAGATAAGACAGCGAAAAGTATTACCCGAAAAAAAATAAAAGTAGAAATCTGCGGTTTTCACCAACGTGTATATATTGGCATGGACAGGGACAGTCGAAATGGCGTTATCGTGGCGAGACCAGTGGAGATTTCGACTTGCAACGGCAGACGCCTACGAGTAAGCACACATGCCAATGTTGGCGAGCCGAATGTTGCCTTCGCCACCCGGAACCGCGTTGACGGAAAACGAAATCGTCGTATGCCTGCCCGATGCCGTAATCTGCACCACCGGCGCCTGGATCCACGTATGGGTGCGCCCAACGTGTAACTGGATCGTCTCGACGACCACACCGTTCTGGAGGACGGTGAGGGTCGGGTTCTTGCTGGCGGCCAGGATGAAGTAGCTGAAGGAGATGTCGTAGACGGTACCAGGAACGGTCGTCACGACGTGCGAGATGGCTGCCCAGATGTGGCCGGACTCAAGGTGAGCACAGCTGACACCGTGGGCGTAGCAGTTGGGGTTCACCTCGGCATTGCCCGTGCCGGAGACGGTCCAGGCAGGTGGAAGCCTTTTGTTGGAGAAATCGCCGTCGACGATGAAGTTGCCGGAGCAGGTGGCGCTCGCGCTGGCAGACGACGAAACGGACGAAATCGACCAGACTGACGAGACAGTCGACGAGACTGGCGGCGACGACACCGACGACACCGACGACACCGACGACACCGACGACACAGACGAAGAGACCCAAGACGGCTTGCATCTGGAGCCCTTGGCGGCGCCGACCCAAGTCAGCCCGACGGCAAGAATGAAAGAGGCCTTCATAGTGGTTTAGGTGGTATTTGTCTTGTCGAGACGCTTTGGAGTTGGTTGTGATTGCCGCTGTTGGTCGGCGAAATAAGAATAATTTTAAGAAGAAAATATGGATTACGGGAGACGATTTTACAAACATACGGCAAGGGGGGCAAGTGCGCCCTTTTAAAACGGGGTAGCCCTATGGCAATTGTCACCGTCACACTCAAAAATACGACGTTGGTGAAAACAAATCAACAAAAAAGTTTAAAACATGTGGCACTCGATCGAGGGGATAGTTGTCTGTTGTTGTTGTTGTTCACCCCTTATTATCAGCCGCTCGGAGCCATTCGCGATCCAGTACAGCGTAAATATTGGAACATGTCTAATTTCGAAAACAGCCACCGATGCCCTTTCCCCAACCGGAATGGATGGGATGCCCATTGGCTCAATCGGCGTCAAGGAACAGAACAACACAAGCGGCGGGGCCAGGGAGCCGGGAACGGGGGTATGCATACCCAATGTGAAGGACAAAGGCGTCGTCAGACGAAACTGGCATGGAGTTAGGGGAGCACAACGGCAACGGTGGAAGATCAGAAACAACGGCGACAACTTTAATGTGTTGCTAGTTTGGGTCGGTGGGGATACCAGAAGAGAAAAGGCGAAAGCGGGCCAGATTATTCAGGGCTTGATGCTGAAACGGCGGACGACGATGGTCGGGTATATTTGGGCTGGGTGGGCTCGAATGCGCAAAGTGACCCAACGCAACTGCCCAAGCTCACCGAGCCTAAGAAATTACATGCCGGCTGGGATTTGAATACGCTACCAAAAGGTTCCCAACTCAATGTCCATATTTGAGAATGGCCGAGACATGAATCATTATCATGGAGCTTCCCATATGTGGCCTATGTGAGCACCAAGATAGTGGCGATGTCGAAGCGGCGACAACAAAGTTGAAGACGTTTCGCATGCATGTCGACGCACCTCGGATGTTTATTGTTTCGTGCGTACCCCTGCTATGAACTAGCGGTATTCAAATGCCTCGGTGAACACACGGCCAAGTGCTCCGTAAACGAAACCACATTCATCAACGTATGTGAAGGACCGTATTGGCCTAGACGAAAGTGCCATTTTTGATACAACCATAGCAAGGGATGACGATGTTTTACCGAATATATGCCGGTATTGCCATTTTCCAACTTTCAGACACAAACATGACCATCGTAGAAGTCGGAGTTGATGTGTTTGTTTTGTGACGTCGTGTATATCTCCGGTGCAGCTGCTTGTGTTCCGTGGTAGACTTTTAGAACATACCCAACATGTGTACCGGCATATGCATCGATGTAGTTCTGTGGCATTGACAGCGTCATGTTGCATCGGTACACAACTGTTTACTGTTTTTAATGTGTCGAATAAAAATGGGTATAAAACGGCTACATTGAAGCGGTTCGGAAAACCAAACAGCACCACCCACGCTGGTTTGAATACGACATGAAGTACGACTTGTGTAGCACAACGTTTTTAAATTAAGCAGCACATGTCGGCATTCAATAATAATATATTTGTGCAGAACGTGCATATCACATTCCAGAAAGGACGCCACCAACTGTACTACACGATCTGGTCATGTGACTGGAACTGTGATCACCCAACACTCGACAGCGCATGCGCGGCCGACCCGCTGAGTTCGTGTGAAATGATTGGTTGGGTTTGTTTGGGCTTGGTTAGACGGTACGTACTGATCGCGATTGATACACGAAGGGTTTGGCACGAAGATAGCAGTGAGATGTACCCAGCTTCATCATTTAGTGCGCATTGTAACCAATATCCCATCCTTTCGTTTAGTTAGTTTCACTCGCTCGCGTGCGTTGCAGCCGAGAGGAATTGGCTGCACGACGGTGCTGGACCACAACTATTCGACTTGATTTCCGCAATATACCAATGTGGCATACAACAGCCAGAGTCCTTACTCAGACAGACGATATCATCATACCATCGTAAGGTTTCAAGTCACTGGGGATGAGTCTGGATCGCTCAGCTGGCGTACGTCACTCAACTTCAATTTTGAATAGTATTTTTCAATTGTAACAACTTTAACCATCTGGGAACACAACGATGCGAGGAGTAAATTTTGAGATACGTAAGCAACCATAGTAGCTTTGTGACAAAACAAACGACTCAGAAAAGAAACACAGCGAAAGGGATTATCGAAGTAAAGCCATATCCACTCCCGCAACACTCATAAACCAGCCACCTAACGCAGTATAGAACGCCTTTTCTTTGGCTTGGCTGTTTCCAAGGCCGTAAACTCCTTCCACACTTTTTGGACGTGCTTGTCGTTCTGCGCAATGTGTTTGAAATACTCTTCATGCCCGGACAGGATCGCGGCGACTTTGTCCATGATTTCGTTTTCTGCCGCTTCGTTGTCCAGATGCGCCTCGAAAATGGCCGCAATGATGTAGCTGTGAAAGCGCGTCAGTTTGGGACCCTGCTCAGGCGTGGGCTCCACTGTCTTCTTGAAGTCGTGCCTGGCTACCATGTAGTCCCATAGACGGCGTTGGACCTTTTCGAGTTCCCAAACATTGCTGACGGTATTGCGAGGATCTTGAATCATGGCTTGTTCCCATTCGAACCGGTGCCACTGCAGACACGTCTCGCCATTGGGCCGCGGCAGACGCAGCGCATCCACGATCCCGTACACGGCGAGCTCGGCGACGGTCAGTCGGTAGTGTACAATAGCCTGTAGGTCCCAGTGGTCGTCCTCGCTTCCGACGCCTCCGCTGTCCGGGTCCGGCGGCAGCGTGTTCTGTCCGGTCATGGCGCATCGATCCATGAAATAATACAGCATATGGTTGTAGCCACCATTCTCTTCACCGGGGCATTGCTGCTTCATTAATTGCACAATGTTCTTGATCCGCTCTTTGAGCGCGCTGCCGTGCAACGGTCCAAGTCCAGCGCCGTCCTGCGAGTGGCTGCGACTCCGTTGGATGGGCAAGGCTGCATTGATGGACCGGATGGTCGGTTCTTTCTCTTGGTACCAGTCCAAAGCTTGGTGTCCAGCTTGAGACGGGCCTATCTTGGCGAATTCTGGGTTGTTGGGCGACGGATCTAAATTCGATTTGGACTGCTCGCTGCCGGTGTATGGGTAGGTCTCGAGTCTGGCCCACCGCTGGGCAAACGATGCCAGCTGGATCGCCGTCGTCTGGTTCCAGGACAGACCCCATTCATCATCCTGGCTTGAAAAGGAGAAGCGGTGCTGATCAACGAGGCGATGCCTTTTGTTGCAGGCTCGGCGGACGGACCGACAAAGCTCAATGAATGTTTTCGTCTTGAGCTTTTCAGCCGACGTATTGTCCAGAGACATTAGCTTTGCATCGGCGTCGGTTCGGTCCTGGTCGGTGAGTTGTCCCTCCACCTCGTCTGTCGCGGACTGGAGCGTGTCGACAATGGAACTCGCAAACACAGAGCCAGAGTATCGCGAAATACTTTGGGATGCTGTCCATGACAACGATTCCGTGTCTGCGCGAGCAGCTGTCATAGTGCTTACATTGATGTCTGGTGACAAGCTCCATCCACCAGAGTAACATGCCGTCGTGAGGAGGCAGACAGAAACGTAAAGGTTTAAAACACCTTGGAGGCGCGTAATCGATACCGTTCGTGCCTGTCTTCCGTACCCAAACACAAACTCGTGTCCTTCCAAACCATGGCTACAAACAATGATAAGAACAGACCCGAAGGTCTTTTTGGCTGTCTTCGTGACGTTCGCAACATGACGTAGGAAGACGTCGTCCATATTAGAGCCCCCGACAACCTCGACAGGGGTAATCCTGTTGTTTTCAAGGATGTCGTCGCTGAGGACAACCTTTCTGTCATGGTAAGGGTTCCCGTGAACATACTTCCCGTACTTGTCAACAAGTGCCTTAGGGTCCTTAATACCGCACGTGTCAGTTCTCCATCAGTTCTCTTCCCATTATCTTTCAGTTCTCTTCAGTTCTCCATTTACTTTCATTTAAACCCCCCTCGATGTCAAACCTCGGTTCTTACCGCAGCAGTTAGCCAGGTTTGGCTGGCTCCCAGTCCTTTGAAAAGGATATTAAATGCAAAAAGGTCGGCATAAAACCACCCATCCACATTGTGTCCCGCCCTGTGTAAGGGAATAGGGCAAGCTGCGAGGATATGCGTGTTGGTAGAGATGCGCGGTGGTGTCGACACAGGAAACGACAGCACAGACCAGTTCGGGTTGCGAAATATCAAGTCCTTTTCCATCCTGTGCTTTCTTGTGAGTATCGGTAAACTGATCTCGGGGTGACAAATTGCGTAACGACGTTAAAACTAGGTCGAACACTCTTGTGAACTGTATGGGAGCTGGCGACAGGAAGAAAAAGAGGAGAGGATGGAAGCAAAGTGTCAGTCGTGGCGAGGACGTGAAGGAGGACGAGAGAAGCGAAGCTGAACAGACACCTGAAAAAAATGAACCTTATCTACAATGTTGGAACATCACATGACATGTGGTAAACTGCGCGACATAGGCGCAGGTGAACGCGGTCATCGTATCATTCACTGATGGAAACAAAACTTACTAACACGGACATGACTGTACATCATACTTGCTAGTTCCACATAATCAACCAACAGGTTAGCATTTTAAATATTCACTGTAATTTAGTAGAAACCTTCGGGAAATGACAAATCCTCCAGCCTTGGCAATCATAAATTACAGCAAACCTTCATCACGAAATTGGACGATCGGTGGTTCCTTGGACCTTGAGTATAATGTTGCTGGTTAATCAATACACGAATTGAGTAAAAGTAATAAAATAAACAGCTATGTTATATAAACAAAAAACTAGTCTCTTAGAGGACAATAGGTGCTTTAGACTGCCTCTCGTAACCCGGATCTGTCTTCGGTGGCGAACCAAGCGAGGGCGTTAAAGAGATGACTACGAAAATGAGTTCGTCAGATTCGAGGCATGTTTGAAAGTTGAACAGTTTTATTTTGGCAGTCACTTTCACTACACGAGAAAGCAATAGTACAAAGAAAGTCAGCGTAATTTGAATATGTAGAATGCGGAAGTATTATCCGTATTATCCATCAACCGGGTCACCAGTTCGCAACCTAGTTCGACGAACTCCCTTTTTCCCATTTGCCTCTCACCGTCTGTCTCAAAGACAAAGAAGCAACTACGGAAGAACTCACAAAATAAAATAAAATAAATACATGGAAAAAACCTCCACAGACAAGTGCAAAAAAAATAAAAAAAATCTCGTGGCCAGCGGGACGACAAACGAGTAAAAAAAAAGAGGAAGCGAGGACAAAGAAGCACAAACGAAACAGAAAACGAGACAAAATGACAGACACTCATACGCCCAGCGAAGAACAAAACCCAAAGACTTAACAGTACCTGCTTTAGAGACACGATCTTGCACATCAGAGCAGTGGGTGCATCAACCTGCTAACGACGGCTATGACGAAACTTTCGCTTCAGAGTCTGCCGAATAGAATGGTACCGACGCGCCGACACCAGCACCTCGCGGCTCGACCGGGCGACAGACGTGTAGTAGCTTTGATGCCGATTGAGAATTTCGATGACCTGGTCCATGATGGCATTTTCGGCAGCCTCGCTGCCGAGGTGTGCCTCGAAAATGGCCGCAATCACATACCTGTGGAAGCGGATAAAGTGCGGGCCCTGGTCGATCGTGGGCGCCAGCATTTCGAAAAAAGAGCGCTTAGAGAGGTAGGACCACACCCGCCCCATTCGGACGTCAAGTTGTGCTCCGTTCGCGGCCCTGTTCCGTGGATCCGCTACCATGCGGTTCACCCATGCGTTGCGGTCCCAATGCAGACAGTCCTGGCCATTGGGTCGAGGTAGTTGCAATGCATCCACAATGCTGTGAGTTGCAAAATCCGACGCCGTGGTCCGGTACTGCACGATAGAGAACAGGTTCCAGTTGGCCATACCCATAGAGCTGCCCTCGATGCCATCGTCGTCGTTGTCGTCGTCGTCGTCGTCGCTATCGTACTCGAGCGTACTACGGCCGGACGCGGCACATCTGGAATAAAATCCATCCAGCAAGTGCCAGTAACCACGGAGCTGGTCTCCTGGACACGAGTTCTTCATGTCATCCACAAGTCGATTGATGTGTCGGGCCATGGCGGCATCCTCTATAGACCCGAGACCGGCATTTTTCTGCAGTGGCAACAGCCACTGGCTTGGCCGCACGGGAAGTTCCGTATTGACGGACCGGATTGTTGGAACTGTGTCCGGTCTTGGCTGATTGTAGCCTTGGTGGTGCTGTCCTGTCCGTGTCTGTGCCCCAGCGGTCGTGCCTCCGCCTGTGCGCGAAGGGCCAGCTGCGCCAAAGGATGGGTTGCTTGGCGACGGATCCAGATTCGCCTTAGCTTCTTCGCTGCCGGTGTAAGGGTAGTCTTCCAGCTTGGCCCAACGGCTGGCAAAATCTGCCAAGGGAGAAGACATGGAATAATGCCAGGGAATCCCCCACTCGTCGTCTTGACTAGAAAACTTAAAATAATGCTCACTGGCTAGGCGGTTCATTGTATGGCTGGACAGATGCACGGACCTGCAGAACTCCATAAACGATTTCGTGGCAAGCTTTTTCGCTGACTTTCTGTCGAGCTTCGAGAGAGTTTCGTCTACATTGGCCATGTCTTGTGTGGTGATTTGTTGTCCCAGCTCGTCGGTCGCGGATTTCATAGCGTCGATAATGCTGCTCGCAAAAACAGATCCAGAGTATCTTGAGATACTTTGGCTAGCCGTCCATGAGTTCGACTCCTCTTTGACATCTGCAGCTGTCATCGTACTAATGTTGATGTCCGGACTGACGCTCCACCCTCCCGAGTAGCATGCTGTGGTTAGGAGACAGACGGGAACATAGCGATGCAAGACACCCTGCACGCGCGTGATTGAAATTTTCGGTCCCCTGCCCTCTCCGGACCCGAAAGAGAAGTCATGGTTAGGTAGTCCGTGGCAGCAGACGATGAGAAGCACCGTGCCCCGTGTGCGCTTTGCTGTTTCCGTGACCTTGGCTACATGTTTTAGAAATGTATCGCCTAAGTCCTTGTGTTTCACGACAGTGACGGGCGTAATTTGGCCTTTTTCGAGAATGTTTCTGCTGAGAACAACTTTACGCGTCTGGTACGGATTGCCATGAACGTAATTACCGTACCGTTTGACAAGAGCGGCAGGGTCCTGCATATAAACATGTCAGCCACCGTTAACATGTCCATCAGTATTGCGCTAGAGACGGCATGGGCATACCGCTGCTGTAAGCCAAGTCTGGCTGGCGCCAAGTCCTTTAAATAGCAAGTTAAAGGCATAGAAATCGGCCAAGAACCAGCCATCCATATCGTGACCTGCGTAATGCTGTTGCACTGGGCATACTGCCAGGATATGTGTGCTGTTCTGTATCTGCGGCGGCGTAGACGTCGTAAACGATGACGTAGATAGGTTTGGATTTTTGAAAAATACTGCCTCCTTGAACCCCTTGGTGATGTTATCCATGTTTTCGGTTGCCATGGTCCGTGTAATTGGCAAGACCAAGACGTGGAGTCCGTGGTTTGGGGTAGGATCAAGGAAAGAGGAATAACGGAAAAAATAGGGATAAGAAGAGGGATAAAAAGAGGACAAAAAGGAAAAAAAGAAGAAGAGGAACAAGAGGAAGATGACGACGAAGAAAGACAAGGAAGAGATGAGGAACAAAAACAGGAAGAAGAGGAAGAGGAAAGAAAGAAAATCAAGTAAAATCCAGTTTAGGCCTGTCCGAGTTCAGGTTCAACGCAACCACAAACACAAAGAGAAGCTTGCTGAGATGAACTTAAGCAGAGACTCAAAATTGGTGTCGAATGTTATCGAGATTGCAAGACGGACGAGAAAGGACAAATTAGTATGTAGTGAGGCACCGGAGACTGAATCTCAAAACAAAGAAGAGGGAGAGTCAATGCAAAAGGCGAGGGAAGATCTGGTGAACTTTATATACCACACAGAGAACCATACAAGCTGAATCATCCAGCGCGATCGAGTACGTACATCACCAACGGGCTCCTGATTTCACAAAACAGAGTCAACCTATGTCCAAGAACCCGACAACGTGATTGGTCGATGCTTTTTCAGCGAAGTGACGCGGTTTGACTCCGTGTAAGGAAGGTACGACAGCCTCAAAACGTGTTACTGACTCCACTAATGTCACTGACATCAACTACGATTAAGTGTGTCATACAGCGAATGAAGAAACTAGGCGACAGAGACACTAGTAGCAATGTCGTTAATCACCTTCTCGCGGCGTCTCTATGTGAAAGCAGACGAGGGTATAACGATGTCGACAATTGACATGACCGATCGTTTGGGTGGCAAAGCACGCCATTGCGTCGTGGGACAAGCGACACCGGCTTGAATGTACCAAACGGGATATCACAGCGAATGAGCATTTTGCAAGAAGGTATCAATGTCGATGAGAGGACTGGAGATGCGTCAGACGGAAAATGCAGAAGCGAGTAAGCGTGATGCGAAACAATATTGCTGAAAATTATCGTGCCAGAAAATACATGTGAAAAAATGAATCCGAGAAGAAACCGTTTCGAGGGTGTCGCGCACCTCGTGTTACACACGCTTAGTCATCGGACATACACCCGTTGGCTTGCATTGTCACTGATGTATCCTCCCGGTCACTCACTACGTCCGGCCTAGTTTCTTCGCAGTTGACAGCACGCACTGGATGCTATATACACTGTACTGAGGCTTGCTACTGTAGTCGCAGATGTAGACAACGACCTATCCTTCCCGCGCCTTGTTTCCACAGGCGCCCCTCACACTACTGGATCTCCGCCGACATATGGTACTTGCCGTTCTTCTGGACAACAACGTCCCATACAGGACGGGGCCTTTCGCCCGCCGTCTTACCTCGTGTGCGAATCTGGTACGTGTCGCCGGCGTAGAGGGGCCGTAGGGCGCGGTAGTGGATGCGTTGGGGCCCCGTGACGTTGCCGGTGGCGTCTTGCCAGTAATTGAGCAAGTTGATGAGGTTCAGCGGGCCGTGCACGACCAGGCCATTCTGCTTCTCCATGCTCTGCGTCCAGTCCTCGTTGTAGTGGATCTTGTGGCCGTTAAAGGTCAGCGCCGAGAAGCGGAAGAGTGCGACGGGCGACCAGCAAAAGTGACGGACTAGGTCCGTGGCGTTCTCTGAAATGCTCGCGGCGCCCGAGGCGGCCGTCGAGCGTGTGCAGTCCATTACGTCGTGGACGGTTGACGGGCCCTTGTATGACAGAAACGGGGCGCCTGGCAATGTCGATGCTGACGTTAGCGTCTCCGTGTCGGGCGCCACGGCGGGCTGAAAGATCCACGACCGCCGGTCCACGACGGCCAGCCCTCGGGGCGTCCACAGCTCCTTTTCGACCTCGACAAGCACCATGCCGTGGCCGCTCGACTTGCTCAATTTGGGCGTCGCGCTGACGAGCCGCGTGCGCTCTTCGGCCACCTCGCCCACGCGCAGGCCGTCGCGGCCGCCGCTGACCGTGTCCGTCGTCCACTCCATGCGCCCGCCGGCCCACATGCGCCGCGTAAAGGGTGCTGGCGCGTTGAATGTGCGGTCGGTGCCGTCCGGACCCAGATCGGCCTCGAGCCCACCTGGCGCAAAGTAGGCGAGGTGATAGCCGGCGGGAACAGGCGTGCCATCGGGCAGGGCGGCATCGTCGGTCACAGTGACGCCCGAGACAGACGGGCGGCCCAGCGTCCAGGCCATTTTGGCCAGTTGATTGGCGTCGATGTACTGGTGACGGACGACGGTTGCAGTGCCGTGGGCGGCCATGAGCCTCTCGGCGGCCTCGGCGGCCGCCATATTTGTGTTGCTACTGGCGCTTGGGCGAGTCGACGTCGTCGTGAAATATCGACTCGCGGCAGAGGCGGTCCTCAAGAAGGACCGCCTTGGTCGAATTAGCAGCATTGTTCTTGTAGAGTTCATTGTAACAGTAAAGGCGCTGATTCAGTAGACTGTTCCAAGCAGAAGGAGGCCACGACAGTGTTTGAATTAGGAGGCACGATCACCTTATGACAGTACTTTGTACTGTTGTAGACTGCCCGCCCGCGCCAATCACCGCTGGCCGAGTCGGCTTATTCGCTAAACGCCGTCACTAGCGTCAAGTAGCCGAGTTGAGCGGGGACTGCCAGCGAGAACATTTACACAACGCTGGAGCACAACTCTTAGGCTACTTCAGGGCACGTACAGCGGGGCAAAAAACAAAGTTTGGTCAACGTATGATTGTCGCCCAGTAAATCGACAATTAACAAACAATACAGAGTATGGCATGATGCTCCCCTCCTCCTCTTCATCCATACACCTACCACAGTCTGTCCCGTTTGTCCACCGTAGTATCACACCCTCTCACACCGTCCCCAATACGTCGGTCGTGCTGTCGACACCGACATTGGACGCCAGAGCCAGACTGGTATTGTCCAACGACCCCCAATAACCACAGAGCCCACCGCCTTCGCCCAGGGTGAGGTGGTCCGTCTCCATCTGCGAGAAGAGGTAGATTTGCTGTTCTTCTAGCGTGGGCACGGCCTCTGCCCATGGGGTGCGGGAGAGTAGGTCGGACCCGCTCATTGGCGATGGGTCTGCACATGCGAGACTAGGCCGCTCATTGCAGTCGTTGCCATCGATGCAGGCAAAGAAGGACAATTGGTCGGCCGGATTGTTCAAGGACATTGCCGGCCACGGCCCGGATGCGGTCCCGGATACAACCCCGGCACGGTCCGAGTCCGGTGCTGGGGACGTGGCGGTCATTGTGGCTGCGCGTACAGTGTGATCGCCGACGGCCATGCTCGTATTGGTATTAGTTCCCGGAAAGGTCCCGGCGCCGACAGACAGGCGCGCCGCGGTAGACCGGTCCAGGTAGCGGAAGAACAGCTCCAGAATCCAGTTGCGGACGTCCCAGGTGCGCTGGAGCTCCTGTAGGCCGAGCAGGCAGACCTTGGCGCGGTGCTCGGCAATGGTCAAAACACCGCCCGCGGCCGTGCCGCTGCTTGTGCCATAGCTCCTACCAGCGGCGGCACCAGTGGCACCCGGCTGCCCAGGCCGGCTTTGTGCAGCGAGCCGGCGCAGGTGAATGGTATGCATGCAGAGCGTGTTGAACAGGTTGGTGATGGTGTGGACGGGGGCGTGCCGCAGGCAGGCCAGAAGAGACGGAACAGCCACGAGGTCTTCGACAATGCGCGAATTCCGCGAGGCGGCGTGGAGTGCAATGCGGCATTCGCCCTCCGCGGCATGCGAAGCACTCTGGCTGATGTAGGCCGGGCGGTAAATCAAAATCAGCAGGTTGTTGTAGCTCAAGTGGAGGAGGCGCGTGTAAAACGTGGACGGCGTGGCGCTGCTGCCGGCCGCATCCTCCGAGCACGTCTCTGAGAATTCCTCCGCGCACTCCAAGAACGGCGAGTGGGCGTCGAGCGGAGGCGGCTTCCATGCCCGCAGCTCTTTGCGGAGCGTGGCTTTGCAGGCGGCCGTCAGGGCCTGGCCAGGTGCGTAGCCCTGGCGGATGATGGTGCCCAGAATGCGTGCAAGCCCGGTGGCCCCGACCTGGAACGCGATGCCGTCATGATGCACGGCACCCGCGAATGCAAATTCAAAGTCGTGGGCCTCCAGCATGGCGACGTCGCAGTCTTCGTCGCGGATGCGGCTGGGCAGTCCGAGCGCGGCGGCACACTGCTGCTCCCGCGTGTAGATGCTCCACCAGAGCCGCTGTTTGAGCTGGCGTAGCTGACGAGCAGGCGCTCCGGCTGTCGTCGTCGTCGTTGACGTTCCCGCGTTTGCGCTCGATGTCGTCCCCGGCGTGGCCACCACGCTTGCCACCCGCACAGTCGACCGGTGCATGGCTTTGCTCTGGGCCAAGCTGATGGCCGTCGCCAACCAGTGGCGCGTGTCTTTTTCCAAAAAGGGCCCCGTGCGCCAGAAGCTCATGAGAAAGACGGCTTGAATGACAGTCACCTTGTCGCGCTCGTAGTCGGCGTCGTACAAGTCCTTGCAGCGGTTGTAGTAGATGTATTTCTGTCGCTGCGTCGTGTTGTGTCCGTTATCGTCGTCGTCATCTTCTGTTGTGCCGCCGCCACCGCCCGCATGGATTGCCCCGATAAAGAGCATGGCCTGTAGGAGGAGCGGCGACAGTGTACCCGCCTTTTGTTTCTGGCGCGTGTCGGCCTCGTCTACGACGGCATAGCACGGGTGGAACCAGCGGAAGTAGGCGTCGAGCAGCCGGTCGACGGTCGCGGCGGGCGGGACAGTGAGGGCACCGGCTGTCTGCAGAAATTGCATCTGGATGCGCCGTCGCTCGGCCGCCCAGATCGGCTTGCCGTTTCCGCCGCTGCGGCAGCCGTCGCTCAGACGCCCGCCATTTCTGTCACCGCCCTGCATCATCAGCATCGCCTTGCTCTCCACGTCGTGCGCGTCGGCCTGGGGCACTTGGTGGAGGAGGTGAGCGGTCGTGCTGCTGGGTGACGTGCTGTCGGGCGGCGTAACGGCACAGTTGTCAGCGGCGTCAGCTTGGACGTATCGTAGCGTGTTGGACTCGCCCAAAAAGACGGACGATGTTTCTGCATCGGCGTCCGCTTCGGTATTTGTGGCACCATGCCGTGCGGCTGGCATCGTCACGGGTGTCGCAGGCGCGATGGATATGTGGTGGGGCTCAGCGTCTGTGTGTTTGTAGTCGTGGTCGCGTTTGCTGTCGTGGTCTCTCAGCAACGTGACCAGGGCTTCAGATGCAGCGACTTCGTCGCCGTGCGTCGACGGCGCCGACGTTGACATCGTAATGGACGTTGTTTTCGATGCCGTCTTGGATGCCGCTGTCCGCTTTCTCGGATGTTTGCCTCGCCGCGACTCCCGCACCTCACACCGCTGCCCGTCCACCAGGCAGTTCCGACACGGCATCGACTCGGTCACAGTGCACTTGACGCGCCGCGCGTTGCACGCGATGCATGCCTGCCGTGCACGTTTGCCAATCGGCTGCATCGTGTTGGAGGCGAGTGATCGTATGCATGAGTTAAGTTGCTAGCAATAGACTGTTGTCACATATCAGCAGCAGCATAGCCGTTGCGATTGCGATTGAGGTGAGGTGAGGTGAATTTTGTCGACAACAGCCGACTTGGCCTTCTATATCGGAAAACGCTCCCAGACAATCCCAGGAATCCTCTCTACAACATCCATTGTTCATGGCCGTCGTTGTAGTCGACCTCCCTGTGGACACAGACCGAGACCGTTTTGACGGATTGCCCAGCGATGTATTTCAGTTGAAAAACAGTCGATTCTGTTCGTAACTTTGGTCGTGTGCCTGCTTTCTGGCGTGACTGGACTGCCGCTAAGAGATTCCCGGTCGATCGGCCGGGGTTAGCATGGGGTGAATACGAGGTGTTGAGCGGCTTTGAGCAGTCTTACCAGCACACCCTAGCCGTTGGCCACTAAACTAATAGACCATATAACCGAGCAAGGAGCCGAGCAAGTAGCCGATAAAGAACCTTGGTGGTTCTGACTAATAAGGTGAGACGAGGGCTCCCCACTTTGCATCAGCAAGTGTGAGAACGGTACGAATGTACAACATACTTCAGAGCTGTTATCGAGCCTTTCGTGTTAGAGCTCTTTATTTTGTCAGCTGGCTTAGTGGTAGCAGTCTGGTTCCTATAACAAGGCTGACTCGACACGTGATATGGCCTCTCACCTTAGACGGTTATAAATACATTCCGACTGTCGTTTCTCCCTCTTCTCCCGTCTGTCACTTCTTTCCCTGCACCGCGCCAATTAAGTTCGCCTTTCTTTATTATAAATGAGGAATAAACGAAATCATTACCTGCAGCCCCCCAATACGCCGTAAACACATGGCTTTACCGGAAAACGAGCATAGCCTGGCGCCAGCGCCGGCCGAGTTGGTAAGTGATTTATATACCTCCATACTAGTAGTGCGGGCTTTTTCTTTTGGGTGTGGTCAGGAGTAGAATACTTTGACAATTCTCACACTTATAACGCTCAATAGGTCGCGGTTCCCACTTTACAACACGCGACAACGACAACGGCGACGTCGACGGTGGCGGCGGCGGACGACCTACGGCTCTAGGACCTTAAAACGTACAAGCACTGCCATGAGATCTTCGTAGCTTGCGTTTCCGCGTCGCCTGGAAGTGGAGTGGCAGCAACCTGCCCGACCACTACCGTCACATTACATAGCCGAGGGCCTACCAGCAAGGTCGCTCCCCACTCGGGTTCGCCTGCGCCTTCGCTTACGCTAATGCAGCCGCTTACCACGCTCACTGTGCCACTATCGGTCGCGGCGTTCGGCACGGCCCTAACAATAGTCCGTGGCTTTACGGACCTCGGTACGGACGGCCTACCGGACGGCGACGGCGGCGACAACGTGGTCCAGCTGTATACCGTGTCTACGTACGGAGAGTACGCTGTTCTGGAACATATTTTTCGTGATGGTCGCGTTCCTGTGTGGAAGTGGTTGAAACCGGCAGGTCCGTACGGCCCGTTGCGAGGTTTCTGGGAGACAGAGTTAACGCAGGCGTTGGAGGACGGCCAATGGCGTGGCGGCACGGGTCTAATGCTTTTGGTGACCGGCGTTTCGGAGGCGACGCGCGAGTCGCTCGTTGGGCGCCGGTCGAGCTCACTCAAGGTGTTAACGTGCTAGACGGTACAAATGCACCTCCCAAGGGTAGATAGCTTTGGGAGTTGATAATGTTAGTGGAGTTATTTGAAATATGACTGTGAGAAGATATGACGGCTAAAGAATACCCAACATGTTTTAAATGGAAAAGGGGCAAGCGGTGCTTGGTCTACCATGCCGGAAACAGGAGTACTAGTTCATTTAGGAGCCTCCTAGGACTTGTGCGTGCAGTCCGGTACACAGTACTCAAACAACAGCGCAGAGATTGATATTCAGTACACAGAAGAAAACAAATAACTGGCAGGGTCAGGCACGACCACATGTACAGAACACATGGGATGGCTTCTAATACAATACGGCTCTGGAAAGTAGATAAGGACGTAGTTCTCACACGAACACCTTGATGGCTACGGCATGTTTTGTGGGGGAGTGGCTAGTTCTCTAGAAGTATGTTGTGTTAATAGTCGTACGTTACATAAAATCAAATCAAACCATCTATCACACTACGTTATACAGACAAGTGGCTGGTAGACGTGTTACGACGTGGGTGTTACGACGCAGGTTGGTGTCCTAAGATCTCTGTCTCGTTGGGTTGAGAATAGAGATAGTTTGCACACTTTGTAACTTGGGAAACAAACCCAAATGCAAGTTGTTATCGTAAGTAAGATGGAAGTGGAAAAGTTTGGTACCGACCCGACGTTTCTTCGTACGTGATATTAGCCTTTAATTTGTGTTGGATATGGGACAGAAATAGAAGAAAAAAACAGGAGAGGAGGGGGTAAATATAAGAAAGGAAAGGAAAAATAAATGAAGAAAACAGAAAGGAAGAAGCGAGAGACATTGACGGCTAAGACCACAAACAGGGCGTGCGACGAAGGACAGTTGTGGAAAGGAAAGAAGATGAAAGAAAACAAGAATAAAAGAGAAAAAAGAAAGAAGCGGGAGACATCGACAGCAAGGATCACAAACAGAGCACTGTGCCAGTTTGGGCACGGTGTGCGACGAAGGACACTTGTATACCTTGCCCTGTATATTCTTTTTCGTCCGTTTTTTAATACACACAGAATCGTTATAAATACAGAAGATGTCTTAGTTTAACTTTAGACACGAAGTTCCTTTATTATTTAGTCAATCACCACTGTCATAATCACCTCTTAGGTTCTCCCTCTTAAATATTTCATATCATTCCTCCTTCTCTCTACCTCTGTCTACTCAGAATGCCGTTGCCAAAGACGATGTCCCTAGTGTTTGCGACCATCGCTTTATTAGTTGGCTCGCTTTATTAGTTGGCCGCATCACTGCAACGGCGGTTACGACCTTTCGCACTTCCGACGGCAAAGTGGTGACCATGAAGCTGGTCGAGTCAGGAGAATTTTCCAACCGCGTAAACATTAGCGACGTCCTGCTCGTTCCGACTACACATCGAAACAAGACCGCCGCAGGGACAGCTGCCAAGCGAGCCGCTGAGCCGCTGGCCATTAATCCCGTGGCAGAACCTGCCGTGGCGCGGCTGGGAAAGCGCGATGAGATCGGGTGCTACCTGCCCCAGATGTCGGCCAATCTCGACGACTGCAGCAACATCTGCAACTTCATGCGGCAGTACGGTGGCAACCTGGCCATCATCCCCGCCTTTGACGAAGTTTATTGGGAGCTGGACACCTGCACACTGGGTGCGACCAACCGTACGCCATGCACCAAGGTTGTTCCTTATGAGTTCTTTACACCGTACTGCTACAACATAATCAGCGAATGCATCTTTTATAGCCGGGACGGATACTTTGACATTGAAAGTAACGGCATGTCTGCGGCTTTGTTTGGGGATCCAGCGGCGCCCGCCTATTCTCCGTTGGCGTGCTAGAATGACGAAACATTATTGGGGAATGAGAGCGATGAGCAGCATAAATACTCTTTCAGCTTAGGAGTTGCAAGACGTATTTCACATACCATAATGCATTAGTACGAAGTGAGGATGTGTAACCCCCTCACTTACGCACAGTTGTACTTCTTGCCTTTCTGTTTACGGATATTGTCGCAGCACAGGGAATCTCCAAGTTATTCAACGCACTTCTCGGCGACTGCCACCACGCTCATCTACATCCCCATCGCCGACCACATTGCCGACACCTGACTGGCCGTCACCAGTTCTCTGACGTCACCGCCACCTGGAAAATCCCCTTTGGTTCAACGAGGGATCACAAGTCGCCGGCATCTGTGCCCAACATAGCAAGGCAGCACTGGAGGTGTTGCTGCTCAACGCCATGGCACTCACAGGCCCAATTTTCCCCTGGGATTACAAGGTGATATAACAAACCTTCCTTAGAATAATAAATCTAATATACACTTCGCGGCCCACTTCCACTGAGGAAAGGAGGCCAAGGGGTACGTTTTGTGCTTCGTTACAACTACGCGTTGTCCATCGGTGGAGTGATCTTTCTTGTGGTTAAACCCATCTTTAGAAACTCCCTTAAGATTCCACCAATGCCACTACTTTGAGCGCGTTTTCGTATTGGTCAGCATTGATGTCGGCATCCTTGTCGAGTAACAACAGGACTCTTTTCTCATAGCCTTCCGTCGATACCATTTCGTAGTGGTTAATATCTCCGCCGCCTTACTTAGAGACAGGAGTTTATTAGGTTTAAGTTTTGACAGTTTATATTTTGTGGCTATTCGTAGGAATCATAATCTGCCGTACAAGTACAGGGTCGCGCATTTAGTGGAGACAGCAAGACAGTAGAACCAAATGGCACTTACAATAGTCGCAGGAACAACGTCTACAGAAATTCCAAAGATACAAATCGTCAAAACAGCTTGTGGCCTTTACCGAAATGGCGACTGTTTTTCGTTTTCTTTTTCCTCTTCCCGTGTAAAACAGTACGGAGCTTCTTCATTTCTAGTCTTTTGAGTGACAATCGAGTGTTCGGAGGCCTTAATGTACGATACTGCGGGCAAAGCCTTTACAATACCGCACAATTTCGTAATTCGTGGACATTGATGTGTGTGAACGGAAGCGTGGGTGCGGCTCTGCTCCTTCCATTTATTGGTCTCTCATTGCATTATTGTGATTTCCCCGTCGATGCCCCTATGCGATAGAGCATAAGCTAACGTGCAGGCGGCTGAATGCGCTGACCGCGAAGGTGTTTCGCCTAAACAACGTGATGTCATTACCAAAACATATTTATGCATTTGACGGCCGCGCGGTTAAACACGACATGCCGGCTCTGAAGTGTTAGTCAACAGCCCCACCCGGAAAGGCCCCGAGATTTACATTAAATTTCCGACTACTCTTCCGTATTATAATGATCGCAAAGAAACAAAACAACAATGGACTCTCTCCACCCCAGCTACCTGACCCTGCATTACGGCACAGGCCATTCGTCCGCCACTTAATTCTTCACGTGCCATTTACACTATTATGCAAGGCGATCGGTTACACCTCCGTTAGTTTCCATTACTATCTCTCTAAGCATCCTTCTACTACTACACACCACTGCATGTGTACCACTTTATTTACATTGACGGAGGCTCCGTCCGTGAAGATTAACACCATGCGCCATGATGAGCAAATACAGCGGCGCTTAATGCTGGTGAAGAAAGGTGCCGGCTTCCGAACTCTACGACAATCAATATCATGTCGATAAATGAACTGACACAAAGTCTCCTCCAGATATTAGGAAGCTGCCGGACGGGCTCTTCCATACCACACTTTCCACATATTCTACTCTTGTAAAGGAGTACGAACCGTGACTCTCTGACGTATATTTAATTGAGAAGCATCCCTCCCTCGAGTTCTCTACTTAGCCAAGTTTTACCAAACAGCTCAACTACTGGCAGCCATCACGACTGAACCCACTCGAGTCACAAACTTTCCCCACGAGACCTCTCCTCACGCCAATATGAAGCGCAACACGCTTACTCTGAGCTATCTAGCGTCCATGTATGTTACCAAATCTACGATCCCTCTCATCCCACTCACTAACCTACTCCTAGTATCACCGCCACCATGGCTCAGCACGGCCCGCCGTCGGGGCCTGGGGGCTTCGAGGGCCCCGGCGGCAGCGGTGGTGGAGGCGGTGGTGGTTGGGGTGGCGGTGGTGCGGGCTGGCCGCATACAACGGCGTTGCCTGCCTCCACGCCGCTGCCGCCACCGCCCGAGCCCGCGCCCACTACCTGGACATCGGCCGCCACACCGCCGGCCCCACCATCGCCTGTCGAGACATGGCCGACGGTGCCGCCTGAGCCGCCCCAGGGCACCATTGCTACCACGGGAGCCACGTCCTTTACGGTCGGTCCCGACGGACTGACGACGCCCGTCGCCTTCACCACGGGCCCCAATGGCGTTGCCACCCCCGTGGCGTACACGACGGGGCCCAACGGGCTAGCCACGCCGGTGCAGTACACCACTGGACCCAACGGCCTCGAGACGCCCGTCACGCAGACGTTTGTGTCGTACACGACGGGCACAGACGGCCTGGTCACGCCCGTCACCAACGGCGTGATCTTTACGCCCTTTGTTTCCAACGGCCAGCGTCTGGCGCCATTCCGTCTGTGGTAAAAGGATTTGTTAAGTATTTGCTAGGATGTATTTTAGTGGAGTGCTACGTATATTCTTGTTTTTAGTCTTCTTACTGGTAACTTTTGTTTTGTGTTCGGGTTATACTTAGGAGGTAATGTAAGTCGATATTATAATAAATAAGTTTATTTTAAAAAACACTTCCATATTATTACAACAGCACATCCCAGGGGTAATTGACTCTACTAGATGGTCAGATTACGGACCCATGGGCCGTGCCGAGTAGGTCAGGTGATAGGATCTGGTTCGTATACCCAGTGAGACCCTGTTGAATCACCGTAGAATTAACGGCGTTTTTGTGTCATGACACCGTCCCCTTTTTGATACTTTCGTACCAACTTTGTAGACAAAGTAGTCTATCTCACTGTATTACTAGTCCCTCTTCCTCACGTTCTCTCTTCCACCGCCGGACGACAACACAACCCATAACGCCTGTTGTAAAGACAGAGATCGTACGGAGACCACCAAACCAGAAAAAAGTCAACACACGCTTCCGCTCAAGGATACGTAGAAGGAATAAGGAAGCGTCCAGCATTGTGGCGGCACTTAGACAAGGGCCAGGGACAGCTCCATGGCTATGATTGTTCCTGGATTAGAGATCTCAGAATCTCGTTGTGGGGGTCCGGGTTATAAGGGTCCTGGCCCTCGCCGCCGTTAAATCCGTTTAGCGTTGTTATGGCCCCACCGACCGCGTAAAAAGCAATAGTAAAGATATCACCAACGATTGTTACGGAGAGAACGTTGGATTTTACGTTATAGAGGAGGATTCTACCAATGTCGGCGGTTATAGACACGACGGCCTGTTTTTGTCGTGTCTATGTTAACCACTCGACCAGATTCCGATACTAGATTCACAGACAATTATAAAACGAAATACCTTACTCGCCCCTATGATCATAATACCAAAGACCGCTTCGCGCGACACCGAAACGGCGTTTACAGTGGCTCCAACCAAAGTAAAGCAATCGCGACTAGGCACAGACGAATGGCCGAATAAAGGCATCTGCCTATATAGACAGGCCGTGTCCTCCTCGCCATTTAAGGTATGTCTGTCTCCGGGGTGCTGGCTCGATTGTGAGAAAACAAATCAACAATAAGGAAAAATTTAAGACGAAAATGAAAATGAGAGAGAAGAGTGTGACTTAATACAGGATTCAATGTTAAATTCAAGGTCTAGAATACGTTGGTAAATGTTAGATTTTAAAAAGTCACGTTTAAGTCGGGTGGTAAATCCGTTTATTATTATCTTTACGGATACCTAACTCTTTGGCTGAATTCCAATTAGATCCCTATCTTATATAATAACCGTCGACATTAATATATAGACATCTATTACGACTGGTTACTCCTGGTGATAACTGATAGACAGATCTCCATATTATGGATACCGACAACACATATAGCTACCGATAACTTCACGAAACCTCTATAACGACAAAAACACGATGAATTCGTCCGTTTAGTAACCCCACGGCCACTTCCTAAAGACCTTGACTAGTAGGACTTCTAAACAGTCTACCCACGCTCCTTTTATACCTTTTAGTCTTCTTCTTTTATCGTTATAACTAAACTTTCTATACGGACTTCAGATCTAGGATAATAACTAGAAGCTTTTATAGAATTCTACTAGAGACAACATAATTTTACTAACTTTTGGGCCAAACTGTTATTTGACACATTTTAAGGGTAAAATTACACATTGAGTAAAAAGTTTTACGTATCTCAATTTCCTCACCCCCTACATTGTACGGGCTTTTTGTTTGTGCTAGATTCATTCTCCGTAGTAGAATACACACACATCTCTGCCGCAGCTATATTTCATAAATGCGGAATCCCGACCAAAAGAGGACGCCATAGAAGAAAACTGTACTGCCAACCATGCTACACTGGAGCCAAATAGCATCTTTTCATCCGATCACGGCCCTCACGCTGTCTCCGTCTCCAAAAACTGGCGACTTGGCCGACGAGCGGGGTAAATCATTTGCGATGTCGTTGATAGGTCAACAAGATGCTTGCTGACCAGCCATAAGCAGCCTCCAAATGCCAGAGCACACACGTGTAAAGCGCAGTACAGTCTCCATCCACTGAGAGGCCTCAGAGACATGCCCAAGCGCCCGTGGCGTTTTTACAAAGCTTTGTGCATATCTCAGCTTGGTACGTCGTCCTGAAATAGGCAATATTATTCACCATGGGTCGAGTCTAGGCCTTCAGGGACCGGGTGACGATTGACGACGTTGAGCACCGAGTGACACGCTCCATTTTCATCATCTTAGAGAGCATATATCCTGGCATGGCCCTCGTGTGTATTGTGGACGCTTTCGCTACTAATTGCTCAAGCCTGTGAGCTTACTTATGTGTTCCTTTCCTTACCCAGCCTTTGACTTTCGAACATGATGATGCTCGCCATCCCGGTTTGCCTTTTGGCTGTTTTATCTTTCGCCCAGGCAACTGCCGCCCGGCTGCCGACCTTGAACTTGCCCTGGGGCACATGGCAGTCTACCGTCTATGAAAAAGACTCAAATGTACGTACATAAGAAGTCCGTGCCAGTATTTAACGTGCTCTAATCATTCCTCCAGGTCTACGTTTTCAAAAATGTGCGATTCGGAGCTAAGCCGCCCAGGTTCGGCCGGTCCGCATTTCCAACCCAATGGGACAACAGCTCGTCTGGGGCAGCTTGCTACCAGGTGAGCGCCAGCGGTCTTCAAGTTCCTCACGATGGACCAGTCGGCGTCCCAGATCTTCGCGCGCCCCTCGAAGCTCTCCCCCAGGACGAGGATTGCTTGTTCCTGGATGTCTACGTGCCGGCATCCAACTTTGATGCCAATGGGAATCCAATCAAAGCGCTGCCAGTCGTCGTTTGGTTCTACGGCGGAGCTTTCGCCTTTGGCGCCAAAGAGCTAGGCGACGGGATCTCGCTCTATACGGGTCAGGCAATGACCACAGCCACCCACAACGAGGTCATATTTGTCGCCGGAAATTACAGGCTTGGCGCCTTTGGGTGGCTGGCCGGTCGGTACATGCAGAGTTCGGCGCAGCCCAATGCGGGACTCTACGACCAGGCTCTGCTGCTCAACTGGACGAACCAGTATATCTCCAGAGTGGGTGGCAATCCCAACCGGGTCAGCGCATGGGGCGAGTCAGCCGGTGCCGGCTCGATTCTTCATCATCTCATTCGTGAGGGTGGCACTGTCAAGCCTTTGTTCAACACCTTCTTGGTGCAGAGCCCGGCCTTTCCGTGGTCCTGGGATAACCAGCCTCTCGGGACACTTGATGAGACCTACTTGAATTTTTCACAGGCAGCAGGATGCGGCCGCAACTTCAACATCACTTGCCTTCGAAATGTAAACATTGATGCCCTGATTAACGCGAACGACTATCTCTACCACAGAGTCAAGGACACGGGAATCTACCCGGTGGGGCCGTCCGTCGATGGCACTTGGGTCCAGACCATCCCTGCTTTGTCATTCGCATACAGTACGTTTCTCTCTCTGCAACGGCCGCACAGCACACGCCGCTTGCTATGATGCCTACTTGGAACACGTCGAAAACTGACAACCACGTGACAAAAACAGAGCAGTTCTATCCCGCCATCAGTGGTGCCATAATCTCCCATGTCTACAATGAATCGTACAGCTTCACGCCCAACGTTCGGACCCAAAACGACTTTGACACATTTCTCGCAGAGTTTATACCCGGACCTGCCCTCGCCACTGTTCGCAGCCAGATTCGCAGCCGCTATAACTGCGTCGCCGCCCCATACTACGGCGACTTCAAGCTCTGCTTGGCTGCCGTCATTGGCGACAGCTCCTTTTTCTGCAATACGCGCGACCTTTACGGGGCCTTCCCTTCCGTGAGCTACATGATGCAGTATGCATTCCCGACCGAGGTGGAGGCCGTGCACGCGAGCGATTTGCTGCCGGCATTTATGAACGGCATCCAGGACGCCGTCGATATCATTTTGAACGCGGATCCAGACTTTGGTGAAGCAAAGGCCTACGCCCTAGCGACTGACCTCGATGAATCGATCAAATATGTCTACCAGGCATATTTCGGTGCCTTTGCCGCGTCGGGCAATCCCAACAGCGGCCCTCCGACGCGCCCGTTTAATTGGCCTGTGGCCTCTCCTGGAGAGTCGCTGTCGAATGTTTTGCGGGTGCAGCAGTATTTTCCGATTTTCCAGAGCGCGTTTGTACTCACGACGGACAAGCAGAGCAACGCCACTGTTTGTGGTTTTTGGACAAACATCGCTTATCAGATCGTCAACGCAAAGTCCGCTGACGACTCTACAACCCACGTCCACCAGCAGTCACCAACCAGCAATGGCGCGAAATACGATGAACTTTAGTCTCAATATTACAGGTAGGCAGTCGATAACTAGGTCAAACACTGGCGCTGCGCAGATTTCAGACGTTGTCTGAAAAATATAAGAAACGGCTGGGCGATCTGCTGAACAACCTGTCACGCATGCCCTTATGATAACGCTCTACTACTTATGTATGTTAGACGTATAAATTCTATCGATTATTTAAGGAAATCTAGTTGTTTTACGTTGTATGTGTACAGTCTCGTGAAAGTTAGGGAGATTTGGAGACGTGAACTAAATGAAAACGTATAGGTTTTGGGTCTCCTTTTGTACCTCGTGAGGGCCCTCCTTACCCACTGTCTAGTTTAATACTCCTAGCCTTTGAAATTAAGGGTCACGTGCTTATGTTATATAATATTTCCCGCGCTAGTCCTTTTGACAGAGACCCACCCACCCTTTGAAAGGCACCGAATATCCGGTATCCGTCTTTCATTTCACTCCTTACAGAGTCGACGGCGGTCGCCGAATAGTATTAACCAAGCGCCCCATCTCCTTCCCTTCTCTAACACACCATCCGGACCTTATGGGTACTGCTGTTACGTCAGCGGCACCACCAAATGGTAGAGGCAATACGCGCTCATCCCTGGCCTGTCTGCTCTGCCGCTCCCGCCACTTGAAGTGCGATGGGGTTCGACCACGCTGCAACCGCTGCGTTGAGACTGCTAAGCAGTGCCAGTACACGCAGTCGCGAAGGGGCGGCCTCGACCGCGCAGCTCTAGCTGAGCGGCGCAGACGACTCGAGGCCGCGGATCGGAGCCCGGTTGAATCCGCCAACAGTTCGAATCTGCCACAGCCCTCGAGGACCACTTATCAGCAATACAACCCGTCACCACCCCAGCTTGCCAGTGATGTTGGAGCAGATCTCACGAATAGCTACGGCTCGGAGCCACCGGGGCCAGCAGCAACACTTCAGGTAGACATTGGCAACGACATCGCGGGTGATCCTTTCATCACGTCGTACTACGAGAACTTTCACAAATTCCACCCCGTTGCATTGCCGCTGAAACACTTGATGCGAATTCACCAGGACCCACGTATACAACTGAACCTGAGACCTCTCATCGCCATGTTGCGTTTCATTGGCCACATTTACAGTACGCGAGAGTGGTCTGCCGCTCTTCGATTGCATGTCGACGCTTGTTTTGCAGAGGCTGCGCCAACAGATCCCATCTTGGTCCAGTGTCGCGTATTGTATTCGATAGCATTGTTCTGGAGCAGCTACAAGGACGAATCGAAGAGGGAGATGGATGCTGCTGTTCAGCTCGGTCTTGATTTGCAAATGTTTCGTCAGGACTTTGCCGCAAAGTACGGAGCCCAGGATGCGGTGTTGACGGAGTGCTGGAGGCGGACATGGTGGATGCTCTACATTGTCGATGCTGTTTATGCAGGGACACTCGGGGCCGCGAATTTTGTAACTGTGGATGTCGAGGCCACGGTTGACTTGCCATGCGAAGAGGCGGACTACGAAAAGGGGGTGAGTAGTACTCCGTACTCCGGCCAGCACCGACGCACAGTCGCGTTTTTATTGCTGATTAACTAAATGATCCCTAAATGATGCGTATCTGTAGCAAATTCCGGAGCCCCAGACGCTGCATGATTTCGACTGCCGCGAATTAGCGCCCGAATCGACTTCGTTCTCGTCCTTTGCCTATCTCGTCGGCGCAGTACGATGTTCGGCATTGGCAATATCGACGGCCCCGAAAGTTGCTGCAAGTGAAGAGTCCCTACACATTCTCCAAGCCGCTGACTCTGTCATCAATGCATGGCTTCTTTTGCTTCCGAGCAGCCGCAAGCAGGTTATGAGCAAGACGGGCGAAATCGACGAACTCATGTTTCAAGCGCACTTGTTAATTCATGTGTAAGCCTCCGACTACATACTCCCACAACACCTTGCAAAGACTAAAGTTGACCCTTTTTAGCGCAGCCATCGGCCTCCACAGGCCGTTGTCCGACCTCAAGTTCAACCCGGTGGAGTGGATCTCGAGTTGTGCCCGACATCCTCCTCGTGAAACATCATCGCCAGAGCTCATCAACGTACACACCGTGCGCGTCCGGAAATCAATCGAAGCGCAGATCCGCCTCTTGGCGCTGCCCACGGAGCACTTCCGCCACAGCCCCTTCACCACTTGCATGGTCAGTGAAGGCACCCTAGCGCTGCTGTCCGCGTGCACATTTCTGCTCGAGGGAAAGGAGCTTGCCGTTGCTCGCGACCAGATTCGTATGACGATTGGGTGCCTTAAGACGCTGGGCGAGCTTTGGCCTAGAATCGAAACGAACGTGTAAGAGATTCATACCGGTAAAATAATATTAGGTTTTTAACTATTGTCCAGTCACTTATCCAGTCACTTGTCCAGTCACTTGTCCAGTCACTTGTCACTTGTCCAGTCACTTGTCCAGTCCACTTGTCTAGTCCACTTGTCTAGTCCACTTGTCTAGTCCACTTATTTAGTCACTTGTTACTTGTCTAGTCACTTGTTTAGTCTACTTGTTTAGTCTACTTATTTAGTCTACTTATTTAGTCTACTTATTTAATTTACTTGTTTAGTTTACTTATTTAGTCACTTGTTTAGTCACTTGTTTAGTCTACTTATTTAGTCACTTATTTAGTTACTTGTTTAGTTTACTTATTTAATTACTTTAAGTATGTGACTCCGTGTGGAAAAACCGCCAAAAATGGCAGGCCTTCTCCACTACATTTGGCGGCCTTTCCACACAGCCAGACTGCCTAAAATGGAACCGTATTCCCACCGTTTACTATTTTTGGCTTTAAACTAAACTGTGAGCCCACCGTCTACCGTTTAAACCATTTGTGAGCCTCCGTTATTATCCGTTACTAATTTTTTCTTCCCTTTTCTTTTTTATAAAACGATTTTGACGATGAATATAAAAGAGTTAAAATGTATTGTGAGGAGCCCTTTAAATCTTGAAAAGGTAAAAAAAAGAAAAAATCCTCACCTATGCCTTGCCTGTATGTAGATCGCCTCTTTGGTAGATCGCACGTAGTTGCCACGGCGTTGAGGTGGGTCTACTTGAGAGAGAGCCAGTTGTTTAATATACAGATTTGAGGGTAACTAGTCATTTAACAAGTAGTGTAACGGCAAGTCCGACAAATACTCCTGTTAGTCATTGCCAGTAGTTAGGGAATAAACCTCTGTCGAATGACCGTCCTTATGCCAAGGACTCTTGTTTAAGTAGGACTACAGATCCTTTTTCTCTTTACATTTCTATAAGTGCGTCTTTCAACCCCCGTTTTTATTTCACAAAGTGCGTCTTCCCTGTAACCTTTGTTTTCCCTTTCTTTTTTAGACACGTCAAAGTTTTCTTTCCCCCTTTTCAACTATGCCTCTTGTAATAGGAAGACCCAGACGATGGCAGCAGCGCCGTAACCTGTTACCTTCCACCTCCGTTACAGGACCCCTAAATGATAAAGATGAACCATCACAACAAATCTCTTCAATCACATCACCAGCACTGCTTAGTCAAGGCTGTCCTCAATCTGAGTATAACTTCTTCGATTCCTCTTCGGCCACCAACGTCGAGACGAGCTTCGACCAAGACTACGACTATAGCAGTGATGCGGAGGATGAATCTACCAGTGAAGAGGGTCTGATTGACCACAGCTCGTCCTATTACAACCTTATCTCGAAGTACGAGGACGACGGGCCTATCGTGACTAACCGCGACGATAGTGCCCAAAAGATGATACGGACGGAGGAAGGCAAGTGGACAGAGTAAGTTAATAGTCTTAGTTAGTTAGTTAGGGTTAGTTAGGGTTAAGTTAGGGTTAGTTAGGGTTAAGTTAGGGTTAGGGTTAGTTAGGGTTAGGGTTAGTTAGGGTTAGTTAGTTAGGGTTAGTTAGGGTTAGTTAGGGTTAGTTAGGGTTAGTTAG